CCCCTTCCCCTTCCCCTTCCCCTTCCCTCTCCTCGTCCTTTCTCTGCTAACTCCTCTGCACTCACAGCATGTGGCTCGCGATGCCCGCCCTCTTCCGTTTCGACGACCACACCGAACCCGCCTCGTGGGCTCCCAAGCACCACATTTTCTACAAGGAGCGATGCCTCGATTTGGAGAGGAAGGAGGGCGTGACGTATTGGGAGGGCGCGCAGGACAAGAGTGAGAAGGTGTAGGCGCCCGAGAAGTACGGAGCGAATGAAACGTGTTTGTACAGACTGCGGAAGATGCGTGAGCGAGAGGTGAGGAGGAGCGAGGGTTGAGCTGGGTTTCGTCCGCTACGCTCTTCTGCTCAACGCTATACCTCGCTAGAGCAACAAGCAATGCAGCTGCGATGCAACGAGAAATCGACGAAGAGACGACAACAAACAGAACGAGTCGAGTCGAGAAGGAGTAGAGTAGTCTACACCGTCTACACCGCCGAAGCGACCGTCTGCAACAGCTTTGCCATCGACAGAAAGTGTTCCTCGCACATGGCGGAGAAGTAGAAGCTGAACTGCGAGTCGTGGGGTTTGACGAGGCTATCCCCGAGGGATGGTCAGATGGCGGAGAGGATGGGAGGCGGAAAGGAACGCACTTGTGGCTTAGCTCGTGGGCGATGGTGTGGAAGGTCGAGATGAGTGGCTCAGCGAGGTCGCCGTGCGCAACGAGCTTGTCGTGCCTGCGAGAACCGCACAGCGCAAGGTCAGTTGACAGTTCCGAAAATTACCGGCCTCCGACGTCGCACTCACCAGCTCTGATAGAACCGGAAGTTAAGATACAGCGACCCGTTGCGGTTGAAGGCGATCAGCGGTCCCTCGAGGTCGTGAAAGACGTGCAACGCGCGCGGGTCGAGGCGGAAGACTTCGCCGACTGGGCGGATGACTTGCGTCACGAAGCGGAGGAGTGCGTCGTGGTGCTCTGCGACGAAGGTCGTGCTGCGAGCATACGTAGAGTGAGCGGAAGGGAGAGGAGGTAAAGGAGACGAGGACGCACGGGACCGGCACCTCGCGGCTGGCAAAGAACCGCATCCCTCCGACCTCGGCGACGAACGACAAATTCGCCGCGGCAGTCGCGTCGCAGTACGCCTCGCTCTCCTTGACTTCCGTCTTGTCCACCGCATTCGAGACGTTTGACGCTGTCTCGGGACGAGAAGCCTGGATCGCGCGCGTGAGGTTCGCGCGGATAGCGTCGGTCGAAGTGGGCGTCGCACCCGGTCGCTGAGGCTGTGGCGTCATTCCGGGCGGACACTGCGAGACTGCCTGGGGCTGAGGCGAAGTCGGAGGCGGGCTGAGGCTGGGAGGCGGAGGAAGCGGGGAAGCCGAGCGCGTCTCGCCCGCCTTGCCGAACTGGCGACGCAAGCTGGAGAAGAGGCCGCCGGACTGCGCCTGCGAGGGCTGCTGGTGACCCTGCGCTGAGACCGCCTGCGAGTAAGGCGGAGGGCCGTCCACCGAAGAAGCTTGTGGCCGCTTCTTGGGGTACTGCGGGCTCGCGAGTAGCTGATTGACGGCGTTGTCGAGGTGAGGCGGGTCCTGCGTCTGCAGCAAGGTGCGGAGGAAGTCGGTGTCGGCGTCGGGGAACATCGACGAGAGCTTCTGGAGCGCCGACGCGAGTTCCTTCTCCGGCTGCAGAACAGACGGTCAGCATAGAGTGAACGGAAAGGACTCGACAACGAGCCGCTCACCAGGGCAGACTGAGCCTTCAGCTGCGCCTGCAGCCGCTCCTCCCTCGCCCGCTGCTCAGCCGCCTCACGCTCCGCCTTGCGAGCGGTGATGATGCGGTCGACGTTGAAGCCGCGTCGCTTCAAGTTCTTGAGCCTGCGAGTTGAGGAGAGTCAGCGACTGCTGTCAATTTCGATCGAGAGACTCTTACGCGACCCGAAGACTCACGTCGTCTGCAAGATGGTCAGGAGGAGGAGCGCGTCGTTCGGGCGCAGCTTGGACAAGAGGAGCTTGCACATGGCGACGGCGATCTCGTAGTAGTCGGCCTCGATGGTCTGCGAGACGTAGAGCGCAATGTCGCCGTTCGGGGCCGTTTTCGCGCAAGCCGATGCGACAGCGACGTGCTTCTTGAGACCTTGCGGACTCTTGAGCGTGCGAACGAGCTCGATCGAGCGAACCTCGTAGACCTGAAGATGCTTCTGGATCCAGTCGGGGTCGTGCTTGAGCTCGCCCTTGCCGTATTGCTGGCGGCGTTCGGAGAGGAAGAGTGAGGTTCGCTCGGCGACCGTGCGCTGCAGGTCCTGCGCTCGCTTTGACTTGTCCGGCTCGCCGCTCGTGTGGTAGTTCTCGGTCATGAGCCCCGAGATCCTGCGAGCACCAAGCTGTTCGGCGAGACTTTCGAGTGCGTCTTCTTGCGGGCAGGCGAGGATGTCGCCTTGGAAGACGTGGAAAGCTGCATCGCACTAGCCGGTCAGACGTAGAAGATGAGGGCGTGGAGGCCCAAGGAGACGCACCGGCAGGCTCATCATTGACGGCCAGATCGCTCGCGCGCGCCAGCTGGTAGACGAGAGTGGTATCCGAGCCCTCCTCATCCTCGTCGTCGTCCTGGTCCAGGAGCGTCTGACCTTTGCCAGCGTTTGACCCGTTGGCTGCGATGCGCTTCGTGCCGAGGAAGAAGGCGCTCAGCTTCATGCGACTGCGGAGCGACGACGAGAGGCTGCTGTAGTTGAGGGCGACGAGGCGGAGAACTGCGGTGAACGGGAGGTCAGCTTTGTCGCGATATGTACGCTTGCAGTCGAACGCACCAGAAAGATAACGATCGGAGGAGCCGGCGAGGTCGTAAAAGCGCGCCGGATCCGCAATGAGCATCGTGGCGATCTCCGGCGTCGTCGGACTTTCCTTGACGCCACAGGCAACCAGGAAGGGACGTGCGGCGGGTCCGAAGTCGGGGATAGTCGCAAAGAGACTCCTCACGCCCGACGGAAGCGACGTGTCCGAGGTCGAGAAGTAGAGGTTCAGGGGCGGCACGTTTTCGACTTTGCCGTCCGGCTTGCGAACGGAGACAATAGATGCCCAGCGAAGTGCGTCGAGGTCAGCCGAGGCGAAGGTCGAGACTTGCGACGAAAGGTATGCGAAGATCTTGCTCGCTTCGGCGATTGTTGAAGGCGGGTTGCTAACAATGGCGGAGACAAGCTCCTTCGGCGGAGGGTCGCGACGCAGCCCGAACCTCGTCTCTTCCGCTGCAAAGCGGGGCGCGAGAACGGGGAAGCCGAGCAGCGCTGCTGCGGGGTTACTGTACACCTCGGTCGGCTTGACGCGGATCTCCTGGTCCTTGGCGAGAGCGGGCACGAACGGGAGGGCGTACTTGGACGGCGAGTCTGCGTAGCACAAGGTCAGTTCGGCGTCTCGACGAAGAAGAACTGCGCCTAACCCACACGACATGCTGTAGCTGTGCGTGACACAGCCGTCGAGGAAGTACCGAAGCGCCTTTTCCTGCCTGGCCGGATCAGACGAGTTCGCGGCAATCTCGAGGACGGTCGCGACGGTGGGAACCCGCTGAAGACCGAGGTCATAGAGAAATTTGGCTGGGAGAGCTTTGAGTCAGCGGGCACGCTGGACGTGACGAGACGAACGACGCACCTTCGTCCGACGTAGACCTCCACCTTGCCTGCGCTTCCGTCCAGTCGACGAGAGGCAAGCCAAGCTCGCGGAGCGCGTCAGTCGGCTCGTACAGCTCGGAAGCTCGGTAGCGAATTGTCTTCGGCTTCGGCTTGACGCCATCAGGACCAGGCGGCTGCTCGACCTTCGCTTCGCCCTCACGGGGCAGGAAGGCGGTCTTGCGAAGCCGATCTTGCTCTGCTGGCGTGAGCGTGTTCCGCACCGAAATGAGATAGCGAATGAGCTGGATGTGCGACCAGTCGCCGGCGCCGAGTAGTCGAGTAAAGACGAGTTGGAGCTGGGGGAATCGCGCAGGTGAGCAGTCGTTAACGGGAGCGAAGCTGGAGAGCGAGGACTCACCTCGACATGCCGCCGCACTCCTAACGCCGCCAACAATCGCTCCATGTTGCCCTTGACGGGCGCACCGCTCGGCAAGGTGACGACCGCCAAGTCCTCGAAAAGCGAGACATTCGGGAAGTAGCTCTCGTTCGGCTGCTTCAGGCCGTTCCTCGTCGGCACAAACGCGAGCTTGGACGTGAGCTCGATGATATTTCGCTGGGCGACAGCCGGGACCTGCTGCCAGCCTTTCGCGAGGACGGCGAGGACCTTTTCGGCGAAAGGCGGCGAGGCGAGGAAGTTTGTGTCGACAGAGGCCGACTTGCCCGTCATCGACGGCGAGGTGAGGTAGTTGAGCCAGTCGAGAAGCGAGAGCTCCTTCCAGCCGAAGACGCGGCTGAGGTCCGAGTGCGAAAGCTGGCGCGATAGCTCGAAAGGGAGAGTGTGCTCGGGGAGATGCATGTCCACCGGGACGACCTTCGGGTTGACGTAGGTCTTGAAGGCGCCGATGGGAAGGATGCGAGTGCCGTCGGGGGAAGAGGAGTCCGGGACGGAGAGCATCGAGACGTCCTTGAGACGGGTGAGGAGACGAGGGTCGTAAGACGGGTTCGAGGCCAGGCTGGTCCACCATTTGAAGCACTCCACCGCTTCACTGACCGTCAAGGAATGCGACGAGAGGTCGGCGAAGATGTCCTCGAGCGAGATGTCTCGAATGAAGCCCTTGTCGCGCAGGACGGAGAGGAAACGAGGCACTCCGTCTGCAACGAGAGGCGGGACGACAGGAGTCGACTTGATGAATCCGGAGAGATGTGGCGAGGGCAGGCGGAGCTTGTGTGCTGGTGTCGGGCCGACAGTCGAGAGAAGGGTGATCGAGGTGCCCGTGTTGGACGCGAAGAATGACTCTTCCTGTGTGCCACCGACGATCTCTTGCGGTGTCGACTTATAGAACGTGAAGAAGCTGCTCGGTGAACCAGTAAGTATACCGCAGCTTGAAGGGAAAAGGTGGACGAACGCACCGAATGAGGTGCAGCGTCCGCTGCTCGAGGTCTTCCCGCTTCTCCTTCTCAAGCTCCTTTCCCGCCCGCTTCCAGATTCGCCCAATCTCTGCCATCTCCTCCTCGAAGACCGTCCTCGCAAGCACTCCGCCAGCCCACAACAGCTCCTGGTTCCACTGTGCGACGTATTTGCTCTGGAAGTCGAGCGACTCGCGCTCGACCGTCGAGATGAACCTCGCTCCGACCGAGCCGGCGAAGCCCGACGTCTGATGCGTCGCAAAGCCAATCGCGACTCGACCCTGCACGGTCGAGATGTCCGCCGGCAAGAGGCCTGAGAAGACCTTCCGAGCGGACGCCTCGTCCTCATGGTCAGTTCCGACGCCCGTCTTCCCACCATGACTCGCATCGTACTCGTCCTTGCCGGTCCAGACGAGCGAGTACTTCGTGATCGACGGCAACGCCTTCTTCGTCGCGCGGAGCATCTCGTTGGCGAAATGAGGAGAGGGCGATACGGAGAGAGAGGCGGCGACGGTTCGCAGGAAGAGCATCACGCGGACGTATTCGAATGGATCTTTCGCAGCAGGGGCAGGCCGAGGCGGAGGTGTCGGAACGGGAGATGGCTGATGTGAAGGTGTCGAGCGGCTGGAGAAGGCGGCGAGCATCTTCGAGGCGAAAGACGTCGTGCTTGACGCTGCGGCGCTCGTGATTGATGCGACGGTCGGCTTCGGCTTCGCCGTGTAGCGGAGCATCCAGTTCGAGACTTCGGCTTTGAGCTGGAAGGGCGCTTCCTCCACGCCAGTCATGCGAAGGAGCTTCTGGGGCGAAGACGACTGCAGATTGTGTCGCAAAGAGAGGTTCCGAGATGGCGCGAGCGTCTTCTGCACGCGGAAGAGAAGGTGGCCGTCGAAGAAAAGGGAGAGCGACCGGAGGTTCTGGGTGAAGCCGAGGCAGGAGGTGAGGAAACGAGCGAAGTCGTTCGGCTCTGGCATCGGCGCAGGTTCGCGAAGGTCCATCAGGAATGTCGTCCAGGGCTTGCCGTCCGCCGAGGTGTTCTTGAGACCCGACTCGTCTGTCGCTGACTTGACGTGCAGCTGGTCGCCGCGCCAGTAGAACTGGATGATCCGCTGGCCCGACGAGACGACAGGTCCGTCGGTCATGGAGAAGAGACTGTAGAAGCCCACGCCGAACGCCCCAATCTTCTGCTCGTCGGGATTACCAGAAGCGATCTCAGTGAGTCGCTGCCAGTCCTCTTGCCGGAAGACGAAGCCGTCGTTGCGAACCATGAGGGTGGCGCATTTGGTCGCGAGCAAGTTCGGCAGGGCGTCGGGCGAGTAGGTCGGTTGCGAGTCGTCGAGACCGGCGGCACCGGTCGTCGTCCTGAAATGCAATTCGACCGAGGTCGCCCCTGCATCGTCCGAGTTCTGCAGCAGTTCTCGAAAGACGGTGTGCTCGCCCGAGTACCTGCGAGACACCATTAAGTCAGCAAACGAGGAAGGGAGAATCATCGCAGGCGGGATGAGGGTCCGGATGGAAGTTGCGCACCGCGCCAGGATCTTCTCAACGAGCGCCCGCTGGTTCACTGTGACCTGCTCATCTTGTCCCTCCACCAGCAAGGCGTTCAGGTTGACCATTACGGCGGGATGACGACGCTGGGGAGGGGAAAGTGGCGGCGAGACGGGCTGGGAGGGCGCGCAGGAGTCGGGGAACAGGCGGGTGATTCGATCGAAGTAGCAGCAGTCTCAAGCGAGCCTTCAGGCACAGTAACAGCTCGCTCTGCGGTGAGTGTCGAGGCGGAAAGTGCCCAAGTCCTCGTCCTCGTCTCCTGGCTCCGACCAGCGACAAGGGACGGCACACACAGCAAGGTAAGGCGCTGTGACAGGCTCAGACTGGTGCTGGACATGATTCTTAGTAAAAGGTCCGAGGACGCGTCCGTCTACGCCAAACTCGCGTGACCACACCTCGTCCTCATCGCTCCTCGTCGACTCGCTCGTCTCGCGTCCCAATCGTCGCATCATTGGCACTGTCCACGCTGCTGGAGCTCCAGCGTCTCTCACGAGGACAGCGCTCGTTCTGCGACACATAAAGACCCACACCCAGCTGCTCCGTACACCCTCGACTCGTCCGCATCCCCGTCTCGTCCGCCTCCCACCTGCGTCCCTTTCGCTCGAAACCGCTCGCAACGGGCTGCGTCTCGGTGGATGGGGCGAGGTGGGGGAGAGCGAGCGGGTTGGACGAGTTGAGGGAGTGCATTTGCCTCGTCGAGGCGGATGTAGGGGTGGAAGGGTGGACTCTATTCTGACCCGCTGCTCTAGAGTCTCATCGAGCGCGGCGTAAAGGCAGAGTCGACATCACTCGCCCGAGGCACAGCCAGACCCGTCCAGACCGAGTCTTCATTCTGGAAGGTGGTGACCTGCCAATCTTAACTACACCAGGGCACACCGACACGACCGCTTAGCCTAACCAGCGGGTCTTTCTCTCTCTCCTTGCGAGACAGCCCAGAGAAAGACCCGAGGTGGCTTTGTGGACAGCCGGGGCGCGGGCAGCGAGTCGTCGGGGACTTGAGGGCACATGAGGTGTTTGCGCGAGGGACGGAGGGCGTCTCCTGAGAACGCGCGTGGCTGCGCTTAAACAGCTTCTGATCCGCAATGCCAAGCAAGGCTATCCGAATTCATGCCTGAACCGCTACTGACTCCCCTGACTGCGACCGGCTCAACAGGTCCGACAACGATGGCAGGCTCGCGGCCGTCTAGCGGCGTCGGCGGCCTCAGCGCCAACCTGATATCCGTCCTCGGCTGGTCGATGATCCCTTCCTTCCTCACGAGCGCCATCCTCACCCTCTTCTACCGACTCTTTCCTTCGTCTCGCCCGACTGTACCGCCTCGAGCCGCCCCTCAGCACGTCGCAGCAGCGAACGCTCGCGCTCAGTGGCACTATCGCCGCGTCCGCATCACGCTCATTGCCGCCTACCTCGCATACTCCGTCCTCTCCATCTACTGGTCGCAGGCTCGCGGCGCCGAGCAGAATTACTACGCCCTCCTCGACCTGTCGCGCGACCTTGTCGACCGCGACGGCGCGAGCGTGGTCAAGTCTCACTGGCGTCGACTCGCGCGAGTGTATCACCCCGACAAGGTTGGAAAGCAGGGCGAGGCGTTCTTCGTCCTGCTGCGGAGGGGAGTCGAAGCCTTGGAGGACGAGAACAAGCGATGGGCGTATGAGCGGTTCGGACCAAGCGTGCAGGAGTGGGGCGACAAGCTCGTCACGAAGCGCGAATTTCTCGCGAAGGGCGCGCTTTACGCCGGCATCTTCTGGGCGTTCGCGTTCGGCTCGATCGCCGTCTTCACCTTCTTCCGCAAGAGCGAGCGGAGGTACAACTTCGTGCGTATCGTCCGCAAGTCCTGGTGACCGCACTTGCTGACGGCTTTCGTCCGCAGTGGCGATACCTGAGTCTTGCGCTCTGCCTCTCGCTCGAGTTCCACCTCCTCTTTCGCTCTTCTCCCTCTCCCACCTTCTCCTTCGTCTTCCCACACCGCCTGCCGTACCAGCACATCGCCCTCCTCCGCCAGCTCTTCATCTCAACCTCGATGGCCATGTCGCAACTCGGCCCGCTCCTCTTCCCCGACACGCCGACCCACTTCGCCTCCTCCTCTTCCGCCTCATCCGAAGCCGAGCAATACGCCCGCGCCGTGGCCGACGTCGACAGCCTCAAGCCCCTCATCGAGCGTCTCATGCGCCTGACAGCCCAAGCGGAACTCGAAGCCTCGGCGCTCCAGTCGCTCGAGCTTCGCCCGCTGATGGAGTCGGTCAAGCCGGACCCTGAGGCGCCTGGCGTCGAAGAGCGGAAGGTGATCAGGAAGTTGGTGGACGGGATGGTTGCGACGTGGGAAGACTCGCAGCTCAAGAACAATCGGAGGACGGCGCGAGTCTGGGATGAGGCGCTGCGCAAATCGGTGCAGAAGGCCGCGAGGGAGAAGGAGCTGCCGAAGGAGGATGCGGACGAGGACCGAGCGGGTGTAGAAGTCAAGGTGGAGGAGGACGACGAAGCGGACGCCAGAAGCGAAGCCTCGGCCTCGACAGCCGCCGGCTACGATGTGGCCTTGTCGGACGGGGCGGAAAACGCCCCCGCTCCTACGAACGCAGTGGACAACACGGCCCTTTCCCTCGACTCGGCCGTCATACCTCCTCCCGTAACGCTTCTCGCCTCTCCTCCGACCTTACCTCGGACCGGGTCCGCAGGCTCAGCCATTCCGCTGCCCGTCCTCGAAGCGGGGTTTGGTGACGGGGCGGGCGGCGCGGCCAATTCCGCCGGATTGGCGGTGGGAAAGAAGGATGCCGCGGGAGATAAAGGCGAGCTCGCAAATCGAGACGGTACGGGTTTGCAGCTCTCCGCCAAACAGCTCGATGCTCGCCTGCCAACTCCGCCGCCGGACGAGTAGGTGGCAACGCCGTGAGTATTGCAATAACCGCTTTCGAGCCATCTTCTTGCCCTCGCCGCCAGCGGCGCTGTATCTCTCCAACCTGCAGTCCAGATAAGTGAAGACGCTTCTTGAGCGTTTCGAGCTATACGCGCTTCGGGCCGCCGGTGGACCGTCGCTTCCTACTGCCGCCGCCGCCGGAGAGGAGGAGGGGGAGATGGCCGAGTGCACTGTCGCCGTCGCTGTCGACGCGAGTGAGATCGTGACGGTTCGATGAGCGTGTTCGATGACGGCTGCTGGCGTGGCTGTCGTCGAGATCTTGCGCTCCAGACGCGTAGTCGTCCTCGTCGGCGTCCTTCTCGTCCTCCTCGCGCCTCCCAGCTATCCCAACGAGTGGGTGAGCTTCTGCAGTGAGATGGAACGCTGACGCCAAGTAGCACGCACCTCTGCGGTCGCCACGCGCTTTGATGTCGGCGACGAGGTGCTGGTTCTCCAGGTAGTCCTTGCGAGCGACGGCGTGTGCGTGGACGCGGCGCTTGTAGTCCGCCTTGCTCTCCCCCTCCCTCTGTTTCGGTACCGGCGCGTGCGCCTCCACGTGCATGTCCTCGACCTCCCATTCCTCCTCGAGCTGGGCCTTCTCCTCGTCCAGCTTGGCGAGACGCGCGGCTCGTTCCGCCTCCTTCTCCGCACCGGTCTCGCCATCCGACCCCTTGCGCTCGTTCCATCGCTTCTGCCAGGCTGAAATGCGCCAGATCAGGACGCCGTCGAGGACGATGGACAGGGCAGAGCCTCCGAGCCAAGGCGATTGAATGAGGAGGTACTGCCCGTTCGTGGACAGGATGAGGATGGACAAGATGTTGAAGAAGCTGCGTGAGGAGGGAGGCAGTGAGAGCGAAGATGTTCAGCATGAACGAAGAGCATGCTTTTCGGCTATGAGGAAGTAGAACAGAGGGTCATCGAGCTCATGCTGAGGTTTGATACCTGCGCAATGAAAGTGTCAGCACTTGTTCGGGCGACTCGGCAACAGTGAGAGCTTCCGTACCTGCCTTCGAGCGATTCTCTCCGCTTCTCATCTCCGGGAAGCGTGCGATGCAGAACGTCGCGCTGGTCAACGAGAGTCAGTCTTCTACTACTCGGTGATGAAGGGTACGGGCCTACGCGGACGCGACGCCGAAAGCTGTCGGCAGACGTCGTCAGGCGTGTTGCGTAGTTCCGGGCGAGCAGATCACGCACCGAGCGACTTGGGGTCCAATACGCGCGGCTCCTCTATGACGAAGTGCTCGGGGTCGTTGTGCAGGCCGAGGGTGAGGTAGATACCGCCGGCGGCGAGTCCAGCTGCGTAGCGTGTTGAGTAAGCGGCGACGCCGGCGAATTAGGGGCCATCGAGCGCACCGGCGATGCAGAAGAGCAGCAGCTTAATGTCGTCCCACGCGGAGAACGACATGAAGGCGACCGTGATCTTGTACCAACGAGGGTGTTTCTTCTTACGTTCTTGCAGTTTGACGAAGACCTTGGTCGGCTTCGGGTCTGGCGCGAGAGGGTCGAGGTGGCCGAAGAATCGGAGCTGTATGATCAGCGTGACGTCCACGGCCGTATACCAGATGGCGAGAGCGAGCTGAGTGGGCGGAAGTTTGCCCAAGACGGCGCCGAGGAGGTTGGTCTGCGGTGGACAAGCCGTCGGCGCGATCTTCCCTGAGAGAGCGCCGCCATACTCACTATGTCGCCGTATAACCAAGTCCATAAGAACGCTGGTGAGCTGCTTACTCGCATGCGAGCAGCGTTCATGACCACGACGGGCACGAAAGCGGCACAAGTCGTCGAGAGGGCGAGCCAGCCGAAGAGCGAGGACACGATCATGCGAAGCGTGAGCTCCTGCACCGCCATGATGGGTCTTCGTGCTGCTTCGGGGGAAAGGAAGGAGAAGCAGGAGAGAGATAGGAAGAGAGCCCCTCTCGCCCTCCGACGGAGGTCCGTGGAGCACGGTCGCGTGGGCGGCTCGCGCCTTTCGTCAGTCTTCGATGAGTTCGGCGTCGGCGAGACGTCGGCGGTTTCGAGAGAAAGGAGACGAGGACGTGATAGCCGGCACAGCTGCGCGAGATAAGAATTTGCGACGGCGACGTCTGATCAAGATTGCATGTCGACATCTGCCCTGTTCGCTGCGAGTTTGAGGACTTCGAAGCGCCGTCCTTCAGCCGCTAACGACGCCACGAGGGGTTCATCGTCGGTGCAGCGGGAGAAGGCGAGTGCTGTCGGCGGGAAGTGCTCGGCGAGCGAATACTGGGAAGCAATAGGTAGAGGGCCGCCGGGCTGCCATTCGCAATACTCGTCAGTCCTCACGCATTGTGCGGGAGTAAGTGAGGCGTGCCTACCGGTGCAAGCGAAGCTTCCCACTTGAGGGCGGCAAGGTCCACCGTAACGAGGAAGGGCGAAGCCGCAGCGCCTGCGTATGCAAGCTCAGCGTTGTCACTCGAATTGCTGATAACGTTCGGACTCACCCTCTGACTTACGGTCAAAGGCAAAGACCACCCCCTGCGGCCCGGAGAAGTCGAAGTGCATCGGTCGTAGCGAGACGCCGTCCGCGGTGACAAGCTTGTGTGCGACGTATTGAACGACGGGTGAGCCGCCAACAGGGTCTCGCTTCGAGAAGTAGACTGCGCAAGCGGAGTGCATCAGCGGAAGGCGAACCTATGAGTGGAGCGAAGGATCGCACCAGTGTCGCCAGCGACGCACAACTCGTAAATGAGGTGACGCCGCTGATCCCGCTCGAGCATCGTTCGCACCGCTATCGCTGTAGCTGAACCGACGTCCGGTCCCTCGGCAGCGCTGCGACTAGCCCGATCGCCCGTGGCTTTACGGACTGCGCGGTCCATCAGGACGGCGGCAGACCTGACGGCAAGATGCAGAAGAACAGGGATACTCTGTGTCGGCGATGACTCGGCATGGGCTGCCGCAGTCACGTCGACGGTGGAGCGGGAGGGCGGTCGAGCTTCGTACTCTGGATCAAGTGCCGACGCTGGATGAGCGAGGGCAAAGGCGGGTGCTGGCAAGTCCCGCTGAAGATCGGAAGAGAGCTTGTCATCTTGGTCGGTCGACGATGTGTACACCGGCGCGACGATATCGAGATCGAGCTGCTGATCAAGTCGGCGAACCTCGAGCTCGCTGGCGTCGACCTGACCACGTAGTTCCTCGGCCATCCGCTTGAGCATCTCCTTCAGCGACGCTCCCGCGCTTTCTGCCGAGGAACGCTGAACCGCTTGATCCGACCGAGCTGACTGCGCCGTACGCGAATTGAGCCACTCCTCCGCCGCGCGCAGGTCGCCATTCGCTGACAGGGGAGCCGTGGCAAGGCCGAAGGAGAGGTACATCGAGATCTGCGAGCCGGTCGCCGGTAGGCAATGGCGGACGTAATGCGAAACGGGCAGCGGGAAGAAGTTCGCGAGAGGCCGAATCTCGGATCCTTCTTGCTGGGCGACCTTGTCGAGTTCTGTAGAGTCGCAGCTCAATCAGCTTCATGCTGAAGCCGGAGAGACAGCGATAGCGTCGCACCGAAATGAAGCCAGGCGCCGAACTGCTTAAAGCAACGCTCCTCTTCCTCGACCTCGCGCTGCATCCGAGCCATCGCCGCAATCGCTTTGCAAGCGAGACAGATGACCTGGCGGACCTCGACCTGCGAGAAGCTGTACGGGGCGAACTTGTCGGGCCTGTACGAGAGTGAGGCGTCAAGAACCTGACCATGATCGAGCATCGCCGACGTCTCTGGCGCATTTGGGCGCTGCGCACCATAGTGACCACGCCTCGACCTCCTTCAGCATCACGACGATCCTCTCGAGCGCGGGAATGACGCTCATCCAGGCGACCTTCCGCAGGCGTTCGAGTGCCGCACCCATCGCTTGCTCCCACTTGACGAGGACTCGTTCATTCATTTTCGAGGCGAGAAAATCGTGCAGCGAGCGAGTTGGTCGGCCGGTGAGGAGGAGAAGGTGAAGCTGCGTAGTCGGAGGCGTCGTAACTGTTCGGCGTCTTCGCGTCAGCCTGAAGCCCTTCTTCATCGACGAGCTGACTTCGAGCGAACTCACCTCCGTGAGGTCGACTGACGTCTGCGATCCTCTGCAGCCAGCCTTTCCCGATCCTCCTCGCTTCGTCCCACATATTCCGCGCGCCCTGCAACGCCTCGAACGCGTGTTCGAAGTGCGCGCTGAGGGTTGAAGAGACGTGTAAGACAGTCGGGAGGGTCGAGGGCGTGGGAATATCGACGCGACTGACGGCGAGTGGAGTGGAAGAGGTGGAGTGGTGGACAAGGACGGAGATAGCCGGTTCCGCAAGATCCGGCGACGACGGCACAGCGGTGATGGCGTGGACCTTCCCACCGACGCCGATGGATCCGAGGTAGACGCTTCCGCCTAGGAAGACGTGGACCGCGCCGTCTGCGCCGCCCGCGCACAACACGCTCTCATCCTCCGCCCGGCCGTCACCGCTTTCTTGAGGTCGCAGGATAGCCCTGACCGCTTCGTCGCCGAACTCTGGCGCGTCCGTTCCGACCAACGCCCCGCCCATTGCCGCCAACCTCGGAAACCGCCCTTCTTCACCAATCGCGCTCCGCATGCTCAGCGCCCGCTGCGCCTCTTTCGCCCGTTCTCGCTCAAGCATGGCCTGCTTCGCGCCGAAGACACCCGCTCCGCCACTTCCGCCCGGCCCTCCTATTCGCGCACCAGCGAGCCCGATGCCTGGACCAGGAGCTGCCCCATCGCCAGCAGAAGGGAGAGTCTCCTTCGCGATCTTCGGCAGCGCAGGTAGTCGCCGTATCAAGTCGAGCGAGAACGACGTGAGGAGGCGATCGGGGGGTTGTGCAGTCGATGGGAGGGCCTGCCACGAAAGATGAGAGCGGGACCCGCTAGTCGGCGGGTTGGCCGGGGCCGCGGCAGGCAGAGGTATGGGTGGAGATATGGGTGTGCCGGTCTGTACCGAGAGAAGGGCAAGGGAAGGGTTTCGCGGGCCAGAGGCGGAAGCCGGGGAAACAAGGGTGCCAATGGCGGTTCCTGCTTGAAGTTGGGTCAAAGGCCGAGTCTCCGCTGAGCTCAATAGCATCTTGCATACCTGTAGGACTCCAAACGACCTGCTCGATTTTTCCCCCAGCACCCTGAGCTGCCTTCCCCTTCCCCTTCAATCCCAGGCCAAGCCTTCCACCTGGTTTCGGCCCTCCTGCAGACGGATCGACGGGCGGTGGAGAGGGCGTCCACTCCCATACGAGATCGGCAGCCGCTGATGTGCGGTACAAGGCGAGTTTCGAGTCGGGCGCGGAGGGGGAGGAAGTGAGCAGGGCAAGTTTCGAGGTGGAAGCGCGCGGTGGGAGCGAGTTCGCGGGTAGGTCGGATGCTGCCGGCAACGTCTTGGTCGAGACGGCTTGCAATGCGCCGCCCATTGCGCTTGTACCGAACGAGAGCCGATGAGAGATGAGGTTGAGGGACGGGTTCGAAGTGGATGCGTATGGCTTCGCGCGCTTGAAGGAGGAGTGCGCGGGCAAGCTGGCACCTTCTTAGCAGCGAAAAGCACAGAAACAACCGCCTCAAGCAGGTGCGGGAGAGGAACCGTCGCTCAACCTTCTCTTTCGCCCGTTCACCGCGTCCTCGTCACTTGCTTCCGCTGCCAGAGATGTGCAGGTCACGCTGCAGGCTTACAGCAAAGCAACCGTTAATGCATGCAGAAGAAAGATCGTTCGGCTGCACGCTCCGTAGACTCCCTCCGCCGGACCAGCTTCGTCTTGCGAGCGAGGGAGACGCAGATACATGCTGTGCTTCGATGCCTGCGTTGCACTCTGGACTCTCTCCTGTCCACATGCGCTCCGTCTAGACCGAGGGCTCCGCGACGCCTGTCGAACGCAGCCATCTGCGAGGTCGAAGAAGGAAGTCTCGAGCATTTGCGTGCTGTTCGTCGTCGGTCGACTGGAGTTGACGAGGGGCGAAGGGCGTTGGGTCGTCGGCGCGATGGCCGGATGTGGCAGAGCGTGGGTGCGGAGGGAAGTGCCCAACGGCAGACGAGCTCGTGTCGTTCTTCTTGTCGCGTCGACCGGCTGATAGAGTAGAGTTCGTCAACATGCGACATTTCTGAGTAGGAAGAGGACGAATCACCACGACGTTCTCCGCGCTCTTTGATGTCGGCGACGAGGTGCTGGTTCTCGAGGTAGTCCTTGCGAGCGACGGCGTGTGCGTGGACGCGGCGCTTGTAGTCCGCCATGCTCTCCCCGTCCCTTTGTTTCGGTACCGGCGCGTGCGCCTCCACGTGCATGTCCTCGACCTCCCATTCCTCCTCGAGCTGAGCCTTCTCCTCGTCCAGCTTGGCGAGACGCGCGGCTCGTTCCGCCTCCTTCTCCGCGCCGGTCTCGCCATCCGAACCCTTGCGCTCTTTCCATCGCCGCTGCCAGACCCGGATGCGCGAGATGAGGACGCAGTCGAGGAGGATCATGAGTGCGCCGCCGCCAATCCAAGGTGACTGGACCAGCAGGTACTGCGCGTTGCTCGACAGAAGGACGATAGAGAGGAGGTTGAAGAACTGCGAGAAGGATAAGACGAAGGATGAGCGCGAGTTGACGGGGGGAAGTGACCGCGGATAAACCCTTACGTTCTCGGCGATCAGGAACCAGAACAGCGGGTCGTCGACAGCATGCACCGGCTTGAAGCCTACGGAGAACGATGAGCTGTGTGCCGCGATGGGAACCGCAATGCTGCTCACCCGCCTTCGAGCGACTCTCGCCGCTCCGCAACTCGGGTATGCGAGCCAGACATACCATTGCCCTGCGTAGCTAGATTTGATCAATAATAAGATCTCGCTTCTGAAGCGAAGTGCGAGCTTACTGAGCGATGAGGCCCATGACTGCGCAGAACGGAGTGAGCGTTCCTCGTAATATCTTCGGAGGACAGCTAGCGGACGGAAGACTTACCGAAAGACTTGACATCCAATGCGCGCGGTACCTCGATGGCAAAGTGCTCGGGGTCGTGGTAGATGCCAAGGGTAAGGTAGATGCCGCCTGCGGCGAGTCCAGCTGCGAGACAACGCAGGTTGGTGACGCGAAAACGACTTAGACGAGAGAATGGACGAACCAGCAATGCAGAAGAGCAGGAGCTTGACGTCGTCCCAGAGCGAATAAGACATGAAGGCGAGCGTGATGCGGTACCAGCGCGGGTGTTCCCTTTTCCGCTCCCGCAGCTTGGAGAATACCAAGGTTGGCTGAGGGTCAGGCGCAAAGGGGTCGAGATGGCCAAAGAACGAGAGCTGCGGACCACGCGCACACGATCAGCCTCACTCGCACGACGAAGGGAAAAGGAGCAGAACTCGCCTGAAGCAGGAGTATACAGTCCGTCGTTACGTACCAGATCCCCAGGGCGAGCTGGGTCGGCGGGAGCTTGCCGAGGATGACGCCGAGGAGGTTCACCTGGGAGGTGAAGGCGGGGTTAGCCTGGCGGCCCTTAGGGGAGCAGAAGGGAACTCACGAAGTCGCCGAATAGGTAGTTGTAGATGAATCGAGGCGAAACGGACACGCGTAATCTCGCCGCATTCATGATGATGAGGGGTGTCCACACAGCGCAAGTCGTTGCCAGGGCGAGCCAACCGCTGAGCGACGAGAGGATCATCCGCAGCGTGAGATCCTGGGCGACCATGGCTGCTACTGCCTTGGGAACGCGACGACTGAGATGAGAGCGCCAGTCAAACGACGAGAGGCGCAAGCATCTCGCCTGGAAAAGCGGGAACGAGAAAAGGTGAACAGGAGTAGGCGAAAAGTGCGCGACAGGGCGAAAAGTCGCAGAATGATGTCGGGCCGGTAGGTATCAGATGCGTGGAAGAGGAGGACATCGCAGCGAGGGAAAAGGAATCGAGAAGAGCGGCGTGACGCTGGTTGAAGAGAGCCCAGAAAACAGGACTGCCTCCGACCATCCGTGAGTTTTCCGGCCCGCGGCAACCCTGAGCCCTCCGAATGCATCACTAGCGACATATCTCGGCTGCTGCACGAGCTGGTGATCGCTGTGGCAAGGTATCAAGGAGGGGGACGACGACGAGGAGCTTGCTGACAGGCGGCGGTGTCGTGCAAGCAGGTGTCGACGGCGGAAGTTGCAGCGAGAGTGCTGTATGAACAGCTGGGGTCTGCTCTTGTACGTCTCGTCTCGCCGTCGTTGTTCTGTTCGCAAAGGGAGATGAAGTCGACGACGGGGTCAACCGCCGCGACCAGCGCATTCGGCGAGGTAGCGACAGCAGTGCGGAATCTAGTGGCACTTTCAAACCCTAGCACAACCCCATCCAGCCAAGTCGAGCGAGGGCGAGCGCGCTGTTGGCGGCAGACCTTCGTTCGCGGCTTCTTCGACGACGACTATCTCCCGCTCGCGGTTTGCTTGGGCTGGTTCAATCGGCTTGCGGCTCTATCGATCTGTATCAACTGTCGGCGGCCTCGTCACGCTCGTTCACCCCGAAGTCGCCCTTCTCCCCCCGCATCTCCGCCTCCTCTGCCGACCGCTCTTCGCGACGCCTTTGACGACTCTGGGAGGCGAATCGCCTGAGGCGAGGGTGGTCAAGAGGAGCTCTCAAGGTTACGCAGGTGCGCAAGCAGTCCATCATCGGGGAACGGCTATGCCTCCCTTTCTCCCTTCAGCAGGCCTGAGCTCCCGCTTGACTTGCTTCGTGCAAACGGTTGACACTCCGTGATACACAGTACGACATAAATTCGTTGCATCGCCGTCGCACCCTCCATTCTCTCTTTGACCGCGGAACCACACTACCTCGTCTTCCTCCCGATACTCCCGTCCTCTTCCTGCGCCATGTCCCCCTCGAACGGATTCGAAGGCTTTCGGAACGACGAGGCAGACCAGATGCGGTCAATGATCAACAGCGCTGCATCGCCGCTGCCCGCACTTCCCGACGAACTTCTCGCCGCACTTGCTCGCGAACCGCCTCCAGCCGGCTCGACACGTACAAGCCTCGCTTATGACCGCCCAGAACCCCATCTCGAGTCTACGTCGCAGAGCCCTTTCAGCTTATCCTACCCACTATCCTCATCCGCCTCGCCGCCGCAACCACCGACCTTTCAACCATTGCCGCCCGACCAGCCTGCTGCGACAGGTTACTCTTCCTGCAGAACAGTCTCTGCGACGCCAAACAGTACGCTGGGCGGGATGACGTCCTCGAAGTCCGCAATCCACAGTCCGCCAATCCCGACATCTTCGCCGTCGAGAACCCGAACCATACTTAGATCACTACCCTTCGGCACCATCTCCCGCGGGAAGGCGTCGACTCCGCCAACAGTGCCCTCGCCCGCTGAAGAGTACACCATCCCTTCACCGCGCGGCTACCACCTCCCGCCAGGCCTCTCGCCCGCCCAGGAGGAAGCCTTCGAGTTTGACCGGACTCAAGCCGTAACGGCTGGCGGCCAGACGCCCGGTTCTGCCAGTGCGTACGAACTTCGCCCGTCGCGGTCTCGAACGCAAACAGGATCCTCCAGCATGTCGAACACGCCGTCTTCAGGCTCCATCAACTCGCGGATGCCACCAGCTGTCGTTCTCGCGGCGGAGATGTCTCGAGCGGACTCGTCGGGCAGCGGACGAGCACCGAGATCTCCCGTCGACGGTGACGCAGCGGAGGAGCATTGGCGAGCGATTGTCGCGGCTGGCGGTCGGAGAGGTAGCGCACTCGCAGAAGAGTACACGAGGGACCTCTCGCTCGGTCGCGGCGAGATCGAAGGCGTGAAGCTGGTCGAGGAGAACGACGAAGGGGAGGAAGAGGACGTCGACGGATCCTTGCGCGACCTCCAGCGGGAACTCGCAGAACTCGCGGTACAGCCAACGATTCCGACTCGCCGGCCCAGCGTCTTCTCGCTGCGTCATCAGCTCGCTACACTTTCCGTCGACCCGCTGCACTACGATTCGGCCGCTGCCCGACCTCCAGCGAGCGCTCAGACCGCAGAAGGCGGTCCCTCATCGCATACCGGCGAGCCTGGCCTATCGGAGAATCAGCACACCCTCGATCCAGTCTCGCCCGTCTCTGCCGCCGACTTCATCGTCGCCGTCGTCGGTCCTCGCCATGTCGGCAAGTCGTCCGTCATTCGCCGAGGTCTGAAACGACCGCTCGCCGATCCATTCGTCCTCCACGAGGACGAGCAGGGGAACCGCGTCACGACAAGCACGACTTCGTTCAGCATCGGCGGACAGAGGCGGACTATCGAAGTCCTCGAGATCGACGAGGGAATGCTGCGGTATAGTGAGGAGGGCGTCGTTTGGCCGGATGGGCTGCCGCAATGCGAAGCGGCGATGCTCTGGTGCGGCAAGTTCTCCAACCTTCGCACTTGTTCGGGTACTGACTCGTCTACAAACAGCTACGACGCCTCGAACGCCAACTCGCTCGATTCCCTCTCGACTCTTCTCGAGGCATTCTGGACTCGCGGATCTGATGTCCCCCTCATCGTTCTCGCCTGCAAGTCTGGCGGTCCCGGCGCTACTCAGCCCGATGCAGCAGATCCTCGACTCGCCGCAAACATCTGCAACGTTTATGGCGCGGGCATTGTGCAGCTCGACGGCGGTCTGGAAGATCCGCAGCGGAAGTCGAAAGAATGCTTCAACTGGGTCATCCGGCAGATCATGGACAACCGAGGTGTGTGCTCATTGGACTGCAACTCAGCCGAAACTAAGCTTTTTTCCTGCAGGCGAATCGATGGCGTCAGTTCCCGACTCGCCTACAAGCAGTCGCCGAGACTCCGTCCAGCGAGGGACCACCTCCTTTGCCTACGCGACCGTGCCAGACGCCGCCATACATCGTCCGTCTGCATCCGGCCCTCTCGCGCTCTCGGTCGTCGAAGAATCGCCTGTCACGGCGGAAGCGCAGCGGAGCGCACAGGAACAGGCCGAACTCGAGGCGGCGGATGCTGAGGCAGACGCCGCCGTCGCAGCCCTTCTCGCAGCGACAGGCGCCGTTGACGACGACGACGCTAAGCTCTCTGCTGAACCTCACACGGAGATGCGAGGCGCTCGACCGCGTACACCTTTGTATGTCTCCGCGACGCCTGCCGAGCTCGATGGGAAGCTACAGGTCGCAGAGGTTCCGCCCCCGCCTATCGAGCGTCGCGGATCGAAGACGACTTCCATGGACCTCTTCTTCCGCCGAGAAGACCTCATCGACAAGTTTCTCTTCGCCGCTGTCGCTGGGAACGGTAAGTACGCGCTGTACGCTTGCTCGAAAGCGCTGCTGACCAGCTTCACTCCCAGATGAACAATTCGTCACGCTTTTCCTCATCACCTTTCGACGCTTCGCTCGCCCGTACGATGTCCTCGAGAGACTCATCGAGCGGTTCGACTTTGTCGCCCAGCAGCAGCAGACGGATCCTCTTCTTTGTCGCTACGGCCAGATGCGGTGCGTCGTCTACACGTGATCAGTACAGGCGCACGACTGACGATCTCTCATACAGGCTGTGCGGCATACTCTCGACCTGGATGCAGACCTCGCCGGGCGATTTCGCGGCGCCGACTACCTTCGGCCTCCTCCAGCCTTTTCTCGAGAGTCTCCTGCCGCGCGGTGCGACATGGGTCGCCCATTACGCCTTTGAGCTTGTCCCCTTACTCGCGCCGATCTCATCTATCCCGGACCCCGAGTCGGGTTGGGCTATCCCCGACAAGACGGCCGACGACTCGCCGAGCCTGTCGCCAGTCACGCCTCGCCCACCCCTTCCTGAGCGGCGCCCGTCTCACGCTGCTTCCTACGCCTCCTCTAGCAGCTTCGCACCAGCCCGACCCGATGCTGGTCAAGCAGCAAGCCTTGTCCCGTCCTCAACAGCCAGCGGATCGGCAGATCTCGTGTCGTACGACGGGACCCCAATGAGCCGGCAGCATACATCTTCAGACGTCGGAACGGTCGAGACGCAGGCTTCGAGTGCAGGTACTGGCGCCAGCGCGGAGGCGTTGACCCGGACGATGCCGTCGAGCGCCATGCTTGTCGATCTCTCGAACGCAATCCTCGAGATGCGCGAGCAGGATATCGCGACCCAGATCACGCGGATCACCTGGCAAGCGTTCTCCGGCATGACAGTGCGTTCACCTCTTCTACAGCGAGCCATGCCAGCTCACAGCTGATCTTATGGCTTGCCGTTCAGCCTCGCGATTTGATGCGGCATGTCCTCGCGCCGCGAGACCCATCGAATCCTTCGGTCGCCTTCCGAGTCGCTGACGGCTCCGTCGCTCGCTCCATCGGCTTCGTCAATGTATCTTCGCTTCTATGCTCCGCCCTGCTTCACGATACTGACGCCAAGCTTCACAGCACCTCGCCAACTGGACGTCGACGCTGATACTCGTGCAGAGCCGCGTCAAGGCGCGCGCTCGCATGATCGAGAAGCTCCTCTCGGTCGCCGTCGAGCTCCGCCAGCAGGAGAACTTCGACGCCCTCATGGGCGTTCTCGCTGGCCTCAACGCGCAGCCTATCTTCCGTCTCTCCGAGACCTTCGACCTCGTGACGAGCAAGCTCGACGGCGACGCTCGTCTCCAGCCACAGCGTGCCATCCAACCGGACGGCGACTCGCAGCGACTGCCGAAGAAGCTCCGCTCGCTGAACCGGCTCATGTCGGCATCCAAAGCCTTCGCGGCCTACCGCCTCGCTCTCGCCAACTCAGGCATCACCATGATCCCTTACCTCGGCGTGCACCTGCAAGACCTTACCATCGTCAACGAGAGCAAGTCCGACCGGCGCGATGGCCTTGTGAATTGGTCAAAGTTCAGCCAGCTCGGCAAATCCGCCGCCATCGTCCTCGACTGCGCCAAAGTCGCCCCCAAACTCCCCGTCGACAAGACTATCGAACGCTGCGTTCTGGACGTCCCGCTTCTCGACGAAGACGTGCGTAACGAAGAGTTTCTTGTCCTTATTATGGACCCAAACGTTAACCCGTTACGCGGAACAGCGCCAGTACACCCTCTCGTACGCCCATCAACCACGAGGCGAAGGCAAGACTGGCACTCGCAGCCGGCTGCGAGACCTCGCCAAGTCGACCTTTGCTGCTACCTGAAGCGTTTATACCTAGAGTCTCCCTGCATCAGCATCGATACCTACTGTTGCCATACTATCCCTCGCCGTTCGAGCCTGCTCGTCCTCGCCTCTCTCCGAGAGACCGACAATCGGGAGTGACGGCAATGTATTGGATACGACAACAATAGAGAGCCACACCGAGCTAAGTAAGAAAAGCCTCAGTCCTCCTCTTCGACGTCCGCTTCATGGCCAGGACTCGCCTCCCGCCTCTTCCCCCGCTCGTCGTCCAGCTTCTGCTCGAGACGTGAGACAGTCGAAACAAGACTCTGGATGAGCGCCATCATCTCGCCCGGCGTCGGCTCGTCGGACTTGTCGAGACTGGCCGCCGTCGCTGCCAGCCAAGCCTGCGTCCGTGCGCTTGCTCCCTCACCGCGAGTTCCGTTTGAATGAGGACCCATGCTCAGCCGCCTGCTAATGCCGCCGACTCGAGGACCGCCAGGACCGAACGTGTCGTCGGCTTGACGAAGACTGTAAAGCCTGGCGAGCGGACTCTCCTTCGTCGGCGCCGAGCTCGACAAGTCGAGTCGCGAGATGGCGCCGTAATCGCTGGCGACGCTCGAGCGGCGGCGTCGATGCCGAGTCCCGGTGGCATTTGCAGGGAGACGTTCGTCGACGGTGTGAAAACGTCGCAGTTCGCGACCTGTTCCGCCGGTTGGGGCGGCGACGGGATGAGAACGGCTAGGTAGGGCGGCGAAGTGGGTGCGGGGGGAGGCCGGAGGCGATGCGGAGACTCCGCCTGCAGGCGAGTCGTCGCCTGTGCGAGGGGGTAAGGGCGGGAAGGCCGTCGCCGTTGCGCCTGAAGACGTAGACGGTTCTTCCGGACTGCTCGGGAGAAGACCGCTGTGGCGCGCCGAAGGCAGTCGGTTCGGTTTGACGCGGATCGTGGACGTCTCCGAAACGCCTGCGAAAGACGCTTGACGAGAAAGCGGGACGGGCGCGGAGGGTGTTGGCGTGCCTGTCACGAGGGCGGAAGCTCGCGGTTGGCCGTTCTGCGCTTCGCGCTGCGCCTCCGCCAGCATCTCTTGCTGCACAGCGTACACCTTGGCCGGGTCGAGAGCCGTCGAGGCGCGACTGCTGATCCGCTTGCCGCCGCCGCGCCCGGCTTCAAGAACCGCCTCCTCAACATCGTCCGGCCCGCCGAACGACTCGTCTTCGTCGAAGCCTTCCTCAGACGAGCTCTTCTCGTCGCCGGACGGAGTGTACTCGAAGATCGCCTCGCACTCCCAATGTGCGCCTTCGAGCAGGCTGAGCTTCTCGGCCCACTTTCGCGGTAGCCTCGCCGTAATCGCGACCTTGACGTCGCCCCACCAATCGAGAAAATAGCTGCCGCCCGCGCTCTGACGCTCGTACAGGGCGATAATGAGGAGGATCGGAAGCGACAACGTCCGAGTGGCGAAGACGTTGACCTTGTGGAACCAGCGCGGCGAGAGTACGCGCGAGAGAGGCCACATGCCGCAGAGAGCAATGAGGTTGAGCGGCGGGACGTCTGCGTCCACAAGCCGGTTAGCGTAATCTCCCAACGGAAGCGAAGACTTGACGCACAGTCGAATAAGCTGTTCCCCTTGACGCCCTCGAAGCAGCCGACAGCCTTGCGGAACATGTCTTCGGCGGCCTGCAGTTCCAAGTGTGAGCACACAGAAAGCAGCGGAGCGAGGCAGCCGACGTACAGCGTCATTCGCGATGTTAGCGTAAGTCGTCGACAGGATGGCGACGAGGACGGAGGTGAGGAGAGTGTTCGAGAGCGCGGCGAACGAGACGAAGAGGATGGGTCCGAGGACGTGATCGAACTTGGGCGATTCGTCGATGCCAGAACCGTCGAGGCCGAAGAAGATGAAGACGAGCCTGCGAAGGATCGAGTCAGCTCTACAGGCGATTTGAGTGGCTCGCCAGGCAACGCACCATTCGCTAATGCGCATCACCGAGTAGGCGCCCTCGGAGAGGTGGTTGAGCGCGAAGACGAAACCAATGAAGCTGGCATAGAACGAACGTCAGCGGCGAGCGAGCTGACGGCAAGCTGGACCGCACCAGAAAACGGTTATGCTCATCAGGAAGAAGAAGTCGAGCAGCATTGCGCGCAAACTCAGGATGAGGAGGTTGTTCGAGATGGCGGTGAAGGCGAGCCTGTGCTCGTCGAGGAGTCAGTATCAGCACGCTCCGAGGGAGGGAATGACTCACCTTGGGAATAGCAAGCATGCAGCGAGACTAAGGATGGCGTAAGATCGCTCACTCATCCTCGCGTCGTTCGTGTAAACGCTGTGGGCGCGAAGAACGAATGCGGCGCAGTAGATGGGCAGGCTGACGGCGTCGAGGCCGTTCGTCAGTCCGGCGGCGTAGACGGACCACCCATGCTCGGCGATGGACGTGATCTTGTCGAGCGTGTAGCCGATCGAGTAGAAGAAGAACCAGAGCTCCATCCACGAGAGCTTCGAGACTGGCGTGCCATCGTACCGGCTGTGGCGGTCGAGAATGACGAGGAGGAACGAGACGAAGAGGACGATGAAGGTGCAGAACTCGATGACGGCGCGGTACTTGGGAACGCGCAGGCGGTAGTGGTCGAGCACCGGCGCCTTGTGCACCTCGTACAGCGAAACCTCGCGCGTCTTGTACCGGTCGCCGAGGAAGTCGATGAAGGACGAGCTCGTGTAGGTGATGCGGCCGTCGTAGATGGCGTTGATGACTCGCTGGCAGGTCTGGCTCTTGATGAAGTGGCGAGCCTTCCCAAGGATGGCGAGTTCGAGCGCGTTCGTCTTTGACGCCCCTTGCGCCGCAACCCGACTCGAGTATCCCTCTCGCTCCCTGATTCGCTCGACGACCTCCTCGCTCGCCCCCTGAAACGCATGGAACCCGCCGACGAGCGCTCGCGCCATCGCCAACAACCCCTGATTCGGTCCCTTTGCCAAGGCTGCCTGATGCCGCAAAAGCTTGACAGCCATGATCTCGCATAACCGCGCGCGAGTCTCGTTGATGGACGAAGAGGCGAGCGCCGAGTCTCGCTCGCGTATGAACTGGAGGCGGCAGAGGAGGAGGACGTAGACGATCGATGGGTCGCAGCGGTCGGCTAGGTCGGCTTCGAGTGGGCGCATCGTCGTGAAGTGGAACTCGGGACTGCAGGCGCGTAAGAGCGAGAGTGAGAGGTAGGCTCTCGCGTCGAGAAGGAGAACGATCCGGACTCACGTGAAGAACTGGCTCTCCGAGACTGCAACATCCACGTCCCGTCTGATACGCTTCATCAACCAGTGTCTGCACGCAGACAAACAGCAGATGTGTGAGTTTCGACTTCATCAGTACACCGCCTCTGCTCACACCTCGAGAGGTCTCTGGGAGATGTGAGCGAGTGAGAGCTGGACGCACGCATTGCCAAACACGTCGCAAGATGCGAGCTGCTCCATGCGATCCGCCCCAGGCCCCAGGAAGCCGTTGCAGTCGCTCTGAGGCTCGGCATGTGAGGGTCCGCGAACGGTCGAGTCTGGCGAGAGGAGCGCCGTTCGCTCCGTAGCCATGGCGACGAGCTTCCAGGAGAGTGCTCTAGCAAGCAAGCAGCGCGAACGAGCGAGGAGGCGGTGTGGGCGAGGGCGAAGAGCAGGAGAACAAGCGGAGGGCAGAGAGACCTCAAAGGTTGTCCGCCAATCTGCCGTTCTTGAAGGTAAATAGAAGCCTCTCTGCGGAACGTGCACGCTTCGGCAAGGGGCGCGGCGAAAGAAACGGTCGTACGGCCGAACGGACATGCTGCTCCCCTAGATGCACTTTCATTCGTTACAGGACAGGTACATCGCGATCCTTCAGCCTGCTGCATTCCGGTACAGCGACAAGTCTCAGCGAGTCTTCCTTGCGTCACCTCCGTCCTCGACCTTGAACTGGAACCGCCCGGTCGCCTCGAGCCGCTCAACGAGGACGTTCCCGAGCGCCGTCGCAGGCGTGAGGAAGCCGCCGTGCTTGGCGATAGGAGGGAGGCGGTCGTAGTCTTTGAGAAGGCAGAGGGCGCAGGAGGAGATCAAGACGGAGGTTGCAAGGTATCCCTGTGAGCGAGCGTGGTCAGTCGGGGCGCTTTGCAGAGAGAGTCTGATTCAGTACGCACAGGGTCACCCTTCGCCTTCTGCACCACGCGAGACTCGTACCGCCCATCCTCGCTCTTCGCAACCGTCGTAGTCTCGTACCAGCCGTTCTGCTGCGCCTCGGGACTTGGTCCCTCGCCCGACTTGGGTCCGAAGCGCTTGACGAGCCATCGGATGGGCGAGATCAGGACTGGAGAGGCAATTGTCAGCTAGATGCTCGGCTCAAAGGGAGGAAGAGTCGTACAGATCGAGCCGAAGACGGTGAAGAAGGTGAGACTTGCGAGAAAGGCGGAGATGGGACCGGGCATCTTGAGGAACTCGTCATAGTGGAAACGAGGGCCGTAGGCAAGAACGCGAGAAGAGGGGTCGGCCGACTCGAGAACGCCCCAAGATCGATGCACGACGGCCGTGTTGACGGGCGCCATCATGAAGAACGCGCCCCAGGTCGTCTTGCCCTGGAACGTTTGCGAGCCGACGACGACCGGTCGTCCCTTATGCACACCACGGATTGGCGAAAGGGCGTAGGTGTCGGCCGCGACCTTGAGCGCCTCCTTGTCCTCCGTCTCGCGCATGTTGACGATTGATGCGAGCGTTCCGCCCGACATGCCGCCCTTTGCGCGGAACGACGTACGGACCTTGCCGGCGCGAACGTCGTCTCCGCCGGCCTGCTTGAGACGCTGGACGGCGAGGAAAGCGCCAATGTCGGACGGGATCGAGTCGAACCCGCAGCAGTGGATGATGGTGGCTGTGTTCTCGAGAGCGATGCGGCCGTACTTCTGGTTCGTCTTGTAGATGAACGGATTCTCGCCGGTCAAGTCGACGTAGTGGACGCCTTCCTCGGCGCAGACCTTGACGAGCGGCTCGCCGTGGATGAGGTAAGGCCCGATGAGGGAGATGACGACCTTGACCTGCTTGACGGCCTTGCGAAGCGCTTCTTCATCAGACGAGTCGGCGATGAGGACCGCTGCCGGCTTGACGCCAACCTCCCTCATCTTCTCCTCGATCTTCTGCCGGTTGCGGCCGCCGACGGCAAAGGTGAAGTTCTGAAGCGGGGCCTGGGTAGCGAGGTACTTCGAGACGAGCTGTAAGAGCGCTTGAGTGCGTTAGCGAGCCTCAGAAAGAGAGGAGAGGCGGGCGCACCTGTCCTGTGAAGCCCGAGGCGCCCATCACCAAGATGTCGTAAGCCTTTGCAGATGCCATGGTGACGCTGTAAGCTGTGTAACGAGGTCAGCGAAGGCGTCGAAGGAGAACCTGGCGAAATCATGACGAACCTTGGCCGGCGGTTCAAGGAGGAAGTGGGAGGCGAGGCTAGCGGGTCAGGCGGGTCAGATGAGCGTCGTATCGAGTTTAGCAGAAGGGCAAGCGTGCAAGGGAGCCGTTTCGAGTCGCAGCGAGGAGTGGGCGGGAGGGAAGAGAGCGATCGCCTTGTTCGGCCACCTCGACCAGCGTCACTCTCCTGTCCTGCGCTGGAAGAGCGCCTTGGGTGTGCTACTGACGTTGCTAGACACACTGCCAATGCCGACCGACCTCGCCACGCGCCGCACGACCCGAGGAAACGGCGACTCCATCTTCATCAGCTCACGAGGAGGAACGGGACTCACCGCTCGGCTTGGGCATTGGGAGGGCGTGTGAAGAGCACTCATGCCGTTGCTAAGTTCTTCGGAGGCTTGACTCAAGTCTGGCAGCTTGGGGAATCTGCCAACGTCGCGATTCGCCTGGATGGAGCAGGAGGAAGACGGCGTTGGCAGGGCAGCTGTCCTTACTCCGAGATCTTACGACTCCTTACTAAGCTTTATAGCGACTCGTCGAGACGCGGGGCTCGCGGACACGCCGCTTTTTCGAGCGATCCACGCCTCCTCTCCCGGACCTCCTCTTCGCCGCCTCGCTCGGCCAACCCTGAGCTCACTGTTTGCGCCGACGAAGAACGAGCTGGACTGTTTCGACGCTGCTACGACCGTCACGAAGGCTCCTGCTGGCCTGGGACGACCGTACGACCTTTCAAGCCTTCCCCTTCGCTCGTGTCTCCTCCCTCGAGTGTTCCGCAACGACATCACTCAACCTCGCGATATTACGCTCAACGACGCACTCGCGATGGCGATGGACGCCTCGGTACTGTACTTGACGCTCGGTCTCGCCCTGTTCTCGTGAGTCCCGCTTCCCTCCAGCCGAACTCGCGCTGACCAGCACGACCCCGCAGCTTCTTCTGCTCGACCTACACGACGCTTCGCACGCTCCTGCCCCTCCTCCCTAATCACCCTCTCAACCGTCGAACCGCAGGATCCGCCGTCGGGTCCTTCCCACCTGCTGCTTCGCCGTCCACCGAGAAGCGACCACGACTGAAGTCGGCGCAGCGCTTTGCCGCCTATCTCTCGGTCGTCGACATCTGTGAGTGTGGTATGTGGCCCTGAAGACGTGAAGGACGATGCTGACCCAGATTGCTGACGCAGTTGCCGCCGTCGTCCTGGTGTGGGAGGTCTCGACAGCCGTCTCTGGCAACTCTCAGCTCGGCGACTTGAAGCTCGCAGCAGCCCGCATCTATCTCGCGACTACAGCGAGGCCGACTCTCCTCCTCGTTGTCGCGATCCTGTCCTACGCCAATGTCTGCTTGGGCCGGTCGATTGCACTCGGGAAGGCCGACTGGTGCGTCTCGCTCCTTCGCTTCTACAGATACATACTCTGATCGCATGAGCACAGGATTGTTTGGGCGCCCGCACTCGTCGTTTATACGGTCGGAGGTGGCCTAGCAGCACTCCCGAAAGTCGGCGGCTCAAACGTTTGGATCGGCCTCATCTCCTGGCTTTCGCTTGTCACGGCTGTCGGTGCGCTCCCGTCGGATGCAGGTCGCCTTCGACGTCAGGACTGACTCTTTCTTCCCCAGTCACGGTCTGCTTCGGCCGCCTGCTCGTCGCCATCCTTCGAGTTCGCCGGATCACCCAATGCGAACAGATCTCGCGCTTCGCGGTCGAGCAGGACAAGATGGTCTCGCCCGCCGACCTGCCGTACGGCAACTACTTTCCAACCTTCCACAATAACTTCTCCGGCTTGTCGACCTCGTTCGTCCATTCGATCGGCCGCTCGTCTTCCACCGTCAACCTCCCGACCCAGCCAACCAACGCCCCGTCGATCTTCGAAGGAAAGGCTTCGAGACCGTCTCGCGCTTCGACTGAGGACGGCGATTACGACTATCGCCACGACTTCCGTTCGCCTACGCCGGGCTCGACTTACGGACTCCTCGACCGGTCGGCCTCTGCCCTCTCGGGGCGTTCAACACCGCAACTCGGCCCTCGTCTACACATCTACGAAGACGCGCATGAGATCCTCGAGTTCGACCAGGACAAAGCTGACAGCCAGACGACCACTTCTCGTCGCTCAATCAGCTCGATCGCTTCTCGCGCGTCGACGTACCTCTCGCCAGGCGGCTTCGTCGCTAAGTCGGCCGTGCGCAACGCCGTCAAGGTGCAGGAGGCGTGGGGAGGACAGACGCCGCCTGGAACGGGTCATTCACCAGCCGTTGAGCTTTCCTCAAAGGAAGCGAGGGGCGCCCTCGTTCGTATTGGCGGACACCTCGCGTCTTGCCTGCTCGGATACGCCTTCGTCTCGCCTTTCGTCATCTCCCGCCTCATCCACCCTTCCGCCTCCGTTCCGCTCGTAACCTCCATCCTTCTCGTCATCGGCGTCTGCCAGCCAGGCGTCATTCTCGCCTGGCAGTGCTGGTCGAGCGAAGGGTTCTGGTTCCGCCGCCCTCATCCGCCTATTCCAACCTCGTCCTCCGCACTCGCGCTCGAGAAGCTCGAGGTGGTCGTCGAGAACGAGAAGGTCGACTTCCGCGCGGAGAGCCGCGCGTCGACGGTGAGGACCTACAAGGACTCATTGCCGGGGATCGTGCCGGACGGCGTGGATTGCAATCCGATGCAGCGTGGCAAACTCGGTGCGTCGTCTACACTGCAATCTGAGATGTCTCGCTGACAGCCTCTCGCTCTCAGGCCGCGCGATCTCGATGCTCGAGGCTCACCCGAAGCTCCAGCTTCTTCCTTCGCCAACCCCCGTGACTTCGACTGCCTCAGCCGTCAAATCTGCTTCCACCGGTCACGCTCGACTCCGTTCGCTCAAGCTATCGAAGGCAACCATCGGCTCGTTCGGCGAGACGGGCACGACCCGACCCCGTGCCGGAAGCGGCGCCAGCAGGAAGACGGTCGGCGGGTTCGAGCATCATGCTCGACACGTCTCGGCGCCGCTTGACCCGACCGATACCTCGCTCGTCGTCTCGCTCCTCAAGGCGAAGAAGCGCGCAAGCGATTCGCATCGCCAGCCGAGCCGGGAGCGCATTCCCTTCGGCTTCAAGGACTCGAACACGCGCGAGCGTCCGGCTTCGACGAGCATCAGCAAGTCGCCCCTCATTTCGCCTTCCTTCGCACCTTCTGCCGACTTCACCGGCCTCACTCGCGAGCTTACCATCTCATCGATCGACTCGAAGCCGCACACGGACCCGCCTCCTCCCGTCCCGCCTCTCCCGCAGCAGATCGACTACCTCAGCGCTAAAGTCCTCCCCAAGCTTGTCCCGTCGATCAAGCTCGGAAACAACGTATCTGTGGCTGCGAAGGATGCGCCGCTTCCCCGCCCGTTGTCGACCACGCCAGCGGACGAATCGCGCTTCGACTCGTTCGCCTCCCGAAGGTCCCGCATGTCGGGACGCTTCTCGCTCGCCGGAGCGGTGGATGCGGGACCAACGAAGGTCGCGCACATGTCGGAGGTGTGGGTCTCGATCGACGCGCCGGAGGTGGGCGAAGCGGCGATGGCGCCGTCCGTCTCGCAAGAACCGTCTCCATCCGAAAACTCAGCGGGCTCGCCAAGTTCAGCTGCCGAGCACGTCCCGGCGAACGGAGAGAAGACGAACCATACCCGCACCGCATCCAGCGGAACTCGCCTCGACATTTCGTTCGAATGGGAAGATGCGAGCGAGGTTCTCGACGCGGGAACCCTGGCAGACGCCTCGTCATCCGACGATGACGGGGACAGCGACGCAGAGGCTGCCGCATTTCAAGCGCACCGGCGCGCTCGTCAATCTGTCTCGCCTCTCTCGCCAACTTTCGCCACCGGCTTCTCGCAAGACGCGTACCTCAAGTCTCCGCCCTCGACCAGTCACCCTCACTCGCCGAACGGCTCCGTCATCCTCCGCGGATTCACAGGTCTTCAGCGAGGAAGAGGATGTTCGCACCGGGACGATCCAGTGTGCCACTGTTCGCCCGATCTCGCGACAGTCCGACTCTTCGTCCACCGAAATGACCCATGCGTACGGCCTGCGCCCGACCCACGTTCCCGTCGCATCGGTCACCTCGTCTCGCTCCTTCGCCTCGCTATCGTCGCTCACCTCGCAAGGCTTCCACAACATGATGGCGTCGCAATGTGCGGCCCCTTTTTTCGTCCTTCGCCTTCGTCTCACTGACCGTCTGTCTGATTCAGCTTGGCACGGCGGGAATAGCGACTCTGCGCTGAGTTCCGACGAACAGCAGCGTCACAATCGACCCGGCTCGCGCCCGCTCTCCCTGCTCAGTCAGCGCGACGTCAACGTGATGTCGTCTGATGAGAGCAGCGAGCGCGAGATGCAGAAGATCTCGCACCACCGCGCCGCCACCACCCTCCGCAACTCAAACCCTTCTCATTCTGCCCTTCCTCGCCTTCCCCTTCCGCCCATCCCAGCCAGGTCCGAGGATGAGCACGATGAAGTACTCAAGACGCCTACTACGACGCCTTCAGCTCGCCGTCGTCGTCCATCTCGTGCGCCCCACGACGTCGGCCTTCCCAAGCCTACCTCGACTCCTTCCTCGTCTGCCGTTCCGACACACACGCCTCCGAACGTCACATCGCGCTCTCGAGCCCGCAAGCTCGTCAAAAGCCCCGTATACAATGACGAGAACATTCCGCCTGCTCGCCCTGCCCCTTCTCGACCCCTTCCGCAGCCACCGACTCGCCAGTCCGACTTCACTCGTCCTCTGCGCACCCTTCGCTAGGCTGGAGGAGCTGGACTCCTTTGGCGGATGTGCAGGTCCCTCTATTCCCCCAAGTCTCTTTTTGTCCTCACTCCCGTCGTCTTTTCGTCTTTCTCCATTCCTAGCGACCCCTGGCGTCTTATTGCACTCAAAGGCTTCTGTTCGCGTCTCTTGTGCTGCGAAGAATGCGAACAAGCCAGCGAACTCTTTCATTCCGCCTCTCTCCCTCCTTCATGACGCTGGGCCTCGCGACAACGCGTCGAGGACTGCCGTCGCTGCATTGCGCTGCTCGAAGGACCCCTCCCGACTCTTTGCGACCGCCCCGCTTTGCCACGAACGTTCGCTCATTCTCCTCGACCTCTGCACCTCGCTCATCGCCCAAGGTCCCTCCCACTCGCGAGTACTTCTACGACGTCGACGTGCACGGCCAGCTCTTCCTCTCCAGCACCAAGCACCGCAACGTAGCCACAGCCTACCGCGACCCACGCTTTCTCTCCACCCTCTACGCCCGCATACGACGGAACACGGGCGACGACGAGAAGTCGCAGAGCGTCCGGCAGCAGGGCTACGAGTTTCAGAGCGACTGTCTAGGGGAGCGCAATTACCTTCGTCCGGACAAGGACGGCACAGTCCTTGTTTTTCAGACCCTCGAGGGAGGAGGTGCGTTTCCTTCCCGTCTGGCTCTGCGTCCTTGGCCCGCTGACTTCAGAGCGCACAGAACTGTACTACGGAGGCTCTCTCACCACCCCCTTCGATCCCGCCACACTACGCGTCGACCCAAACTCGGGATACCTCTTCCACCCTTCACCGATTCCCTCCCGAAGACGAGCAACCAGCGAAACGTCTCGCTACGGTCCATACTCGCTGCTCAGGTCGTCTCTCGTCCTCGAGCATCTTGCCAGCAGCCTCGAGTTCGACGACAACGGGCGAGGGAGTTTCGAGTATCGAGGAAAGAGGTTCGATCTCTCGAAACTCGAGGACGGCGATGTATGGCGGCGGGTTGATTGACGTGCATAGCCGGAGTCGTCTGTAGATTGTGTTCAGCCTGTTGTTGTCTTGAATCGCGCGCATTTGTGCATCGCTCCTCGTCCCGCTTGGTTCCTCCTCAACCACGCGCTCGTTTCCCGCTTTCATGGTCCGGGTCTCGCCGGACGCTACCGGCGCTGCTTTCGAGCTCTCCGGCACGCCTCACGATGACCCAGCTCGCCGGCCGGCCAAGCGACAGCGAACTTCCTCCCTCCCGACGGCGAGCGACTTCTGGATTGACAGCTTGCCAGGCTTCCGTGCGTGATGGCCGTGCCCGTGACTGAACTATTAAGCTGACGGTCTCTTCTACCAGGCGGCGACTTTCGCCTGTCCCTCTACGGCGGCAACATCCCCTCCGCGACCCACACGACCCCACCTGCTCCTGCCGCCGACAGCGACGCGCACCTGTACTTCTTGCTCGCGCGAAACAAGCACATCCCAAAGCGAGAACGACTGGTCATCTGGTGCGGCGCGCTTCAGTCGAGGAAGCTGGACCGACTCGTGTTCTTGCTCTCCGAGGGCTGACCCTTTCTCCGTCCGCAACAGGCTGAATGGCGGTCCAGGGTGTTCCTCTTTCGACGGAGCACTGATAGAACTCGGTCCTCTGCGGATAGACGAGAGCGGAACGCCGCGAGTTGTCGAGGGTACAGCTTGGAACGAGTATGCAAATGTCCTTTTCCGTGAGTCCGCCTCGCCTTCTGCCCCTGAGACTCTCAGCACGCACTGACGACTTTCTCAACGTACAGTCGACCAGCCTGCCGGGACCGGCTTCTCCTACGTGTGTTGACGCCCCTGCTCTTCCTGCGAGTTCGCTTCTCACCGTTCTCCCCCCAGGTCACGAAGAACGACAACGTGCGCGAGCTAGCCGACGCCGCAGATCAAGTCGTCAACTTTCTCGCCAACTTCTACCGCGTCTTTCCGGAGTTCAGCAGCATGGACACGTACATGGCCGGCGAGAGCTACGCTGGACAGTACATCCCGTACATCGCGGACGCGATAGAGAAGACGACGATCGTCAACACGCCTCTCAAGGGTCTCTTGATTGGCAACGGCTGGATCTCGCCGCGAGAACAGTACCCAGCCTACCTCGACTACCTCCTCGACCAGCGACTGGTCAAGGAGAACTCGCAAGCGCACCGCAATATCCGCAAGGTGCTGGACAAGTGCGAGGAGAAGCTCGCGATGATTGAGAGGGATGGCGGGAAGGGCATGGTTCTGGTCGGCGAATGCGAGCAGATCTTGGGTGCAGTTGGAGCGGCGACTGGCAAGGAGTGCGTACGCTCTCCCATATCTTGTGTGTGACTCGACGCTGACGCTTCTGGTGCCTCAGCGGTCTCTGCTTGAATTTGTACGACACGCGAGAGTATCACGCTTGTGGAACGGAATGGCCGCCAGCGCTCAAACAAGTCTCGGGTTTCCTGCGGGTGCGTACAAGCGATTCGGGAGCGACTGAGCTCGTCACTGATCTCGACAGCCGCCCTTACAGAGCCGGAATGTGGTCAAGGCCTTGCATGCCGAGAAGGGCCCCGAGTCTCACGGACCTTGGACGCAATGCTCGTCTTCCGTCGGCGCCAAGTTCTGGACGCCTAGCTCGGTCCCGTCGGTTGTCCTGCTCCCGCAACTCCTCGAGAAGATGCCGATCCTGCTGTACAACGGCGACAAGGACGCGATGTGTCCCGGTATCGGCATTGAGAAAATGATCGACAAGCTTCAGTGGAACGGCGCAACAGGCTTTGTGCGTTCGCTTCGCCTCAATTCTACTGGGTAGCTGCTGACCGTGGTCTGCGACTACAGGAAGACGCAGAACCGCTCGACTGGTCCGTCGACGGCGAGTCTGCCGGCCGCTGGACGACCGCTCGCAATCTGACCTATGTCGAAGTCTTCAACTCGTCGCACATGGCGAGTACGAGTCCGCTGGTCTATTCAGCTCCTTTGACTGATTGTTCCTTTGCGCAGGTCCCGATGGACAAGCCTCTCGCGGCGCACGACATGCTTCGTTCGTCTCGCTCCGCCCAGCGCTGCGAAGCTAGCAAGCTGACCATCTCCGTCGCGCAGTCCGCTTCATGCAAGTCGACACGCTCCATTCAGCCGGCTCAGCCGCCAAGATCCCCTCTCGCATCGGCTCTTCGCCCGAAGCCGTTCTCGCGCCAACCCTTCCGAACGGCACCGCCCTCGTCCCTCCCTCCGTCCTCGATACGACCCTCGACGGCGCCGAAGCAGACGGCTCAGCGGAGAAGGTGATCGAGGACGGCTACGATGTCGAGCATGAGCGGCAGTTTGGGCCGAGGAGAACGGCCGCGCTGGTCGTCTTCCTCCTGCTCTTCGTGGGAGCGCTGTGGGGCGTCGTACACTGGCGGAAGGCGGCGAGGCGGGAGCGGTACAGGCGGTTGAAGGGTAAAGGGCGGGCGACTGTCCCGCTCGACGAGAGGCGGGACCGGGGGGACTCGAAGCGTGCGAGTAGGCGAGACGAAGGAGCGTACCACGACGACCGACCCGAGCCCACACCGGATGAGGCGCCCGAGACGGTCGCTGTCTTCGACATCGGCGAGGAGGACGAGTACGATGAGGAGGAGCGGAGAGTGGGGCGGCGATACGAGGACGACGAGGACGAGGATGGGAAGGGAGATCTGGGCAAGGCAGCGGAGGATGCGAATCCTTGGCGGGTAGACTCGGCGAGGCGGTACTAGCTGACGCGAAGTAGACGGAGCGGGCTGTCATCTATCCAAGCATTCGCAAGACTCCGTCCCTTCTGGCTTTTAGAGTAAGACAACAACAGCGTGTTCCGTGGACTGGATACTGATACGACGCAACGACTGCTACCCATTCCCTGCCTTTCCTACCGCTTCACTGGCACTCCTCCCTCTGCCTCCCCGCCCTTCCACTTATTCCATCCTGCCTCCAACTCCTCCTCCAGCACGATCTTCTCCCACTCGCTCAGCCCGCCATCCATCTTGCCGACTCGCTCAAGCACCTTCTCCCTCGCCTTGACGCCGCGAGATTGGTCCGCCAGTACGAGCAGGTCGGAGGGCGACCGGCAGCCGAGGGCGTGGAAGTGCGGTGTAAGGCGCGTAAGGGACGGGAGCGGGAGGGAGGAGAGAAAGGTTGAGATGTCGGGTACCGCGGAAGGAAGGGGAGGAGGGCATTGCGCGGATTGGCGGGAGGAGCTGGAAGGGCGCTTGGCGGTATTCGGTAGGATAGACGCGACGGGGAGGATTGGAGACACGGTCGATGGGCTCGAGGGAGTCGGGAGGTATCCTGGTGGAGGAGGCGGTGGCCGGTGAGAGGATGAGGCAGGGGCTTTCGCAGCCGCCCGCTTCGAAGGTGCCTCCAGTATGACAGCCTCGTCGTCTTCCTCATCTGCATCCGGCTCGACCTTGATCCGCACCCGTTCCTGCTCCGTGCTCGCTTCTTTCTCCATCCGCCGCTTCTCGAGCGCGACCAGCCTCGCATCCTGCAATTGCGCCCTCTGTCTCGCCCGTTCTTCTCGTGCGTCTGACGTGAGGGAAGAGGTCGTCGAAGCGGCAGGAAGCCTGAGAGTGAGGGAGGTGCGCCGGCGTTTCTTCGAGGGCGAGGCGGAGGGAGAGGAATGGTCGTCCGCGTCGGCGTCGGGCTCGGCTGAGGCAGTTGACGCTGCTCGTCGAGGCGTTCGTGCCGATGCGGCCGTCTTTCTCGCCGGACTATCCCGCCGCGAGCGCTTGTCGACCTCCGTCACGTCCTCCTCCTCGTCCCGCAAGTCGCGCTTGGCGGCGCTTCTCGGCGCCGATTTCGGGGCGTGTCCTCTGTCCAACCCTATGCGCTCATGATGAGACCGCTTAAGGCGAGCCCTTGCATCACCATCCGCCCTCTGCTGCCCCACCTGTCCTGGATCCGCTGCTCGCTTCGCTCCTCGCGCTGGACTCGATTTCGCGCGCTTGGCGGGTGACGGGGCGCGAAAGGTCGATGCAGCAGCAGCGGGAGGCGGCAGGCAGTCGAGCTCGTCGTCTTCGGGGGACAGAACTGGAGGGTGTCGGTCGACAGGACGGGGAGACCAAGATGGGGAGCGCTTGAAGACGAGGGGCATCCCGTGCACGGTCTAGTGATGCTCAGCAGCACTGTTCAGCCAGTTCTATCGTGTCTTTAGCCCGTTCAGCGAGTTGCAAGCGACTTGTATTCGAGCAAGCTTCCTGCCCAAGGTTGACTCGCTGCTTGACACGGCGCGAACGACTCGAGGCTTTGCGAGTCAGGCCAGTGCATGCTGCAGAGGGCCACACGAGCAGTCCTGAACCGTACACCCCGCCCAACTCGCCCGCTTGCTCTCTCGCTTCATCTCTCTCCGCCAACCCGCACAATGTCGACCACTCCCGCTCCCGCAGCCTCGCCGGTTCCCGTTGCGACCGAGCAGAACACCCAGCAGCCCGCAGGAGACGTCCCGCTCGACGCCAACGGCCAGCCGCTGACCAAGTCGGCGTTGAAGCGCCTCCAGAAGGAAAGGGACCTCGCGGCGAAGAAGGCGCTCAAGCAGGCGCAGAACCAGGGCAAGCCTGCTCCGGCGGCGCAGGCGGGCGAGGGGAAGAAGAAGGAGAAGCCCGCGAAGAAGGAGGAGGTTGTCGAGGAGCCCCCGTACGGCGAGACCCAGGATGGCGACAAGAAGGGTGCGTCTGCGTTCTCTTCTCGCTCGTTCTGCGCTTGCGCTTGCTGGGAGGTCTCAATGTACTTCGGAGAGCGATCTCGATGAGTAGGAGAATGAACGAAGGCGAATTGATGAACTGACCTTGCCCTCCTCAATCCGCTCATGCAGACCTCTCGCGCCCCATGGCCGCCGGCTACAACCCCGACCACGTTGAGAAGTCATGGTACTCATGGTGGCGCTCGCACAACTTCTTCGTCCCCGCCATCCCCTCTTCGTCGCCCTCCGAGTTCTCCCACTTCGATGCCAACCCGCAGTTTGTCCCGCGGGAAGGCAGTGGTGATGTCGACTGGAGCAAGATCGACCCCGAGAAGACGTTCGTCATTCCTGCGCCCCCGCCCAATGTCACAGGCAGCCTGCACATCGGACACGCCCTCGCTTTCGGTTTGCAGGACACCCTCATTCGCTGGTACGTCCCTGTCTCGCTTCAATACTGTTGCGAACGAGCTCTGAGGCTATTTCGCGCACGTACAGGCACCGCATGCGCGGCTACACCACCCTCTTCGTCCCCGGCTACGACCACGCTGGTATCTCGACTCAGTCGGTCGTCGAGAAGCGCCTCGCCAAGCTCGAGGGTCTCTCGCGACACGATCTCGGGCGCGAGAAGTTCCTTGAGCGGTGTATGGCATGGAAGGAAGAGTGCGTCGCGATTTTCTGCTTCTCGACCGGGAAGCGCCTTGGACTGTGGCTGACTGAAGGCATTTGTCCCCCCGCACAGGTACCAGACGCGCATCACGAACCAGATCTGCCGCCTCGGTGTCTCGTGCGACTGGGACCGCGTCGCGTTCACCATGAACCCTCAGCTGTCGAAGGCTGTCGCCGAGACCTTCGTCCGCCTGCACGACGACGGCATCATTTACCGCGCGAACCGCCTCGTCAACTGGTGTGTTGCGATGAACACGACGCTGTCAAACTTGGAGGTGCGCCCTCTCGCGTCCTTGGCTGCCAGTTCTCCTTCGCGCGAGAGGAGCTGGCTGCGCGGTCGCTGTCGACTGACTCCGTCACCGACAGGTCGACCAAAAAGTCCTCACGGGCCGCACCCAGCTTCCTGTCCCCGGATACGACCCGAAGGAGAAGTTCGAGTTCGGAGTCATCACCTCGTTCGCCTACCCTCTCGAGGGCTCCGACGAGAAGATTGTCATCGCCACGACTCGTCCGGAGACGCTGCTTGGTGACACTGCGATTGCCGTCCACCCGGACGATGAGCGGTACAAGGTGCGTCCCCGACTCCAACTCCGCCCTCTTATCGAGCTGACATGTCTCCCGCAACAGCACCTCCACGGCAAGTACGCCCTCCACCCCTTCCTCGACCGCCGCCTCCCCATCATCACCGACTCGATCGCCGTCGACATGTCGTTCGGTACCGGTGCCGTCAAGATGACACCCGCGCACGACCCGAACGACTACGAAGTCGGCATGCGCCACAAGCTCGACTTCATCAACATCCTCAACGACGACGGCACGCTCAACGCCAACGCCGGACCAGAGTTCGAGGGCATGAAGCGCTTCCACGCGAGGAAGAAGGTTGTCGAGGAGATGAAGAAGAAGGGGCTCTATGTCGGCGACGCGGAGAACCCGATGAGCATCCCGGTCTGCTCGAAGAGCGGCGACTTCATCGAGTCGGTCATGAAGCCGCAGTGGTGGGTCAGCTGCAAGGCGTTGGCGGACAAGGCTATTGAGGTCCGTCTTCTCTTTCTCCCGCTTCCGTACGTCCGAGCGAGCTGACTTGCTCTTTGGCATCCTTCCGCAGCGAACCAAGGCTGGCGAGCTCAAGATCCGCCCCGCCGCGTCCGAAGGCGACTGGTACCGCTGGCTCGAGGGCATCCAGGACTGGTGCATCTCGCGCCAGCTCTGGTGGGGTCACCGTGCGCCGGCATACTTTGTTAACCTCGAGGGAGAGGCTGCCGACGTGAGTCTGGCGATCTACGGACACCGGCGGCTGAGCTGACCGTCTCGCTCTCGCAGCGCATGAACAACGACTTCTGGGTTTCCGGCCGCGACCGCGCCGAGGCCGAGTCTCGCGCTGCGGCCAAGTTCCCCAACAAGCAGTTCACGCTCGAGCAGGACGACGACGTTCTCGACACCTGGTTCTCGTCAGGTCTCTGGCCGTTCTCGATCCAGGGCTGGCCCGATAAGACCCCCGACCTCGAGCACTTCTACCCTTCGTCGCTCCTCGAGACTGGCTGGGACATCCTCTTCTTCTGGGTCGCACGCATGGTCCTCCTCGGCATCTACCTTACCGGCCAGGTCCCTTTCTCCGAGGTTTTCTGCCACGCCATGATCCGCGACGCGCACGGTCGCAAGATGTCCAAGTCGCTCGGCAACGTCATCGACCCCATCGATGTCATCGAGGGCGCGTCGCTCGATGCACTCCACGCCCAGCTCCGGACGGGCAACCTCGCCGCGAAGGAGGTCGAGCTCGCCGAGAAGGGACAGAAGAAGGACTTCCCGAACGGCATTCCCCAGTGCGGTACCGACGCCCTCCGTTTCGCCTTGGCCAACTACTCGTCGACCGGCCGCGACATCAACCTCGAGATCTTGCGTGTCGAGGGTTACCGCAAGGTGCGTCCCCGGTCTTCTGGACGCGGCTTACAGCCTGCTGACTTCCATCGCGACGCGTACAGTTCTGCAACAAGCTCTGGAACGCTACCAAGTTTGCGATGCTCAAGCTCGAGGGCGACTTTGTCCCGCCTCAGTCGGAGAAGGTGCGTCGTCCCCTCCCCGCTCTGCTACATCGCTGACCGTCCGACGTCCGCAGCCTACCGGTCAGGAGTCGCTCGCCGAGAAGTGGATCCTCCACAAGCTCAACCTCGCTACCGGGAAGGCCAACGCCGCCTTGCACGAGCGCAACTTCATGTCGGCAACCTCGGATGCCTACGCGTTCTGGCTCTACGAGATCTGCGACGTCTACATCGAGGCGATCAAGCTCATCACCGATCCCGCCGCGAAGGACGTTGACGCCCGCCGCTCTGCCCAAAACACCCTCTACACCGTTCTCGACAACGGTCTCCGCCTCCTCCACCCCTTCATGCCCTTCGTTACCGAGGAGCTCTGGCAGCGCCTCCCTCGCCGACCGACCGACCAGACGCAGTCGATCATGCTCGCCAAGTTCCCCGAAGCGTCCGCCGACCGCGAGTTCTCGGACGCGGAGAAGGAGTTCGACCTCGCTTTCAACGCCGTCCGCGCGATCCGCAGCATGGCGACGAGCTACAACCTCAACTCGAAGCTTCAGGGTGCGTCTCATCGCCTTCTCCCCTCGTCGCTTTCGCTAAGTCTCGCTATTCGCAGTCTTCCTCCTCGCCCGAAACGCCGACTACGCCGCAACGCTCCGCAAGTCGACTGACGCCATCTCGGTCCTCATCAAGGGCTGCACGTCGTTCACCATCGTCGAGAAGGAGGACGAGCTGCCTGAGGGCTGTGTTGGCGAGCTCGTTAGCCAGGACCTGACCGCCTACTTGCTGCTCAAGGTGCGTCCGAGTCGGTGCTCTCCTCTCATCGACCGCGCTGACATTCATCTCGCACCCGCAGGGTGTTATCGACGCTAACGCCGAGATCGCCAAGTCGGAGAAGCGTCTCACTTTCGCCCAGGGCGCCCTCCAGAAGCTCGAGGCGCAGCGGTCGGCGCCCAACTACGCGCAGACCCGACCAGAGAACGTCCAGGCGCGCGAGGCGGCCAAGGTCGACGAGTGGAAGACGGAGATTGACGCGCTCGAAAAGGCGATCGCCAAGTTCGAGAAGCTGAGGGTCTAGATGAGGAGTAGACCGTAGATGAGTTGCTTGCAAGTGCTTTACCAGGACTCTGCGGATTTTGAGCCATCGATTGATGACGAGTTGCGATGGGCCGACCTGCTTGTCTCCTCCTTCTGCCTCCGCTTCGCGTCCCCGCTATACTCGTCCAGCTTCGCTTCGTCCCAAGTACCTACGGTTTTCCTGCCCGAGCGGCAGGTCCCCTACCTGGTCCCCAAGTCCTTCTCCGTCGTCGTCGCGTTCCGCCGAGCGCACTGTCGCACAGCAGCTCGCGACTGGCTCAGACTGCTTCAGTGACTGGACTGCCTCACTAGCTTCCCTGCGCACCTTGACTCCGTCCGCTCCTCTTCACCGCGCTCACTGCGTTTGGCGCTCCTTCCCCGTGCATCCCCTCGCGTCTCGACACCTCACGTTCCGACATGGACTCCCCCGCCGACGGTACCACCAGTCTCGAGCCGCAACTGCGAGCGCTCGAGGCAGATCTGATGGATCTTGAAGCCCAAACCTCAAGGTTGAGCTCGCTGACCCCGCTACGCGAGCAGCAGCTTGCAGAGCTGCAGAAGGAGGTGTCAACCGTGCAGATCGACCGAGCCCGCTTGCGGAACGATCTTGACTCTCTCCGACATGCCATGGGCAAGTACAGAGCGCTGGTTGGCGCCAGCGACAAGTTAGAGGAGCGCAGGCTTGCGATGCAGCGTGCGTCGTCCTTTCTTCCCGTCCCACTGTTGTCTCAAGGGAGGTCAGCTGATCGCGCTCTACACGCAGAACTGTGCTTGACAGCTCTTGCCCAAGCCGCGCAATCAAGCGATTCACGTACGAAGGGGTTCTCAGACGAAGAGATCGCATCTCTGCGCCGCTACTGGGACTCGTTTGAAGCTGGTGCGCATCCCGCTTCTCTTGCTTTGCCTCGGCTAACATCACCACAACCCAGCGCGTGGATGGGTCTTCTTGCCGATCGCATTCACCAGGAAGGGTGCACTTGACGAGGCTTGCGAAGTTCTTGACGCTCTCCAGCCCAACCTGTCGAAGAAGGTTCGTGCCGCCGCAACGATCCTGCGTCGTCAGCATCAACAGTACCAGCGGCAGCAGAAGCAGCAAGGCATCAGGAGGATCTTCGGATGCAGACTCCGGGAAACACCGCTTCCCTACCAGACCCTCTTGCCTGCATTTCGGATGATGGAGTCTCTCCTTGCCTCCTAGCGAACTTTGTAGCCTCATTTCTGTCGGGCTCAGCCCGAGAGAAGAGTAACGAGACGGCAGGGCAGGGAAGACGTGATAGCCGACGCGTTCACATTTTACGGGTCTACCGGAGAACCTGCCGCCCAAGGCACCTTAAGCACTTCAAGCCGACGTCCCAGCCCCTCCCACCGCTTCGCATTCTCAGCTCGCGCTTCTGCCTCGCCCAATCGCAACCCTCGCTGCATGTCCTCCGCCAAAGCCAGCTCCTCAAGAACCCCCGCAACCCAGTTGATGTCCGTCAGAGGCGTGAGATCTTCTGCTGGTTCAAGTGACGGCGATGGAGAGGAGCAGAAGGGCGAGCGAGGGGACGAGGCGGCGGGCGAGGCGAAGCCTGTTCGTGAAGGGATCGAGATGCTGGGTGCTCGAGGTGTTGGTGAGGGTGCTGATCGTGCCGATGCAGCTGAGCCATTCCGTGAGGCGGAGGAAGGGACGAGGCGAGCCTTGACGACGTCGTAAGGCGCCTCGCGACCTTTGACTTCGCGGATAATCTCGTCTGTGCCGAAGCGGTGAAAGACGCGAACGTCGAAGTGGCGGAAGAGGACACCGTCTATCCTTAGTGAGAAGCGGGAGAGGATGAAGAAGGAGAAGTGGTTGACGCGCTGTAGATCAAAGCGTGAGTGAACTTCGCCAACGAGGACACGAGAAGTCACGTACTACTCGGACGGTCACATCTGCGATGCCGTTGTCACCCAGTTCATCTTCAAATAACGGGATCTCGTCGAAAAACAGGATCGGGATGTCGGTGCGTGCGAGAAGAGGAAGCGGGATTCCGGAATGGGAGGGAGGAGCAGTTTGCCATTCTGCCGGAGCAGGCACGGCTGAAGTCGAGGCAGGCGACATTGTGCCTCGATGCAGAGTTGTGTATGTCCAGTCGAAGGGTTTCTGGACTTTCAGTCGAGCTGCCGAGCCGGAAGCCGCTTGCCTGCGGGCGAGAGAGCAGGTGAGCCCTACATTCGGCGACGTTCAGGCATCGGAACGCCTGTCATCTTACCCTCGCGACCACTCATCGGCGTGCGCAACCCGCACAGCGCCAGAGCCCGGCTGAGCGTCCCACCCCTCGCCCTTCTTGACCGCCTTGAGCATGTCGAGCATGTTCCATTCCAACGCGAAGCCGCTCGTCTCGTGGCGTACCAACAGTGCATTGTTGCCAAAGCAGATCTCGGGCAAGGCGAGGTCGAGGGCGTCGCTGGCACTGCAGGAACAGAGGTTCAAGGAGAGTTCAGCAGGTGCATGTCGTCTCAGTCAAACGGAAAGGGTGCTCACGCGTCTGCCTCGGGTATGGAGAGGATTGGCCGCTTCGCCGACGTAATGATCCATCCATTCAATGCGATTGAGCGAGTCCCTCGCGAGCGGTCTTCGTCGAGGTGGTGGGGGGTAGACATCCCGTCGGGAGGCGCTTCGAAAGCGGTGGCGGGTCAGAAGAGCAAGCTGAAGGCTCCTTGAGCAGGTACTCGTCGCCAGCAAGGCAGTCTGAGCGAGTCGAGCGGTGTCGCCTCGTCCAACCCCCTCCGCTTCATCTCTTTCATCGTCACCCGCTCACACTGCTCAGACTGTGCTGCCTCGAGGATGACTGTGCCACCGACGTCTGTGCAGGTCGAGACTGGCCACCAGGACATGATCGTGCGTCCGCTTCTCCGCCTCGCCGGCTTCATCTCCCACGTCGGCTGAACGCGTCGCTCGCCTCGCCCACGCAGCACGATGCCCAGCTGGACTACTACGGCAGGAAGCTTGCGACTGCCAGCTCTGACAGGACCATCCGCATCTTCGACGTCGAGCAAGACGAGTCGTACCGGCTTGTCGACTCGCTCCAAGGGTGCGTCTCGTGCACTGCTTGCGAGGGCGATCGATTGGGCCAGCGAGCTATGCGGCCGAGTATCTGACGATCTCACTGACGCCCACCGCTGCAGACATGACGGCCCCGTCCACGCCCTCGCTTGGGCTCACCCCTCCTTCGGCTCGATTCTCGCTTCATGTTCTTTCGACGGCAAGGTGTTCATCTGGAAGGAGAACGACGGACCGCAGAAGGGCTGGAGTAAGGTCAAGGAGCACTTGTTGCACACGGCGAGCGGTACGTTCCGCGGTTTCATCTCCTCTTACACCTCTCGCAGCTGACCCACTGCTGCCTTGTCGTGCAGTCAATGCAATCGCATGGGCACCACACGAGCTTGGCCCTATCCTCGCTTGCGCAAGCTCCGACGGCAAGGTCTCCGTCCTAACCTTCAACAGTGCATTCCACTTCATCTCCTCGCCTCCTTTCTCCAGCTCACCGCTTCCTTCCGCAGACGATGGTACCTGGGAGGCGTCTCTCTTCCCCGCACACTCTCTCGGCGTTACCTCGGTCTCATGGGCACCAGGCGTCGGCATCGGCGCATTGACAAACCCTCAGGCTGGTGCGGGCGCAGAAGGACAGGAGGCGTTGCAGGTGGTCAAGCGGTTCGCTACGGGTGGATGTGACGGAATGGTCAAGATCTGGGCGTGGAAGTGAGTTTCTCGCGTCTTGTTCTGCTCGATTTCGCCTCGCTTGAACTTTCTCTGATCGGTTGCCTCCCGTTGGTACTTACAGCGAGCAAACGAAGGAGTGGGCGCCCGATCCCGTCGAGCACGTCCTTTCCGGTCACACCGACTGGGTTCGCGACGTCGCCTGGGCTCCCTCCGTCGGCGTTGGCAAAGCCTACCTCGCCTCGGCCGGTCAAGACAAGACCGTCTTCATCTGGACGCAGTCTGACGCACGGAGCGCATGGTCGAAGGTCGCGCTGGAGCCGGCACCTCAACAGCAGCAAGGGCAGGGTCAGCAGCAGCAGGCGGATGGGAAGTTCCCGGATGCCGTTTGGCGGGTCAGCTGGAGCGTTGCGGGCAACGTGCTGGCGGTGTCGTCCGGTGCGTCATGCTTACTCACTGTTTGGTAGTCTACTAGCCAGCTGACGTTCACTTGCGCTTGACAGGCGATGGCAAGGTCTCGCTGTGGAAGGAGAACCTCAAGGGCAAGTTCGAGGAGGTCTCGCAGCTTGCGTCGTAGATATACCCTCTCTCCTTGCTCTTCGCCCTCTGTGGAACCCTTGTACGCTGTTTACCGCTCTTTGCGCCTCGACGCGAACAGGGGGTCCGCGGCTTTTCCGGAGGACGAGCCCTCCTCTTTGTTGCCTCCTCTCCTTCACCACTCACCGTTCGCGCCGTCTGCCGCTCCCTGCGTCTGCTCAGCATGTGCCCTTCGCGAGGACTGGCAAATCGTCGCCTGTTCACACTGCTCCCGACGCTCTTCCTCCTCGCCTCACCCGTTCTCGCGGCCGTCTCCTCCTCCGACCTCCTCACCTACCTAGGCGGTTCCGCGACCGGTCAAACGCTCACGACCGCCGCCTACACGCTCACGATGGCTGCGAACGCTTCGAGTGTACTCATTTCTTGCGCGTATAAAGGGAAGGTGAGCGAGTTGGGGTGGATGGGATTCGGGACGGGCAGTGCGATGAGTGATGCGTGAGTGGAGTCTCATTGAGCAGACAAGGCAAGGGAGGAATTGCTGACGAGGAAAGGCGCTCGCAGCGACATCCTCGTCCTCTGGCCAAACTCGGACGGCAGCTGGACAATCTCGCACCGCACCGCCGCGACGACAGTCATGCCCACTCTCGTCGGCACTGCCAACAAAGACTCCTTGACCGACTCGAGTGGGAGCGTAAGGGTCGTTGCGTCGCTCAGCTCGAAAAGCCAGACGGACTCGCCGGCTGTTGTCACGTTTGTTAGGCCGCTGCAGATGCCTGCTACGTATAAAGGCAAGGGGGAGTACTACCAGCTGAAGAAGGCGATCAATCAGGTGCGCAGCGAGTCTCTTCTCCTCCACGCTGCGAGGCTGACTTCGTCGATGCCTTCCTCGAGCAGCAAGTAATCTACGCTTACGGCACAAAGAACCCGGGAAGCTCGGCGCAGGATGCGACTTTGACACAGCACCCGTTGGATGGGATGGGCGCGACGTGAGTTCTGTTCATCCCTCGTCTTGCAAGTGATCTGATTTCGTCCTCCACAGTTACGTGGATTTGTCAGCGACGTTCTCTGCGACTTCAGCAGCGATCGAGGCGCCGCTCTCGCCGGTGAAAGGAGGGAGCAGTAGCGGAGGAAGCAGCGCGGCAGACGGGACTTCGGCTGCCCCGACGACGGCAGGAGCAGCGTCAGGCTCTTCGAGCGGTGCTGCAGCGGCTTCAGCTGCCACTGCCGGCGCGACGAGCGGTGGGGACTCGACGACCGGCGCCGCTTCGCTTCTCCCTTCGACAGACCCGATGACCTCGTCCGGCTCGACGACTGGCGCGGCGGGCGGTGGTGCTTGGACGTACGCCGCAGTGATCAAGATGCATGGTATCTGCGCTGGCGCGACTTGGTACATGGTCACTCATCGTCCTTGCAGGCGTGCGTGAGCTAACTTGACCTTCGCAGGGCCATCCTCGCGCCTCTCGGCGTCCTCTTCGCTCGATACGCTCGCGGTCCGCCCGGCACGACCCTCACACGCTTTCCTTGGCACTTCTACATGTACTTGCTCTTCCGCTTTCGTCATCTACCAAAGTCGTTGCTGATACTCCATCGTCCAGGCAAGGACTCGTTGTTGCGCCGCTCACGCTTGTCGCCGTCGGTCTCGCTCTCTGGGCAGTCAGCTTGAAGGGCGCGAGTGACGAGGCCATCTACGCTCACAAGGTGCGTACGCTCGCCAGACTTTCTCGAAGCTCAACCAACGCTCGTCTGGACAGGCTGTTGGCTTCGCCATCGCGGCAGGCGTCGTCTTGCAAGACCTGCTCGGCCTGTGGACGCACTTGTCGCATGCACCTGCGCGACACGGCCGTCCGCCTCCACGCGCCCTCAAGGCATGGCTTCACATGCTGCTCGGCGTGACCCTCATCGTCGCAGGCGTACGTCCGCGCCGTTCTCATCCTCTAGTGCGAGCGCTGACTCGTACCTCCGAGCATGCAGTTCGTGCAAGTCAACTTGGGCTTGGAACGGTACGGCATCACGGACGGAGCGATCCGTTGGGCTTACTTCGGGTGCGCACGCGGGTCTCACATCTCTCGACCGAGAAAGATCAAGCTGATGCAATTTCTGATGCGGCCTGCAGGTGTCTGGGCGTGTGGGTACTGGCTTACTTCGGGTCCCTCGCCGTCTCGCTTGCGAGGCCTGCCTCGCGCCCGTCGGCGCCACCGCACCACCACCGCCATCGACGAAAGAAGCGCCGGCCGGTAGTGAGGAAGCGGCGCCGGAAGAAGAAGCGGAGGAGGCGGTACGACAGCTCGTCGTCGGAGGACGAGTACGAGTCGGACGACAGCTCGAGCTCGGGGTCGAGCGCGAGTTCGAGCGGGTCGAGCAGCAGGAGCAGCGGGAGGAGTCGGAGGCGTTGAGAAGCGCGAGGGATTGGGCGCAGGAGAACAGCAGCAGGGGGCGGAGATCTTCGCAACAACGCTTGACATCTGGAGCGGTGCGGGGTCGGTTGAATGCCGGAGATTCCGGTCTGCCAGGTCAGCCCTGTCGACCGTTGCAGGGGTGCAGCATCGTCCAAGTGGGCGACCCTTCTTCCTCGACCGTGCACTCGCTTCAGCCGCCTTATCCCTTCCCTTCTTCGGATGCGCCCGTCGATCCAGCCGCGACAACCTACCATGCGACTGGCATTCCCTATCAACCGCAGCTCTATCCAACTCTTCCTTCCGCCTCTTCCTTGCCTTCCGCCTCTCGACCGGTTTCAGCCGGACTCGACCAGACTTTCTCGATCGTCAGTCCGCACGACGAGCTCTCATACAGCCAGATTGACAATGACTCGTCCTCACAGTTGCCGAACCCGTCTCTTCCCGTACCCTCGCTCCCGCCGCCTCTGCCCAGTTCTTCCAGCCTGCCCTTCCGTTTGCCCGCGGAGCAGCCGTCCTCTAGCACCCTACAAAGCGACCTGTTCGCCTCGAAGCGGACTCGACGAGCGTCTTCAGCTGCGACAGCGACGGGGATGAATCTCCCAGCCGCACTCGGTCAAGCAGGCGACATGGTCAAGGCCAACTCGAACCCGAACAAGAAGCTCACGGTCGACCTTCCCGCCGTCTGCGTCGTCTGCTCGGAACCGATCGCCCGCCTCATCTGTCGCGGCAAGCGGGCAGAGCTGAACGTCCCACATGCGGCGGCCTTCACCTGCCTCCGCTGCTGGGAGTCGTCAAACGAGGCGTCGCCTATGGCCGAGTACTCCCCCGAAACTACGACCACCGCCCTTCCCGCCGAAGACGCCGGCTCGCCCCCCGTCGCCGGTCCTTCCCGCCGCCCCTCCGTCGCCCGCGCCAAAGGCCCTTCCTTCCGCCGCCGCAACAAGCGGCTCGACGACCGCTCGACGCCCACCGCCTGCGACGTCTGCTTGCGCGACATCGCAGTCGGCGGCGTCCTCCCTCTCCCGCTCGACGACCCTCCCCCTCACGCCAGAATCGCCTTCATGATCGAAGTCGTCTGCTCGTCTTGCGACTCGCGCTACCGACGATGCACAGATTGCGGCGGAGGAGGCGGAGCACGCGCAGGGACGGGAAAGTGGCGCTCGAAAGAGCTGTTTGTCCAAAACCGCAAGACTTGCGTCCTGAATCATCAGCGGCTTGGGGCGTTTCCGGCGATGGAGTATAGCGTGTGGAGGAATACGGAGATTCCGAGGGACGAGGTGGACGAGTTGTCGGCGCAGTTGAAGGCGTTGTTCATCAACGCCATGCTCGCAGGTGCGCAGCGACCTTCCCAACTGCGGCTCAAGGCTTCGCGTTTGCTGCCCCTCCGCTGACATTTGATGGTCGCCGTCTACAGGCCTCTGCATCCCGGAGATCATGGAGCAGGACGGCGCGATCTGGACGACGTATGCGGAAGCGTCGGAACACGCTCACGGCGGCTGGTTCGGCTTCGACCCGATCCTTCGCAACGTGCGTGCTCCTCAGCGCCTCTACTTTCTCCCAAGCTTACTCGAGATTGATGCTGCAGGACATCGAGTCGACGCACAACATCCGCCGCTACCTCGCCTTGCGGACTTGCACGCCCAACCTGCGCAAGACCAGCAAGCCGACCAAGTCGAAGGCGTCGGATGCCTCGACTTCCGAGTCGCCTGAAGACGTGCGAGGGCTGCCGCTTCCGCCGATTGGTAGCGGCTCGAAGGGGGGCACGATCTTGAAGGAGGGGAGGGAGATTGCAGGATTCGTGCTGGCGGAATCCGAGGTGCGCCGCGAGCCAGTCCTCAGCTGTTGACGTCGATGCTGACTTCCCGTGATACAGCTGTCGGCCGGAAGCCTCTTCCTCTCTCTCGTCTTGCCTTGGGTGCGCTCGCTCTCGGTCGCAAGCCAAGGTACCCGACTGATCCGGTGCTTTGACAGGATCCGACCGGCGAGATCTTCGACGCGACAAGTTTGATGCTCAGCTCGCTCGTCCAACGGGCGGACGCGGATATCAGGGCTTTGAACGCGGAGAAGCTGGCGAGGGGCGAGCCGGCGATCCCAAATCTGCGGCACGTCTGGACGATGCGTGCGTCCACGCTCCTCCTTTGTCTGTTAGAGCTATTTGCTGATGTCGTGCGACCTACAGTCTTCTTCAAGCCGTCGTCGAGGGTGCTTTCCTCGCTGATCAAGAAGCGCGGTTTTATGCTTCTTGAGGATTATCTCCAAGCACATCCCGATACGCCTGCCACGCTCGTGAGTCTCCTTACGTTACGTCGTTTCTTACGGAACCTGATCCGTCTCGTGCCCACAGTTTCCGCCTCACCGCCAAATCTACCTCCCTCCCGACCGCCAGCAAGGCTGGACCATCCTCGTCCGCCGTCAGCGCGAACACAGCGACGGCACCTTTCTCGACGACTGGGGCGCGCGCAGGGCGGCCGACGAGGAGCGCGGGAAGAAGAAGGAGATCCGCGCGGCGGCGGTTGCTGCGAGGGAGAGGCAGCAGCGGAACGGCGGGTGATGCGAGGGAAGATGCGTTACCGTTGCTGGGTTCCTGGTTTTGTTGAGTCAGTCCATAGACATTCGTTCAGTCGCACATACAGTCGTGGCACGAGCAGTCCATACTTTGCAGTTGTCTCGCATCTCTTCGCAACTTTCTTCGTGCTCTTCAGTGCCTGGCTGGTCAGCATCAGGCGGCTACGCTCAATAGCTTCCAGCGCGGCGAAGCCAGCGAGGGTTTAGACAAGTCGAACGGCTTGACGAGAGGGGCCTCCGCCGACTTGCCCCTTCTCACCGTCGCTCACATCGCTCGAAGCGGCCTGACTGGCTCTCGCTGGATTGCAAAGTGCTGTCTTGACGCGCTAGAACGACTTCCGACTCGCCCGAGATCTCCTTCACCCACCTTGTCCCTCATCACTCGCCGAATCCCCCACCAGACTTGCAACCGGACACAGCGGCTGGCGAGGCGTGGAGGATCCCAGATTGGCGTGTCAGTGAGTCCACACTCTCTACGTGTCGGTATGAAGCAGCATGAGCGTCTCGCTGGGTTCAGAAGCAGCTCCCACCCCGCTTCGGTATCGCCGTCTGACGGTTTGCTCTCCAGCCTTCAGCGACCATACGGCACGATGATACCACCTCCTCCTCCACGACGAGTCTCTTACGTGATCCCGACGCCGACCGCTCCTCCACCCCTTCTCGCTCTCCCTCCTCTCTCCGTACCCAGACGAGGGGAAACGACGCCTCTCTTTTCCTTCACCGGCGAGTATGCAGTCCAGTCCCGACACAAATACTCGCAAGGCGACGACGCCCATCCTCGACATCGCCTCGCCGTGCAGGCACTCGCCCTCGACTTTTCTACACCGCTCTCGCATCCCGACGGAACGGATGGCGAGCACGAGACGCCTGGCGGCATCTTGTACACAGGAGGAAGAGACGGCTTGTTGTGCTCCTGGGAACTGGGCTTGCCGACGAAGGCGCGGAGACGGCCGTACGGACGAGGGGACCTTGAGGACGAGGAGGACCTGGCGGACAGCGACGACTTCGATGACGTTGTTGCCGCGACAAGCGCACTTGAGCTCGAGGGCGTCGAGCCTCGGCGGCCCAGCAAAGCGCGAGCCTTTTCGACTTCGACGGCCGCCACGGGTCGACTGTCTTTGCGAAACGGTCAGACGAACGGCGACAGTCCGCCAATCCCGCATCAGGACCGATGGCAGATCGACGAAGACGGTCTGAAGCGACTGAGCTCTCCGCCAAAAGCCCGCTTTCACCAGTGCATCCAGTCTCACACGGACTGGGTCAACGACATTGTCCTCGCCAACTACAACCGCACGCTCGTTTCCGCCTCTTCCGATTCTCTCGTCCTCGCCTGGAACCCGCATTCGCAAGATCATCAAGAGCAACTCACGCCTACGCCCATTGGACGACACGCCGACTACGTTCGATGCCTCGCGACTGGGCGGGACTCGACCTGGGTGGCAAGCGGAGGCTTCGACAGGAAGATCAAGCTCTGGGACATTGGCGAGGGAAGGCCGAGCTCGCCGCTTGGTGCGTCTCCTCACTCCGTCTGCGGCCTGGACTGACCGCTGATCCGGCTCACTTCCCGCAGTCGAGCTTCCCAGCCCTCCTGGCTCGATCTACTCGCTCGGTACCACGCCGTCCGGCTCGCTTCTCGCAGCGGGAACGCCTGAACGAGTTGTGCGAGTCTGGGACCCTCGCTCGCAGAAGCAGGTTTCGCGACTCGGCGGTCACACCGACAACATCCGTGCCGTCCTCCTGGCTGAGGATGGGAAATGGGTGAGCCCGCTTAGTCAGCGCTCGCCCCACTCGCGGTGGATGATGCTGACCAGACTTCTCTCGCAGCTCCTCTCTGCGTCTTCCGACTCGACCGTCAAGCTTTGGTCGCTCGCCGCGCAGAAGTGCTTGCACACCTTCTCGCACCACGCGAGCGCGGCATGGTCGCTTTTCTCGCAGCATCCCTCGCTCGAGGTCTTCTACACCGGCGACCGCGATGGCAATCTCTGCAAGATTGACATCGAGGGTACGGGCGATCCGGCCGAGGGCGAGTGCATTGTCCTCGCACGAGATGGTCCCGACGATCCGAGCGACAGGACCGGCAACGAGGGCATCACGCAGATGGTCGCGCAGGATGACTGCTGGGTCTGGGCGGCGGCAGGAGGCAGCGGCGTCAAGCGGTGGAAGGATGTGCCGCGCAAGATGAACCGGTCGAGGGCGATCTTGCGCAATGCGAGGGAGAATGGCGAGTTGGCGGTCCCGGAGGATCGAGCTGTCGAGTCGCCCGTACCGCTGTCGACGTCACCTATGGCGATTGCCGCATCGCCTTCACCTACTCCTCCGTCTCCGACATCGCCGCCCTCTAGTCCCGAGCGAGAACGACCAACGCCTACAGTTTCGTTCCTCGAAGGACTCACCTCGCCGCTCAACCGAACGTCCTCCTCGCCAACTCCTCGCTTGCCGCTGACGGGACAAGGTGTCGCGCCCACGCATCGTCCGTCTTCGCTGCGCACCCCTCGTCAATCTCTCGCGTCAGCCACCCGACCTTCCTTCGACCAAAGCCTCTCGACCAGCTCTACAACCTGCTGCGACATTCCCTACGACTCCCTCGTTCCGCTGACGCTTCCCGAAGACACGTACTTCGCGCCCGCCTTCATCCGCCACTATCGCGACCCGGATGCCGCAACCATCTACTCCACCGTCTCGGGCATCTCTGGCGGTCCTCATCGCCCTCATCTCGTCGCAGCATCCTCTTCGTCCTACCGACGAGCACAGAGCATCGTCGAGACGACTCACGACGCGACGAACATCGCTCAACGCGACTACTTCGACCGCGAGTCCGCCGCCGAAGCCGTCCCTTTGCGAACGTCGCCGGACGACATGATCGAGGGCGGCTACGGCTTGATACGCAGCGAGCTGCTGAATGACCGCCAGCACGCCCTTACGCAAGATGCGGACGACGAGATCGCTTTGTGGGACATCATTCGCGGAATCTGCGTCGGTATCTTCCCCGCGAAGGACCTGAAGGACGCGCTTGCGAAGCGTCGTCCGTCCGATGCCGGATCAACGTCGGCGTTGAGCGTCGCAAGCTCAGGTGGACACGGCTACGACCTGCTCGACTACGTGCGCGAGCGGATCGAGGGCGAAGTTTCGATCGCTCCCTGGTGCAAGTGCGACACTCGCATCGGCTCCCTCACGATCCACCTCGACGAGACACGCGTCTTCGACGCGGAAGCCTACATCGACGAATGCGGCGTCGGCCCCTCCGACGACTTCCCGCCCGACCACCGCCTGTCGCTCGGCAAGTGGGTCCTGCGGCAGCTCTTTGATGGCTTTATTGAAGCCGAGATGGCGCTGCGGGCGCCCACAGGTGCTCCTCCGCCCAGCGCTCTGTTCGGCAACGACGCTCCGCTGGGCGACACTACCCCTACGCCCAGCTTCATCCCTCTGCCGAGCGTCACCTCTCCGCCGACCGCCCTCCCGAAGGGCTCTCGAACACCCGGCATGACGATCGCGCTCGCCACGCCCGCCACCAAGCGAGCCGTTCTGCCCGACTTGCCACCTCTCGCCATTCCGCCGACTTCGCCTCGTAATCACGGCGCGGAGCTTGAGCCGATCCCGCAATCGCCTTTCGTACAGACGCCGGTACCTGCCGGTGGCCGTACGCCGACGCTCGACCGCCCAGAGGGCGACTACTTCTCGCTGCGCCCGTCCGTTCCGCCTGACTCGGCCACGTCCGCGCCGCTCGCCTCGCCTACGATGAGCTCGCGGACAAGCGAGCCACCAACGCCGAACGCCACCAGCGTACCGCTGCCCACGCCGGGAGGCACCCTCATGGGTCGGCTTCGCTTCCTCGGGAAGAACTCGAAGAAGGCATCGGCACAGGCCGACTCTCAGCCTGCTGCAGCTCCTGTTCTCCCGCCTGTCGTTCATGACGTGAGCACCTGAGTCTTCGTCCTCAATCTCCTGCTGACGCAACCGTACTGCAGGGACGCTCGCTGGAAGAGCAGCAACAGCAGCAGATCCTCGACACCGTCTTCGCGCGTCCGCTCGCGCCCTGCCCCTTCGTGGAGGCGCCGCCCATCCAATACGCTCCCGACATGGCGATCATCATCTCGGAGGAGACGGGCGACGCCTGGAGCGTCAAGTACCGCGGTCTCGTCGGCACGAGCTACGAAGACATGGGCGTCCTCGAGCAGAAGGCTCCGCTGTGGCTACTTGACTTCTTGCTTGGGAATCGCATTCCGGCGAAGGAGCCAGTCAAGGTGGTGCGTGCATACCGAGTCTGATCCGCCGCAAAGCAAGAGCTGACCTCGCGTACCCGCAGTCGTTCATCTTGCAGCCATGGAAGGGCGAGGGATACCAGAGCTTGCCAGAGCTGCCCAACAAGTGCGTTCTATGCTCTCCCCGGCTCCCGAACGTCCACTGACAGCATCTCTCGCAGCAACGCCCGGCTCACAGCGAACCGCAGTCTCCGCGTACACAAGGTCTGCAGCTACGTCGCCGACAAGCTCGACTTGCGCCGACCTTCTCGCGCTCCGTCGATCATGGACGGCGGCGCTGCATCAGCCGAGCCGAGTGCGCCGCAATCACCTGCACCGGCGGTCGGGTTCACCCTCTACGGCGACGTGTTCAATCCAGAGAAGGAGATCGAGATCCTCGTCAATGGCGAAGTCTTACCGACGAACGTGACGCTCGCAACGGTCCGGCATTGTATGTGGAAGAGCGGCGGCGATGTTGTCTTTACTTACCGCTCGAAGAAGCACTCGCCGGACGAGGAGTAGCGCCTGTAGATTCTGGTCGGAAGTCTGGCAACGCAGTCTGTTGATCGTCCCTCTCGCTGCAGAGCCCACAAGATTTGGGTCGAACGCTTGTAGTGCAACTTTGCTTCTCGCCGATTGCTCAGATGTTCTTCGAGTCGGCACGAACGGGCTTGCCCGGGACTGTCGAAAGCAACCTGTCAGCATGAGCAGATTAAATGAGGTCGGCGAGAGCACGCACTCTTGTCCCGCCAGCCGGCCATCTCGACGCTCCCCTGCTCGTGCTCGGGCAACTCCGCCTTCTTGACCGCCCGCTCCCACGCCTTCCTGCCTGCTGCTCCGAGTCCCGCAACAGCAGGTGGCCTCGAGAGCCAGTTCTTGATGTGCTCCTGATAGGTCGCGGAGGACGAGTACGCGCGGATGGCCAAGTCCTGCTGGATCTTCAGCGCCGAGTACGCCATGTCGAGTCGAGGTGTCGGGACACCCTTTGCACGTGCACGATCAAGCAGCGAGCCAATGATGGGCTCAAGCTCCATCGGACGCCCGGCTTCGGCGTCCAAAAGCATCGACGGCTTGAAATTGTAGGACGACTCGAACGACTCTTTCGCTAGGTCGCCTTCGGTAGGGAAGCCGTAGGACGGGTCGCTGCGCTGCGGACTGAAGGGAGTGTTCGGGTCGGAGTGCTGAGACGGGCGCTGGTAGTTGTTGATCGTGATCTTGATGGCTGCCAGGGGAGGTGCGCAGTGTCAGCGAGGGTGGGTGAGGAGAAGGCGAGACGGCGGAGAAAAGAGAAAGGCGCGAGTGGGAAGGAGGACCGCGAGAGGCGAACTCACCCTCGTCGACGCAGCGCAGCGGCAAGACGTCCTCCTGGTATCCCCACGCCCGCGCGACGTACATGACCTCCAGCATCGTCCGCCGCACAACGGGAAGGGTGTAGGGAAGAACGGCGGGGTCTACCGCCTGAGACACCGTGCACCGCGAGAGGGTGCAAAGGGACGAGAGGGCGGCGTTCCACAAGTTCTTCTCGTAGCGCTTAGACTGGATGTCATCGACGACGACCGCCGTTCCTCCGCCGTTGTTGATCAAGTCGGCGAAGACCTTCAGTCGCCGCTTGCCCTCCTCGAGACGCTCGGGACCGTCAGGCCCCTTGCGATAGCCGTGAGGGTCGCCGAAAGCGTCCTCAACCTGCTCACCCTCGACAGGTTCGCTTCCTTCGCCAGTATAGAGGCCCATGATGAGCTTCTCGAGCATGCCGTGCGTGACGCGTCCTCCGGGCTTCAGGTTGGCTCCGATCCACGCGACGACGGAGATGATGGGAATGGACGGGTAAGCGGATGCGAGAGGGTGCTCGATGCCGATGCCGTTCTGGATCAGGACGACGCAAGGTCCGTCTTCGAGGTCGACGGTGTCTTGCGCATGCCGGGATTCGAGGAAAGGGGCGAGGACGGAGGCGGTGGGGAGGAGGTCGGGAAGAGCCTTGGTGGAGCAGATCTGCCAGCGACAAACAGTCAGTACGCATACAAACAGAGCGAGAGAAGGAACCGCGGGACGCACGATATACTTGTAGGCGCGGTCATTCGCCTCGTCGGCGTCCCTCACAAGCCTGTACGGCTTCCACCCGCTAATCTCGCCGTACTTCTCCGACTCGATGCGGATGCCGTTCGACATCTCGTCGTACGAAGAGCGGGCGATAGCGGTTACCCGGACGTTCGAGTTCTGGGAGAGAACCCACCCGTAGACGGTGCCAACCTGCAAGTGATCCTCTTCAAGGGTGAGTCAAGTGTTCGTAAGGCTCTTCAGGCGTCAGCGAGCCCTCCTCGCTGCGTATGCGAGATGCAGTCGCCGTTCGGAGAGTGAGGCACTCACCGCACCGAAGCCGACACTGCGAACGAGAGCAAGCCGTGAGTGGGTTTGCTGAGCTCATCGTGGAATGTACGCACATGAGAATGTCGATTGGGCTGCTCATTGTGCCAGTCTGAGCGAGTTGGACCGTAAGTGATGAGGCCGAGAGCGAGACGAGGTCGACGAGGGAGAACGAGGGTCAGCACACGACTGTTTGCGCTCGCTAGACCAGCTGGAACTGGACAGACACACTCAGCATGCTCGCACGACAGGCCACTCGCACCCTGCGCTTGCCGCTCTCGAAACCGCCTCTTCCTCGCCCCACACCCCCATGTCGCTCGCTCGCGACCGTCTCGCGGGCAGCACGACCCACGCAGGTGCTATGGAAGGTCGTGGGACTGCTCGGAGGAGCCGCACTGGCCTACACGGCGTGGCAGGTCAAGCCAGAGTGGGTGCCGATACGTACGTTCATTCAGTTCTTCCGTCGAAGCTGTCAGAGGGTCCTATTGGACGCTGAACGTCCTTTCTTCACTCGCAGAGCAACCGCTCCACGCCGACGCACCCGCTCCTGTCGGGATCTACACGGACCCGACCACGTCGACTCCCTTCCCTTCTCGCCTTACCTCGCCTGACGGCACGCAACTGAGGCTCGTTGGGACGGGCGTGCGCACGGTGTCATTCTTGAACATCAAGGTGTACGCTGTCGGGTTCTACGTGAGCGAGCAAGAGTTGCAGTGGGCGAAGGATGGGAAGATTGCCGGATGGGAGGTGCGTTGTCTCGTCTCCAGCTTACCCCGTCCCGTATACACCGCTCAGGAGGTCTCCGAACGCAGGGCTTTACCCCTGAGCGCCTCATCCCACCCTTCGGCATTCCTTCAGGCGAGCCTGACCGCCCCAAGGGCGAGCTGTTGATGGAAAGCTTGCTGGAGAAGGCGGACGCGGCGATAGTCATCAGTGCGTCCATTCCACGGCTGCTTTCCTCCGAAGAAGCATGATTCGACCGAGCGATTCATTTGTGCTGACCTTAAGTCGCCCGGCAGTCCCCCTTCGCAATACCTCCCTCCCTCACCTGCGCGACGGCTTCACTCGCGCCATCACCGCTCGCATGCAAGTCCCTCGCGTCTCGAACGAGTTCACTGATAACATGAGCGAGGTGCGGAGCTGTCCTGCCCATCTTCGTCTGCCGCGTTCTTCCAGAAGGCTTCGCTAATTCGGTCCATTTGGGCGCCTCACAGCGGACCGGCGCCGCTCTCGTCGAGTTCAAGAGCTTCTTCCCGTCCAAGACGCTGCAGAAGGGCCTGCCGCTCGAGGTCTACTATTCTGCGCGCGACCGGACGGCGCTCTTCCAGATCAGGGTGCGTCAACGCTTTCGCTGTTTGGCACCGCATCTCTCCTAGAGACATGTCATGGGCTGCGTGCGCTTGTGAACGACCGCTAATGGGTTTTCTGTCCGCAGAACGAGCAGTCTCGGAAACCGGAAGTCCTCGGCACCCTCCGCGAACCGCTTCTCGCGCGGGAACTCATCGTCTCCTACTTCTCCGACACCGCCGCACCCTCTCGCGAACTCGTCACGTCGAGCGCGATGGGTTTCTCAGGCGAAGCGAGGGGAGAGCCGGGCGACAGGGGTGCGGCGTAGCGAAGAGAAGAGGTGGGGGAGGTCAACTCGCCCCCACACGGATCCAGGACGTTGCGCTCCGCTTTATCTGCTCGCGCCCATTCCCGCTCGTGCTGCTCTCTCGCTTGCATTCTCCGCTTCTCGTCGCCTGCTCTCTTCCTCGCTCTACTCCTGCTCCCGCTCTTGCGCTGTCCGACATGGCTGTCCACTACACTTCGCTCGCCGGCGAGCCTGGTCAACATAGTGCGTTGCGTCTCTCCTTGGCTGCGGTGGCAAATGTTTTGCTGACGGGCTTGGATCCTGCAGACATCGGCAACGATGCCCCTCGACCAACCGAGACGAAGGGAATCCATCTACACCATCTTTGCCTGCGGATCAAGGTCCGTCTTCGCGCTCGCTCCAACTCCTTCAGCTCATTTGCTGATATTCTCTACCTCACAGGACCCGAAAATCACGCTTGCTTTCTTCCGCGAAGTGCTCGGCATGCGGACGCTCTTCACTTACAACGCTGGCTCGTTCTCGATGTGCGCCCGCGTCCTCCTTCTCCGATCGCAACAGTCGCTCACCCTTTTGTTGCGTCAGCTACTACATGTACCACGGCGACGAACAGAACGACGAGACGGAGAAGGTGTGGGCTGACTTTCCGAATCAGAAGGGACTTGTCGAGCTCATCCACGTTCGTCCGACCTTTTCATCACCTTTCTGCTCGTTCGCAAGGATGACACACATCTTACTCGCAGCGCCACGGCTCGGAGAACGAGGACTTCAGCTACGCCTCCGGCCACCACCCTACCGAGCCTGCGATGTCTGGCTTCGGCCACCTCGGCCTGATCGTTGACGACGTCCCCGCACTCGTCCAGCGAGCAAAGAAGTACGGCTGCAAGATCATCAAGGAGCAGGGCGTGTCGAGTGCCGAGACGGTCGGATGGCCAAACGGGACGCCGCAGCCGATTCAGGCGTACAACGAGCTGTACTCGAACATGGCCATGATCGAGTCGCCGGACGGCTACTGGTTCGAGTGCGTGCCGAGGGTGCTGGAGAAGCACTAGGTGCAGCGCGGGAGGGACCATTCTCGGGCGATAGAAGGGCTGTGTGTCGATATTATGCAACTACAGGGTCTACTGTGCACGATCGAGGTATCCTACAACTACGTGACGAGTTCGTAAGAGAGGAAGGCGTCTAAATGCCTGACTCCGACGGGAAGAGGAAGAGGGAGAGCTGCTTGAGGCTCTTTGCGACACCAAAGCTCGCCGCCGCCATCGCCTGCTTCGTCTGCTTAGTGAACGCATCAGGACCCGCACCTGCTGCCTGGCTCTGCATCTCGCTGAGCTTGTCGCAGTGCGTCGTCAAGTCCTGGAGGATCGCGTCGCCCTCGTCGCGAGCGTGGTCGGGAAGCGCTTCTTGCGAGATGGCGACGATCGAAGAGACGATGGTGATGATCTGGGTAAGGTTTTCGTTGAGCTCGGAAGACTGTGCGCCGGAGCGGATGGCGGAGAGGAGCGACTGGATTGAGTGGACGATCGCTTCTGTCTGATTCTCGATGTAGGACTGTGTGGAGGAAGAATGGATGAGCATTTGTGCGGCCTCGCGAGAAGGAAGGCATCGGAACGCACCCGCAATTCTTCCGGATCCCGCTCGTGACCCCTCATCCCAGGGCTTGACGGCCCGTACCCCCCAGCGCCGTGATCCTCGCCGCCGTAAGCGTTGTCGCCGCCGCCGTACTGCTGATCTTGGTAGTGATAAGGCTGCTGCTGACCGGTGTAGCCGAACTCCGAGCTCGGGCGACCCTGAGATGGCGAGCCGTACTCAAAGGACGGACCTCGCTCGTCGTACGGCAGGTTGCCCTGGTGCTGATCCTGGAAGGACGGCGATCGCTCGTACTGTTGGTGGGATAGCGAGGGCGAGGCGGCCGACCGGCTGCTCTCGAACGACGGCTGGCGCTGGTCGTACGGATTTGGCGAGGCGTACTCTTGTCGGTCCTCGTGCGCGTACCGATCGTGCGACTGCTGCTGCGGACTTGCGAACGAGTGCGTCGAGTCCGTCGCCATGCTCATCGCAGTCGTGCCTGATTCTCGCTCCTTGCCCTTCGCCTCGGACGCAAGCGTGTCGACGCTGTTGCGCTTGTTGCCCGAGATGCCGATCGCCTCGAGGGCATGCTTGACGCTCCCGCCGCCGAGGAGACTCGACATTCCGCCGCTCAAGTAGCCCTTGTCCTTCCTCTCCGCTTGCGAAGGGGTCGGCGAAACGGCTCGCTCCTTGGCGGGAGGTGCCGGAGGAGCGGGTGACGAAGATGCGGGAACGGGAATCGAGATCGTGTCGTCCTCGCCCTGCGCAGGTGCGTCTTCGTGAAGAGGCGGCATGGGCTCGCGCGTGAAACTCGGTCCGCCGTTGCGGAAGGATCCGCCGCCAAACGCCGCTGAGGGGTCGAGACTGTCGCGTCCGCGAGCTGAGGACCCGCCGGTCGTGCGTCGAATCTTCAGTATCCGAACGAGCTCGACCACCGTGGTGGCGAGGTGGCTCGCTGCGGCATCGACGAGCGAAACGGGCGAGACGCCGAACGAGGTTGCGTGGTTCTTGACGGCGGTCATGAGGTTCGACAGGGTCGCATTGATCTTCGCTTTGAGCGACTCGACGAGGTCTTGGTCGGAAGGCGGAAGAGAGGCGAGGCGAGAGTGAGGGATGGCCTGGACGTCGACGTCGATCTTCTCGCAGGCATTGACGACGGCGCGAGCTGCTGGCAGAATAGATGTCGGCTCCTTCGATCGAGCAGCCTGCAACAGGTCGTCGATCGAGGTCTGGAAGGCGGCAACGGAGGTGTCGTTGATCAGGCCGTCGGACGAGGCGGGCATATAGTCGGCGTCGACGCTGATCGACGAGCTGAACAGTTGGGAGGTAGCTGTGTGGGTAGACAGTGGTCAGTCGATTTCCTCGAAGAATGCGAGCGTACGTGCGGGTCGAAAGAACTGTGCGCAGATAGCAAGTCAGGAGAGCGACTGACCCTTGACGTTCCGCAGCTCGAGCTTGACAGCCTGCCATCTCTCCTTCCAAGTCTTCGCCTCGTCCTCGGCCTTCTCTCGCCCCTCCTTCTCGCGCTCAACCTCAGCCTGCAGTTCATCCGCTCGCTCGCTGACCTGTCGGATCTCGTCGACGAGCGAGGAGACTTCGCCGCGTAGCTCGGAGGCGAGTTCTTCGGCTTCGTGTAGGCGAGTGCCGAGTTGCGCATCGGAGGACGAGGACGTGGGCGAGCGAGAAGCGGAAGAACGGAGGGTTTCGTTCTCTTGCTGTAGGGAGCGGAGGCGCGAGGACTGCTCGTCGAGGCGCTGCAAACCGGAATCAACGAACCTTGATTAGCTTCTCCCGCTCGACACGACGGGTGCACTTGACGCGTGCGAGCTGCAACGCACCTGTTCCAGCTGCCTCCTCTCGCCCTCCCACCTGTTCCCATCGTCCCTTGAGGCCTTCAACTCGTCATTCTCGCGCTCGAGCTCCGAAACGCGGTTCTGCAGCATCGTGAGCTTGTACTCGTACGACGAGCGGATCTTGTCGAGCGGCTCGCCTTCCCACTGTTCGAGTTGAAGTCAGCCTCGGTGATCATGATACCTCCGGCTCACGAAGCAGCGTGTGCGATGCCATTCAGACATGCCCATGCGGCACGGGGACGAGGCATTCACGACTCACCGACCTCCTCCCTGCCTCGCTCGCGCCCGCCTGACTCCCCGCGTACCCACCGAAGAACCTCCCATTCGTGCCCACACTGCTCGCCTCGCTTGCTCGGTTCAGCGCCGAGCCAGCTCCCGCACTGCTCTGCAGCGACTGCATCCCGCGGTCTTCGTGGCCGCTCAGAGGCGGCGATCGCAAGGAGGCCGAAGCAGGTCCACCGCCTGAACCGTAGTTGAAGCCCCCAGTCGTGCTCGACGCGGAAGCGGGCGGTACGTTTCCAGAAGTCGTATGCGCGTGGGCGGGATCAGCAGGTGAAGTCGGGCCGCTGGACGGTTGTGAAGGGCCGCGATGGACGGTAGGCGAAGGAGAGGGGTCTTCGACGACCATGGTCGACTTGTTCGGCACGACGACATCGTTCCCTGCTGGAACGGTGATGGGCGGCGGGATGTGAGCGGAAGAGAGGGCGGGAGAGGCGGCTGCGGACGTCGGTGTTGGCGCACGGCGGTCTGCAGTAGGCGGAGGAGAGGAAATCGAGGATGGACCGGGCTTGGCGCTCGTCGAGGTGAGCGAGTCGGCGCGGGAGATGGGTGAGGAATAGCCGCCGGTAGGAGTCGAGTAGGGAAGGCTGGCGTTCTGCGGGTCACGATACCATCAGCCTGTCACAGCTTGAGACTCGACGAGACGACGCACATCCTCGTCCGCAAACTCGGGGTACCGCCTGTCCAGCTCGAAGTAGACGTCGCTCGCGAGATCCCTGAACCGCAGGAGCGGAAGTGTTGCGAGTTTCTGGCGCGCCTGGTTGCGCTTCGGGTGGAAGTCGGGGCGGACGGCGAGGAATGGTTCTGCGAGCGGTAGACAGGTCAGTCAGCGCATCCGCGAGAGAAGGGAAGGGCGAAAACGTACGCTGTCCCGGTTGACCGCCGTTCGAGTCCTCAATCCTCCGCATCAGCTCGTCGTACACATCCGTCGATAGCTCCTGGAACTGCTGCCTTGTCAAGCGAGTGAGTTTTTCGCGGGCATTCCTGCGGACGCGGAAAGATGCAGGTGAATTCGGAGATTCTGATGATAGAATGCACGTCGTCGTTTCCGATAGAGTCGGAGGATCCGATGGACTCACGACCGAGTGCTTCCGCCTGCGAGCGCGCCCTGCTCGTGCAGCCACCCTTTCAGAGCCGTGTAGTGCGTCCGGGCGACCTGCTTGCTCTGCTCGAGCGTCAAAGCCGGCGGCTTGTTTGCCGATCCACCCGCAGGAACCTGCACGGCAGCCGGTGGTTGAGGAGCGGGTCTCGGCTGCTGTTGCTGCGAGGGAGGAAGGGGACCTGCTCCCGGTTGCTGAGGAGGCTGTTGGCGGTACGGGTATGCGTCCTGCGGTGCTGGGCCGGGTGCGGGCGGGTTCTGAGGGCGAGGTCCGCCCTGTGCGCCGCGGAAAGACATCCTTCGCGAGGCAGTCTGAGCCCGTCGAGACGAGCGAGATGAAGATGCGAGGTTGGTGGGGCAGGAGAAGATGCGAGTCTGTCGAGGGGGGTTGCGCGTGTCGTGCGCGTCTGTCTAGCGTCTGGACGAGTCTCTGCAGCTGCGCACGCCCAGCACGAGGGACCTCAGCGATGAGAGCTGTGTGCAAGCGGACGAAGAGGAGGCGCGACCACAACAAGGCGACCACAACTCGCTCAGAGTAAGGCGGGAGAGTGTGCATCGTCAGCAGTACTTTACGCACTGGATTATCCCGTCGTCGCCTGATTTAACACGAGGAAGCGGGATCCGCTCCTCGTCGCTATCCCAGCTCATCTCTGCTCACTCGCTCTGCTCACGCTCGTGCTGCCCGCTGGCTGGGCTCATTTGACAGCTCCAGACCCAGTCAAGCTACCATGGGACTTTCCGGCGCGACCAAGAAGCAGCGCATCCAGGATGACCCGCGCAACCTTCGCTGGGCAACAGGTGGGTCTCGTTCGCTCTCAACTCGTCGTAGGGCTTGGAGGCTGACTAAGAGGATTGTTTTTGCGCAGACACGAGCGCACCGGGCTTCCGCTTGCTCGCCTCGATGGGATGGAACCCCGACTCGAACCCTCAGCTCGGAAACGCTTCCTCCCAATCCGCCATCCTCGCGAACGGCGGATCAGGCTTCTCGCGCAAGATTGCTGCGATCCCAATTGCCAAAGACGACACGCTCGGTATTGGAATGAAGCGGGGTAGTGCGGCTGCGGTGGTCGGGTCGTTGAAGGCGATGGGCGTTGCGTCCGGCGCGAACAGCACGACCGCCGGCAGCGGGTTCGTCACGGCGGGCAGTGGGTCGTCGACGCCGCAGAATGGCGTGACGGACGGCGGCTCGGGCGGAGGAGAGTTTGGCAGCCTCCTCGCAAGGCTGAACAAGCTCAAGGAGCAGAGCGGCGGATTGTCTGCGTCGGCGAGCCCAGTGCCAGAGGGCGACGACAAGCCGAGCAAGAAGAAGCGGAAACGGTCGTCGTCTGAGTCGTTGTCGGAAGACTCGTCGAGCGAGTCGGAGGCGGAGAAGGACGCTGCCGCGAGTCCTGCACCTGTCGTCGCTTCTTCCGCCTCCGCCTCTCCCGCCCCGACTCCCGCAACCCTCGCAGCATTGAAGAACCCTCGCATGGCGTGAGTCGGCTCGCTTCTCCTGCATTACAGGCAAGACTGATCTCTCCCGTCCGCAGCGCTCGCTCGAAACACCTCCGCGCCAAACGCATGGCAACCGCCTCGAACGCCTCCGCAATGGCCGAGATCCTCGGTCTCGCACCTCCTACATCCGCCACTCCCTCTCCCGCACCATCCGGCTCGTCCACCCCCGTACTCGCCGTCAACGGTCCTCGAACCGATGGATGGCCGTCCGTCCCTCCTCGCGGGAGCAGTTCGATTGCAGTCTCTACCGCCACGACAACTACGACTGTCTCGACTGGTGGAGTTGGCGCTGCACCGGTCTTTGCGTCTGCGTCGACTACTTCGCTCGAGGCGACTTTTGAGCCTGCCCCGGCGAAGGAGGAGACGGAGAAGGAGCGGAAGAAGCGGGAGAAGGCGGAGAAGAAGGCTCGGAAGGAGGCGAAGCGCGCGAAGAAGGCTGCTAAGGCCGAGTCTGAGCCCGCTGTCGAGGAGAAGGAGAAAGAGCGCTCTCGTTCTCCCTCGCCTGAGTTCAAGGTCCACTCGGCCAAGTTTGACCCGTTCAAGGTCACGTCCGATACGCCTACGGTTGCGAGTGCGCCGGCTGCGGGCCTGTCGAGCGTGTTTGGGAGGATGTTCGTTGGCAGTTCGGCGGGCGGGATGGGCGCGACGTTCGTGCCGCCTGCTGCGTCCGCGCCCGTGGTTGAGGAGAAGGTTGAGGAGCCGGTCAAGGTGAAGAAGGACAAGAAGGAGAAGAAGGAGAAGTCGGGCAAGGAGAAGAAGGAGAAGAAGGAGAAGAAGCGCGAGGGCGAGACGAAGGAGGAGCGGCGGGCAAGGAAGGAGGCGAAGAAGGGGAAGAAGGCGGAGTAGGCAGTCGTGCGAGTTCTTCAGCGGATGTTCCGGTGTTGTATTGCCTATCTCTTCTTCGCGCTGCGACTGGCTGTCAAGGGAGAGGATCTATCTGACCTTCCCAACGACGGAGACTGCTCGAATACTGCTATTGCTTTTTCATCTAGCTATCTACGTCTCCCTCACACCTTGATGACGACCTTTCCTACGAGCGTCGCCTTGCTCATGTATGTATACGCCTCCTTGGCCTCTTCGAACCCGAAGGTCCTGTCGATGATGGGGTGGATTTTGCCCGTCTCAAGGAAGTCGACGAGGTCTTCGAGGTGCTTGCGGCTGCCGATGAGGATACCGCGGAGCGTCGCAGCTTTGCTGAGGATGCCGCCGAGAATGCCTTGCACGCCGCCAGACTCGCCGCCTGCGAGGTAGCCAATGCTGTGCGCCCCAGCCTGTCAGTGAGCTTCCCGAGACGGCCGAGACGGGTTTACGCACTCGTCAATCTCGCCACCCTGCCTCAAGCAAGCCAAACTCTTCTGCAAAGTCCCCGCGCCACCGATCTCGACCACCTTATCCGCACCCCTCCCATCCTTCGTTATCTTGAGCACCTCCTTCTCCCAGTCCGGATTCGTCTTGTAGTTGATCGTGTACAGTCGGCCGGCGCCACCGTGGTTGTGCGAGTTCCTGATGTGATTCGAGACCCGCTGGAGCTTGTCGTCCGAGGAAGAGGTAATGATCGCGTTTGCTCCGGCCGCTACAACGAGCTGTGAGGAATTCTTGTCAGCGTTTCTCTTGCCGGATGAAATGTGAGCGAGACGCACCTGAGCGCCAAAGACGGAAACGCCGCCCGTGCCCTGCAAGACGACAAACGCGCCCGGCTTGAGCGGCTGGTTCCCGCCGAAGATGGCGTTGTAAACCGTCACAGCCGCGCAAGGGAGCGTCGCAGCCTCCTCGTAGCTGTAGCCCTCGGGCATGCGGACGAGTGCGTGGGCGGGGAAGATGCGGTACTCGGTGAGCACGCCGTCGCAGCCGCCGCCGAGGGTGCCGGCGAAGAGCGAGGGGTCGTCGAGCTGGCCTGCAAGGTAAAGTACTGTTAGAGCACGAAGGATCACTCAGAATTCGACGAGAACGCACCGTTGATCAAGTCCTGCGAATCCGAAAGAGGATCAGTGAGTCTTCTTTCCGCAAGTTCAACTTCAAGCGCACCTGCGTGAAAATCCCCATGACCTTGTCACCATTCTTCCACTTCTGGACTCCCTCTCCAACGGCGACAACCTCGCCTGCGCCGTCAGAGACGGGAATTATCTGCGAAGACGAGACGAGGAGCGTCAGTTACGCTGGCGAGTCAAGCGCGAGCCGCGACGCACGTTGGTCTCGAATGGCGAGGGGTAGGTTCCGTTGGCGATCTGCGAACCAACGGCGAGTCCAGGAGCGAGGAAGCGGAGCGGAGCAAGTGGAGGAACGATGTCAGCGCGGTCGATACGGTCACCGTGGGCCTTGCGTGCGCACCTGGAGGTCCCTGTTGTTGAGAGAGACGGCATGCATGCGCACGAGCACCTCGTCTGCCTTGGGCGCTTTTGTCTCGACGCCTTCCTTCAACTGGAGCGAGTCGAAGGACTTGCTGGCGCCGGTGACGCGGTACTCATGGTGGGTCTTGGGGACGTTTCCGGCGGTCATTGTGGTTGTGCGAGTGTGCAGTCGGGTGCAGCAGTCGAGGAGAGGAGGGAGCAGCTGGACGACGTCGATGCGCCGGAGTGTTCGGCTCGGAGATTGCTCGGAGTTCGTCATCTCCGAGCATCTCTCCTCCTCACTCTCAACCCGCTGCTGACAGCTCAGGAGCCGCTTCCATGGTCGCAAGGGTTTGCTGACATGCCGTTCACGGTCTGTCTGTCCGTCCGGACACGGCGCGCGACGGCGGGACCCACCGCACCGCACCGAGCGAGCGGACCTTGACCCAGTGTCAGTGGTCTGCTGCGTCCGATCCGCCTGCCCTTGAGTGCCGTGCGGCCTTCGCGTGATCCAAAGAGGGCAAAGATGCGCGCACGTCTCCTTCAACCGAGCGCGATCCGGACGACCAGGCCGAACCCGCGACGTCGTCTCTATCGGAATCAGTCGTCGAAGCCCTTGCCCAGCTCGACCCAGCTCTTCCTCCTGCTCAGCTACTCCTTGACCACTCAGAGCGTACCTGCTTGGCCCCGCACAGCCCATCATGGCTCTCGAAGAACCTGCCCTCCCTGCTGTGCCCGAGTACCCGTCGCGCTCGCCTTGGAACAGCGAGATCGAGGGGACGAGGGAACGCTTCCTACGTGAACTGGGCGACTACAGCGGGTGGAAACCGATGGGAGAGAAGCAGGGCGTCAAGCTTTGGCGCAAGTATGACGACGTGAGTCCGGGATCCTCTTCCAACCATCCTTCGCCTCGTTCATTCGGTCTTCCCCATCGCAGGACAACAGTGAGCCTCGAAAGGTCTCGCCGCACTGGCCACGTGAAGTACTAAACGACTCTCTGCCCGCAGACCCCATTCCCTGCGTTCGCGGCGAGACGATCGTCAAGAATGCGTCGCCCTATGCCGTTCGTTTCGCTCGTCCCCTCATCTTCATTGCCTCGCTAACCCAGCTCACATCGGCAGTTCCTCGCCGGCGTCGTTCAAATGCCGGGCATGCGCAAACTCTGGGACCCCCGAACCGAACAAGGCTGCATGCTCCAACGATTCTCGCGCAACGAAGTCCTCTTCTACGCCGTGACCAAGGGCAAGCGGTTCATCGCCTCGCCGAGGGATATCGTCGGTGTGCAGAAGGACTATGTGGAGCGGGATGGGTCGTGCATGATTGTGCAGAAGAGTGTTGAGACGGATGTTGCGCCAGAACAGGCGGGGATGCGGAGGGCGACCCTAGACTTGAGCGGGTGGCACTTTGAGTGAGTTCAGGTTTCTTATCCTCGCACAGCTCGCTGCTAACGTGGCCCCCGTCCGCAGACCACAAGGGGAGGACTTGAAGGTCACGTAGGTTGACGCCTCTCGTCCGTCGCCTTCCACTCTACTGACGCGCCTCCGTCGCTCCGGCAGCTACATCTTCCGCATTGGCCTGGGCGGCATGATCCCGAACGCGCTCGTGTCGATGGCGACGACCGAGACGCCGCTCTGCACGGGACGAGCCAGAGATACCTTCTACGAATGTGCGCCCTTGACTCCGTTCCCTACCTCGGACGCGCGTGCTGATGACACTGTGTACAGACGGCTACGCACCCTACATCCGACACACCCCCGACGAGCCGAGCACGATCTTCCAGAAGGAAACCTTCAAATCTCCTCCGATCCGCGAATACCAGTGCACCGTCACGACCGGCCAACAGATCGGCGAAACCTTCGAGATTGCGTACGACTTGCGACGGATGTATAGACCCGAGGGAGGGGTGCAAGTTGCGGTCAAGGGCGAGGGAGTCCAGGCGGTTGATGACGGGAAGGGGACGGTCCGGGTGCAGACGACGGAGAGCGGCAAGACGGCGACGGTTGTACTTACTCCTCGGTAGACTCTAGGCTGTTGTTTGTTGTCTGTAGACTTCGTTTTGCAAGAGCTGTTCATAACGACCTTCTCAACCTGCGCCTCCGTCTCCGCTTCGCATTCGCTCGCTTCGCTCCTTGCTTCACAACATGAATTGCAGTTTTCGACAACACTCACTACCTTGCTGCTGCTTACCAAGCTGACTTCGACCCGGCTCACTGACCGGGCCCGGCTCGAGGAAGAAGATGTGGGGCAACTCGTCCTCGCTTGGCCTCCTTCTCCTCGCTCGCTCTTCTCACAAAGCCTTACCAGCACTCGCTGAGCTTCAACACACGTCATGGTACACCCCCAGCACCCACCCGTCGGCCCGCACCTCGTCGTCTCGTACCCTGCGCCCAAAGTCCTCCAGCTCCGCTTGAACCGCCCCGAAGCGCTCAATGCCATGACTGATGCGCTCGAGGCCGACTTGTGCAAGGTGGGAATGCCGGGGTACTTGCAGTGAAGGACGCGCTGAGTGTTGACGACGTCTGCAGATGCTCGACTGGTTCGAGGAACAGACGTCGCTTTGGGTCTTGATTGTTACGGGCACGGGGAGAGCTTTCTGCGCGGGTCAGGTGCGCTTCATATCCCTGCAATCAGGGCGAACCCCGCTAACCCGAGAATCGCGCCCGCAGGACTTGAAGAACTGGCAAAAGACAGCCGGGACGAACGACGCACCCGACGGCAACATTCGCAAGAACCCGCACGGGTTCGGCTCGCTTGCTCGTCGTAGGACCAAGAAGACGTTCATCTGCGCCTTGAACGGCTTTGCGTTCGGTGGAGGCGCCGAGATCGTGGTCAATGCTGGTTCGTCGCGCTCTTTCCGAGGCTCTCGCTCTGACATTGGAAGCTGAGGGCGTACGTTTTGGCAGACATCGTCATCGGCTGCAAGGGCGGCAAGGTTGGCTTCCCCGAAGTCAAGCGAGGTGCGCTTGCTGCCCCTTTCCCGCGTCTCTGCTCCGACTGACTCTTCGCAAATGACAGGCGTTGTCGCCGGTGTCGGCGGCATTCCCAACGCGTTCTGGCACTCCCCTCAACTCGTCCCTTACCTCCTCACGGGCAACCCAATCCCTCAGCGCGTTCTCGAAACGCATATTTTCACCGAAGTCGTTCCAGCCGACCAAGTCCTCCCCACCGCGCTCAAGTGGGCCAAGCAGATCACCGACGCGTCGCCTGAAGCTGTTTGGGTCACGAAAGAACAGATCAACATGCACAAGACGGGCATGGGCGTTGGAGACATCGTTTATGCGAGTCTTGACACGGAACAGAGCCAGAAACTCTATCGTGGGGCCAACATCCAGGAAGGCTTGCGATCGTTTGTCGAGGTGCGCCTATTACTTTATGTCAGGCGAAGACCGCAACTGACTTGCTTGTCCGGCGGCGTCTGCAGAAGCGAGAACCGGTGTGGCAGGACCCGCCCGCTCTGTCCCAGCCGAGGAAGGCGCGCTTGTAGGCTGCTCCGGCGACTCCTCGAGGAACGTATGGCTATCTCGACGTATGTACGGACAGTCTGCGTAGCGTGGTCACGTAGCGCAAGGCGGAGAGAACGGAGAGGAGCAGGAGCAATGCAAGCGTCGCAAAGGCTAGACTACCGGGCGTAAGTCAAGCCCTGTTTGAGGCTCTTGCGCCGTCTTCCGAGCCTTGTCTCTGCAAGTTGAGCGGTCGACGCAGAGGTCGTCTGTCGCGCGAGCAGGTTGTTGCACGACCGCTCACCTCGCTCGGCTGGGTTGCTTCGAATGACGCTGGACTTGTCTGATCCGGCAATCAGCACAGCATACGAGGCGCTGCTCAGCGCGGAGGGCGCTGGAGTAGACTGGTGCGTGACCTTCGGCTTCCATGACGGCGAGGAAGCTGACCGCCCTCGCTCCTGCAGGCTGATCTTGGGCTATGGTGGAGCTCAGAACAAGCTTGCGTTACTGGCCAAGGGCAGCGGCGGGCTCGAAGAGCTGAGAGGGAGACTGGTGCGCCCCTTGTTGTCCTTCCAGCTGATGAGGACCTGAGCTGACGACCTCACTTCGCAGGTCGCTGGCGAGGTGTTGTACGGGTTGTTGAAGGTCGAGGGTCGGACTCTGCTGTGGAGCCAGGTCCCGCACGAGGTTGGCGGCGTCAAGCGCGGTCCGTCCGCTTTCTCCTCCTCCTCTTGCGGCGTCTGTCAGTAGCTGACCTGGCCGGTAACGCAGCACGAGCACTTGTGCACGCACGCACAGTTGCAAACTACTTCTCGCATTACAGCAGCCTGACTTTCGCCTCGCCCGCCGACCTCGAACCCTCAGTCGTCTCGATCCGCCTCTTCCACCAGACTCCCTCCGCGCACGCTTCTCCAGCCATCCAGCAGCTCCCTTCACCCCGCTCGCAGCAGCACTCGCCTGAGCCGGCGGCTGGACGGAGACCGTCTGTTCCTGAGGCATCGTATGCGTCTGAATCCGCGAACGGCGACCCTCGAGCTCGCTCGGCAACGCCCACTCGCGGCCTCTTCGGCGTACCTACCCTATCGACTCATCCTCCGCACACCGCTGTCCCACCGCGAACCGAACACACCACGCCTGCCGCCTCTCCCTCCTCCGGCTATCCTGCTCATCTCGCGCATCCAGCCAGCGCACCAGCGCAGGCAGCCCCTCACCCCCTCTCCGAAGTCGCCTCCATCCCGACCGCGAGTTCGCCTCGAACAACACGCAATCTCCCCCCGCCCCAAAACTCCCTCAGTGTCCCGCCCGCTTCCCCTCCTACCTTCGCCTCTTCGCCCGCCAGCAGTCCAGGACTCTTTGAATCGGCAGCAGCAGCGATGCTCGTCGCCTCGCCCTCCGACTCGAGCATTGTCCTGTCGGCTCAGGAAGTTCCCACAGACGTCGCTGAGGAGGAACAGAGCATGAGGCGTGCACCGCCGCCCTCTGCAGCTACCACTGTGCCAGAGACACATTTGCCGGTATCGGACATTCAGAGTCGGACAGAGGCGTTGCAGATGTCGGACGGCGACGCACATGAGAAAGAGGCGGCGGTGTTGGAGGAGCCTTTACGGACGGCGGAAGAGGAGGCTGAGGATCGTCGGCTGATCGAGGAGGAGTTGGAGCGCCGGCGAGTGGAGGAAGAGGAGGCGCGGCGAAGAGCGGCGGAAGAAGAGGAGGAGCTTCGTGCGCAGGAGGAAGAGCGCTTGCGGCTCGAAGCTGAGGCGGAGCGGGTACGGCAGGAGGAGGAGCGTCGGCTCGCTGAGGAGGCGAGGATTGCGGAGGAAGAACGAAGAGCGGAGGAACAGCGGCTGGCGGACGAAGCGGAGCGGTTGAGGCTGGAAGAGGAGGAGCGAACGCGGAAGGCGGAAGAGGAGATGCGGCTGCTGATCGAGCGACAGCGCCTTGAGAAACAGCTGCGGGAGGAAGAGGAGGCGCGACAGAGGGAACAGGCGCGGCTGCGCGAGATCGAGGAGCGGAAGCAGCGGCTGGTGCAGGCGCGTGATTCGGGCGGCGTCATGCTGAGCGGGACGGTCAACGTCCAAGGTGGCGGGTCCATGGTGCGCTCGTTTGTCTGCTCATCGCATAGGACCCGGCTAATGCGTGCTTTGTTACGCAGCTCTGGAAACGCCGTTTCTTCCAGGTTCGCGGGTCGGGCCTCGAGCTGTTCAAGGGCGAAGCGGTACGTTCGCGGCAGTTGCCTCTGTTGACTGTCCGTGACTGACGCGGATTCTTCACAGGATGCGGACCAGCCTCTCGACACGGTCGCAGGCGACCACATCGTCAAGATTACCGACAACCCAGAAGAAGCACTCGTTCCGCACTCGTTCAAGCTCACGCTCAGGGACGACGACGAGTATCTCTTCTATTACAACACGGAGGAAGAGAAGAGTCGCCTGGTCGAGGCGCTGAACTGCGCCATGCGGCGGTAGGCTTGAGGAGGAGGAACGGAATACCCCTCTGTTGTCACCATACCTTCTGCGCCCTTAGTCGCACTATGCTGCGTAATCTACAAGCTCGTACGAAACGTATTGACGCCGTTCGCGCCAGTACATATGTGCAAACCGTGCGAGGGGACTCTTTCCCTTCAACACTTCGCTTCTCGCTGTGAATTCTCGCTTGAGCTTGCTCGGCGGCTCCCACAGGCGATGGACGACTCGCCATGGGGCGCTCCAGACGACTCCTTCGCGTCCAGCCTCCCCCGTCCACGCTCACCGCCCCTCAACTTCTCCGCGACATCATCGCTCCCGCTTCCAACAGCACCGACTTGGGCGGACGACGACGGGCCTGGATGGGGTGCATCTGCAGACGATAGCCCGGGCGCAGTCCTCCCGACTCGATCAGCGGGTCTGCCGTCGCTGGACACTTTGGACGTGCCGAAGGTGGAGGAGGATATCTCCGGAGGGACGGGCTTTGCTGGTACAAGCGGCAGTTGGGACAACGAGTCTCCAGAACTACCTCGGCTAGCGACCCTATCGCCGCCTCTCGACACCGCAGCAGACGACTCGACCGCCGACTTGCCTCCCCTCCCACCGCTCTCCTCGCCTTCCGCCGTCTTTGCCTCGCCTTCACGGCCGTCTGAGGACGCAATAGGCAGTGCGAACGAGGAGCAGGACGACGGCGGAGGCTGGGGCGGTGCTTCTCCAGACTTGCCTCCCATCGCCAGTCTGCGAGTCGCTTCTCCTCCTTCACCTGAACCTGAAGAGCGGGATTCGGGCTGGGGAGTTGAGACCGAAGACGCGGACCCGTCGGATATCCCTCCGCCCCTTCCTACCGTCGACGAAGTCTTTGCATCGGCGAAGCGGAGACGGGAGAGTGTCGAGTTGGCGAAGCAGGCCGAGGCGGGAGAAGATGCATGGGGTAGTTCGCAAGGATGGGAGGAGCGGCTGCGGATAGAGGCAGAAGCGCGCGAGAAGGAACGACTGGCCGAGCTGGCTGCCGCAGGGATTGAGCCGACGCCTGAGGTTCGTTGCACTCCTCTGCCTCGCAACGAATCCGAACTGACAGCCTTGTCATTCTCGCAGAAGCCGGCGGACAACGCCGAGACTTCAAAGCAGGACGGCGCGGAGAAGTGACTTGGAGCCGTCTTCACCGTCGTTCCGGACGGAGTGCTGACTGCGGTGTCCGTTGCAGCCCAGAACGACCGGCTGCTAATGGCGGCATCACGTCGATGTTCCGCAGCTTCCGCAAAGGAGCAGAAGATGCGGCTGCAAAGTCGACTGAGGTCGTCAAGGACGCTTCCAACTCTGCCGCTCGAGGCGTTGCTGCGATCGGGCGGACGGCTTCGGCGCGCAGCTCGCAGGATGAAGGGAGGGGTGAGTCACCTGCGCGAACGTCGGAGGAGCGGGCTGCGGGAAAGAGCTGGTGGAGTAGGTCGGGCGCCAAGAAGGAGGAGGCGAAGAAGCCTGAGCCAAAGGAGGAGGACGACCCAAACACAATCGGCGTCGAGGAGGTCCAACAGGGCGAGTCAGGACGCGTCGATTCGCCTGAGCCGCAGCAAGGTGCTATCGGCCGCTTCCTGAGCCGGCTGAAACGACCGGCGTCTGCACCGACGGAAGGAAGCTCCGATGCTCGACAGACGCCGTCGCCTCGCAACAGCAGCGAACAACAGCCGCCTGCTTTCCGAGCGGACGATTTTGACGCGCTCGCGAACGGCGAGATCGGCCGGGTCACACTCCAGGTGCGGCAGAAGCATGAGGAAGAGGACGCGACTCCACGCGGCGGTTTGTTCGGTCTGCGAAGCAAGTCGGCAGCGGCTGTCCCATCTGCACCGCCAGAGGACGACTTCGGCGGTCTCATCGGCGCGCTGGCGGATGCACCTGTCCGGCCTTCTGCAAGAAGCGGCATATCCAAAACGTTCGATCCGTTCGACCCTCTCAGCGACAGCTTCGGCGCCCTACCTGCGCCATCCGCCCCTCATCGCGCAACGCACGCTGCCGCCCCTCCGCTTCAGCCTCCGCCTAGCCAAACGGCCATTCCGCCATCCCGCCCAGCTGTCCAGCCTCCCACGCACAACCGCCGAACCTCCTCAGTCGCCTCCTTCCCTGCCTCTCCTCCTCTTGCTCCAGCCACATCTGCCAACGAACCCGAAGACTCGTTCGACGACTTCTTCAACTCGGTCGTCGCATCCACCTCGAAGCCAGTATCCCCACCTGCGGTCAAGGTTGTCGCGCCGACGCCTCGGCAAAACAAGCCAGCCTCGACTCTTCTTCCATCTGCACCTACTCAGCCTATCCGTACGACGTCGACAAAATCGCCGCCGCCTCGAATGACGATCTCGCCGCCAGTCCGCACGTCGACCGCTTCACCCGCATCTGCGAGCGGTGCAAGTCGTGCGACGACACCCATCATGCCCCTCGCTCCTCCTCCTCCGCCCTCTCAGCCTCTCGCGTCGACTCGCGGACATGTCCTTCCGCCACCGCCAGCGGTGACTCAGCGAGTCGGCACTCCCCTCCAGGCTGCACCACTCGCTCCCTCGCCCGCCTCTTCCGCCGGCGCCAAGTCTCCCTCCCCTGCTCCACCTCAGCGCTCCACGTCAGGCCCCCTCTCGCTCGACGACCTGTCGTTCTTCGAGAGTTAGGCGGAGCGTTTCTTCTCCTCTCCTAGATTGCCACCGTTTCTGTAGCTTTTTCCGTTGCCGTCCCTGTTATATCATCACTGTGCGCATCGACTGCTCTGCAAGGACTTCGCGAGTTGTCGAGTGCCATCGTCGTTGGTCCAGGTGACGGAGGTTCGTCCTCACGCTCACCACTCGCTCGCGCTTGCTGTCGCGCTTGCTGCACTGCTTGATTCAGCAATGGTTAGCGAGAGTCCCAACGACAAGCCCAGTTCGACCGCCACGCCCGTCGAAGCCAGTCTTCCCGCCGTCACTCCCACAACGGGTTCGTCCCCTCTCACACCGCTCGTGTGCCTTCGCTGACCATGCACTATGCAGAACGGACACGGCAGAAGCGACCTCGTGCAGCGGTGGATCCCGGCACGCCCAAGGTGAGCCGCTCGTGGACGCCTTGTCCGTTGACATCGGTCGTCAACCGTCCTTGCTCTCCCGTCTCGCGCTGCGTGTGATGCTTCGTGAGCTGACAGCTTTCTGTCTGCTCGCAGGGTGATGGAGACGAGGGGAAGGGCCCGTCCAGCATGACGCCGCTCGCGAAGAAGGGGTGCGTCCTGCTTCCGCGACACCCTTATCCCTCTTGCGCTTGTAAGGCAAGATCGTCTGACCGCTGATATCTGGTTCCGTTCTACAGCCGTGTCGAGGAAGGAGAAGAAGGCGGTTCGGACAATGAGCGGTCTGCGACCCCACCTCCCGCCGGCGAGGCTTCCAACTCTCGTCCGTCAACTCCGTCGCAGGACGTCAGCCCAACCAAACCGCCTGCGACGGAAGGCAAGGATACGAAGAAGCTGCGCGAGCGCGTTGCGGCGATGAAGCCGCCCGGCCAGACCGGCGAGATTGAGGAGGGTTCGACACAGGACGTCGAGATTGCCGAGGTTGCGGACGAGGTCTCGGCCTCCGCTGCCAAGCTCGGCAACGAGCAGGAAGCGAAGGAGACGAAGGACGTCGAGATCGCGGAGGTTGCGGCTGACGTCGGCAAGTCTGCGGAACAACTTGCGCAGCAGGACGAGCGCAAGGAGCAGGACGACATGGAGGGGATCGGAAAGGGCGCGTCGAAGGAGGTTGCGGACACGGCGGCCGAGGTGGCGGAGTCGGCTGCGATAGTCCAGGCAAAAGACGAGAAGATCGCCGACGCCGCCAGCGAGGTCGCGGAATCTGCCAAGGAGGTTCCGGAACCGACGCCCGCACCGACACCAAAGCCAAACACGTCGGACCAAGCTGTGAGTCGTTTCGCATGCCTGTGTGCCCGCGCAACTGACGTTTTGGCTTCCTAGTCCTTCTCAAGCTACTCCTCGACCGCCTCACCCTTCGCCGCATTCGCCTCTACCTCTTCTCCTCTCGCTTCCGTTCCGGCGCTTGCAAAGCCATCTGCAGAGCAGCAGAAGCCGAAGACGAAGTCGACGTTCTCGGCCGCTCCTTTCGCCGCCTCGTCCATTCCTCCAGCTGTTCCTCCCGCCTCCACGACCGACAAGCCCGCTTTGACTGAGCCTGTCGCCGTCGCATCGACTTCGACGCCCTTCACCAAGGCAGCACCGACGACCAACCTCGCCGCGGCGTCACCTTTCTCTGCCTTCGCCTCGACAAGCGGGTTCGCCGCTGCCGGCAAGTCGAGCGCCTCGTCTGCCTTCAGTGCGTTTTCAGCTACGCCGTCGGCTTTCACCGCCGTTCCCTCATCCGACTCTGGCGCGACGTCGTCGTCCGCGTCGCCCGCGCCTGCCGATACTGAGGAGAAGCGCGTCTACACCGAGCAGGAGGTCGTGACGGGCGAGGAGGATGAGGAGACCGTGCACAGCGTCCGGTGCAAGCTGTTTGCGATGCACGAGGGCAACTGGGTCGAGAGGGGGACCGGGCCGTTCAAGGTGAACCAGACGAAGAAGGAGGGCAAGCACAGCGCTCGACTAGGTGCGCAACTGTTCGCTACTTTCGTTGATTCGTCCGTCCTGATCCATTGCGTGCGCAGTCATGCGCGCGGACGCTACCCACCGCCTACTGCTCAACGCGCCGTTGTTCCGCGAGTTCGTCATCGACGTCAGCAACGAGAAGTACGTGCGCTTCACGGTCATTACAGGCGACGGACCGACGAGCTACATGTTGCGGGTGCGTATCTCTCCTCCTTCGCCCACAAGCTCGTCGCTGACTTCGCTCGGAACAGACGGCCAACGCGGCGGCGGCGCAGAACCTGGTGCAGGCCGTGCGGGACAAGGCAGCAACGCTGTAGACGCTTCTTCTCTCACTCTTCACTCGCAGCCTCTTCTTGATCGTCTCTCTCGTTCTGTACTTCGATATGCAACCAGCTTCTATCCCTTTGCCCTGTTCATTCCGTACGATGCGATATGGAGTTTGCGGCTAAATACGCACGCGCCGGAAGGTCGATACGGCGCTCAACTCGAGCCAGTGAATCTGGATCTCCTCGACGCTCTCGATGACCTTCTCCTGCGCCGTCTCGGCCAGCTCAGGTGGCGGCGGGAGTCTCGGCTCGCTCTTGAAGAACCTGACCCTTGCCGGACTCCAGCTCGGGCTGGTGTAGCCGGTCAGAGCGAGTCGGCCGTAGCCTTGCACGACGCCTTCGTCCCAGTCGGGCCCAAGACCGTTGTTCAGGGACGTATACGCGGGAGAAGACGGGTCGAGGGAAGAGAAATCGCGGAACTTGGTTGACGAGATGGTCGGGACGATGGGGGGAGCGGAGGAATCGAGGAGAATGTCGGCGGAGGTGGGAGGGAGAATAGCAATCCAGGACGGCTGCGAGCAAAGATCGTCAACCATAGATTGGCGGACTTGAACGGGAGAACCACGCACCTGTCCGCTGGGGACGTTAGCATCGCCCGTGGCCTTCGTCGCCTGTATAACGTAGTGATAAGACGGCGCAGCTGCGTATTCATTCTCGCTGTCGCTGCTGTCCGCATCCTCCTGTCGCGGAAACTCGGCGATACCGACAGTAATATAGATGAACTCGAGGCCGTGGGCCGAGTAAGTACCGACCCTGCAAGCCCAAGTCAGCAAGAGCTTCGAGAACGATAGCCGTCCGACACGCACCACAAGCCCTCGAGAGATCGCGCGGGAATATCGCCGTGCTCGTCGGCGTGGGACTCGTCAATCCAGCGCAAGGGCCTGGCGGGCGCTTTGACGGGGAAGAACGCCTCGCTCGACGCGTCGACAGCGTCCGCGAGCTGGTCGTCAGTCGAGGCGGATGCTCCCGCATCGTCGGCAGAAGGAAGGGGTGGAGAGACTGGCTGCGGTGGCGAGCCGGGTAGTCGCAAGACGAACCCCTGCGAGAGAGTCTGTATCAGCGACGGAAGCCATTTGAAGAAGCGAGCCTGACGCACGCCTTCCGCTTCGTCGCCCGCTCGCAAGATGGTGATCGGCCGCCTAGTCTCCTCCGGGTCCTGCTCCCGTCCGTGCCACAGCACCGCCATCCCGCCATTCGCTCCTACGCCTCGCCGCCTGGTCGTCGCCGTCCCGTTCGACCACCTCTCACTCGTCCCTGCACTGGACGACGTCTCGCCGCGCGCCTGGTCACTTGTCGGAGGATGCTTCGGCGTCCGTTTCGCGCGGATGCGGAAGCCCGTTACGAAAGCCTCGTCATCTTCTCCACTTGCCTCGTCCGCAGGCTGGACGACCTCGGCCAACGGAAGCTCCGCTCCATCAGGCGATCTGAGCCAGTCCTTCAAGCCTCGGAACGCCCCGTCACCGAGCTTGATCATATGGCGAGGCGGATCAGTCCGTCCAGCCCGCCAGACTAGCAAGTCGGCCGTGTTGAGTTCCTCGAGACCGACGAGTTGAGCGGTCGGCCACGGGCGGTCGGGCAGTCGGCCGCTGAAGAGGGCGAAGAGGGCTTCGCGGTGCAAGCCGACTCGTGCAGCCGGGTCCCAAGGCTGGTCGTTCGCGCCCCCGGGCAAATCGGCCGACGAGGCGGACGGACGCTCGACCTTTCGCCTGACCGGTTCGAGTGCGAGGCGAAGTCGCACCGAAGACGCTTGAGGCGGAGCTTGCCCTGCAAGCGCACCGTCCGCCCGCGCACGCAAAGTGGAGAGACAAGCTCCTTCCTCGGGCGTGATCTCGAATGTATGCGAGCCGAAGTCGTATGTCGGCTCGAGGAGTTCCATAGACGCGCCGGCGTAAGGATGCGAAGGGTTGACTTGTGGCGAGATGAACAGGAGGCTCTGCTCCGGACGAGGGCGCACGGCGCCGAAGGGTAGGAAGTTGGGAGGCGGAGGTGTCGCGGTGGAGTAGCGGTTCCGAGGGATCATCTGTGTCGCAGCGATAGTGTAGCGAGGCGGTCGGTCGGCGGAAGCGAGAGGGGAAGATCGGATGCCGACTCGTGAAATGCGAGAACTGCGCCGGACAGAATGGTCAGCGCGGTCCTTTCTCGCGAGCGACTCGCACGCACGTGAAGGAGATCGACGACGCAAAGTATCCCAAGTTCTGCCCGTGCGGAAGAAGGAAGCTGGCCGCCTTGAACCAGGTCGACCCGTTGTCTTCCCTCGCGGACAAGCCTGCCTCGTCGCCTGCCTCGCCGATCCAGTGTTCCCGCACGACCGTCTGCACAATACTCCTCCACAGCGTCTCTGACCGCGCGACCGCATGCAGAATGGTACAAGTTGCCGAGAGGCGGACGAGCGATTGAGGGTCGAGGAGCGAGAACGTCCTGAGCAGCAGCTCTGGCGGGAGGGTGACTAGCGAGGCCTGCTGTGAGTCTCCAGTAGCCATCTCAGCATCCATCGTGACTGCCAGCAGCGATGCTCGAGGACGTCGACTGACAAGTCGCGGTCGAAGAGACGTCACGGACGAGTTGGCGTCTTGCACTCCCTCGCTGTCGACTGTGCTCAGCTAGGACACGTTTCTGAGCTTGTATCGATTGCCCGTTGATGCTACGGAGGCGCCTGCTCTCATCCACGCCTCTCTCTCGACCCCGCCCCACCTTCATCAGAAACAGTTCGCAAACGACGCACACCCGCACAATGGCTTCTTCCTCGCTGCCAAAGGTCAAACCCTACTCGCAGGGTCAGGCCAAGATCCGCAACTCGGAGCCGATGAAGGAGGGCAAGGTGTGTTGGCCTCGTCTGCTCGTCTCGTCTGTCTACCTGGCTCGGTGTACTGATTGAAGGCTTCTTCCGTAGTGGATCGGACTCGAGAAGATTGACTGGACGGACGAGGACGGTAAGGACCGAGTGTGGGAGATGGCCGTTCGTAAGACGACTTCGGAGGGAGGAATCGACGCCGTTGCGATCGCTGCACTGCTCAGACACCCGAGCAAGCCTGTCTCGCTTCCCATGTGGGTCGCGATGAGCATTTGTCCCGTCGCCCGTCTACTGACACCTTAATCGACCCGCAGCATCCTCCAGTACCGTCCGCCAATCCGCAACATCTGCGTCGAGTTGCCCGCAGGCTTGATCGACAAGGGCGAGTCTCCGGAGAAGTCGGCAATCCGGGAGCTGTACGAGGAGACGGGCTACGGCGGCAAGGAGTTCGAGGGACGCATCGAGGTGCTCGAGGTGGGAAGCACGATTGTCAGTGATCCCGGTGCGTCCTCGCCTCATGAGCTCACGTTCAGATGAGCCGTGACACGGCTGACTGCTGACGAGTAGTGCGGAAACCGCTTGCGAACCAACCAGGCATGAGCAAGGCAAACATGTCGCTCGTCACGCTGCAAGTCGAGCTGAAGGAAGGCGAGGAGGAGCCCACGCCTCATCTTGACGAGGGTGCGTACTCTTCAGCTCACTGCCGCGTCCCAGACGAGGAGTCGCTGCCAAGATCACAATTGACGATCATTCCTCCTCCTCGCAGGCGAGCATATCGACGTTCGTGTCGTCCCAGTCGCCGAGCTCTATTCGCATCTTCAGGCATTCGAGGAGCTCGGATACACCGTCGACGCACGACTGCACCACTACGCAGCAGGGATCGAGGCGGCGAAGAAGCTGTTTGGGCAGGGCAGCGAGAGGTTGTGAGGGCTTGTAGCGGTCCTGCGGATCTTTGCAACTCCCGCTGGGTCATGCCAGCGTGCTACGGTGCGGTCTGTACCGACAGAGAGCGTGCAGAGCGCGGTCTCGCTTTTCGATGGCGCCCCACTCACGACGAGGAGGAGAAGGTCGACTTTCTCGTCCGTTGAAGGACTGCTCAGGTGTGGCGAGCACTTGTAACGTCTGAAATCGACGTCTTGCGTCCGATACGAACCTTGCGCGGGCCTTGACAGTTCTCGATGCGACTTTCCTCCGACCGAGGGCCTGACGCAACCGACGGACCTCCCTCTGCTTCCGCTCACTCACTGCTCTCACAGCTCTATCGCTACTCCACACCAGACGACACGCAATGGCAGCAGACACACACTCGAGCTCGACTGTTGAGGGAGTTAGGCAGGCGTGCGTCGCTTTCTCTCTCCTCCGCCGGCCTGCGTTGCTGACCCGCTTCTCCTCCTCGTCCGACTCCGCTACACCCTCATGTGCACTCTTTGCGTCCCTGTCTCCACTCTTATCCTCGCGCAGTCTCGAGAAGAGCGGCCTCCTCGGCAGCTCCCTCATCCCCAATTCGTTCACTCCCAAAGTCACCGTCCACGCGACCTACCCTTCCTTCGGCAACGTCGTGGTCGGCTCGACGTACGCCATCGACCAGACGCAGGACGAGCCGACCGTCTCGTTCAACGCTCCGCCGGGGAAAGAGTCCAAGTTCACCATCGTCCTTGCCGACCCCGACGCCCCTTCGCGCGATGACCCGAAGTGGGCGCCCTTGTGAGTCCGCCCTTGCTCATTAGCGAGACGAGCCGAGCGGAAAAGAGTCAAAGGCGGGACGCGGGAGAGAAGGGAACCGGACGGAACTGAGTTGCTCTCGTCCTGCAGCCGCCACTGGGTTCTCGCCGACGTCGTCCCCGGCAAGGCGGCTGGCACGACCATCGCCACCTACATGGGTCCGGCTCCGCCTCAGGGTACGGGACCGCACCGCTACGTGTGAGTCGCTCGTTTCTCCGTTTTTCGGTTGAGCATGACTGATGTTATTCTCTCACTTTCGCCAATCCCTCCCTCTCACAGCTTCCTCCTCTATGCCCAGCCGTGGGACCACACCCCGACGCTCCCGAACGACTCGGACGACCGCCCTTCCTTCGATGTCGGCAAGTTCGCCAAGGACAATGAGCTCGACCTCATCGGCGCGACTTTCTTCTACGCCGAGAAGAAGTGAGCAGTCGCATAGGAGGAGTCGGAGGATGTGCTTGAAGCGTTGAGATGCGAGAAAAGCGCTTGTGAGGATTGATGGGAGGAGTCGCTTGAGACGGTCGCTTCGAGGGCGGAACTGACCGCCGAAGGAGCGCTTGAGGGGTATCGTACTACCGTCAACTGTCAATAGCAAAGTCAGTACCCATTTCATACCTGGTCGCAACAAGGTCGTCGAGGTTGGGAAGGTCGAGACGAAGGAAGGCGCTCTGTGTCGTCGCTATTGACGGCGTGTGCGCTTCAAGTATGTGCTACACCAGCTAACAAATATTCACCTTCAAGACGCGCGTCAGGTGAGACCGCGATAGTCCGGGAGGCTTGCCCACTCCCCTCGTCTCTCGCTGCTCTCCTCCCGCACCACTCACGAGCTCGCCACCGCTTGAGCTGGACGTGTAACTTGCTGCAAGCGCTCTGACTACCTCCACCACCGCACCACCTCCGCCTCCCATTGGCTCACAAGCCCCGCCTCCAATCCCTTCCTGCACCCTCCCTTCTATCGCCGAGGCCATGGGACGCGACTACTGGGCCAGCGCTTGGCTGGCCTACGGTGCTTACGCCAACCCGCCTCAGCTTTACCTCGCCGCCAAACTCTACTACGACGTTTTCCAGGGCCCGCTCATTACCCTCTCCCTCATCCATCACCGTCGCGCGAACGGCACCCTCCATGGGGGAGTCGCCAGCCGTCTTCCTCCTGAGCTCTGGATCATGCTCGCCGAAGCGGTGCACCATGAAGCCCAAGCAATGCTGGAGGCGGCTGTCCATGACTTGACTGTCGCTGCAACCTGCGGCGCCTGCCGTACACAGTTGCTGTCGGGCGCACTGCTCAGGTGGCGCGACCATCCCTATATCGCAAGTGAGGCTTGGACAGGCTGCCAAGGTTGTCAGCGCAAGGCTGAGGAAACTATCGGGGCTATCTATCATCTCGTGCGTTAAGTTCTGCCTTTGCCCTCCTACAGCTCACTGCTAACATTCTCTCCACCACCAGGATGTGCTTCCCTTCCTGAACACCTATGGTCTCACTACTGAGTGGTACAAATACCCTCAGTGCTACCATGTCCCTGACTATGTACCTGGACGCCAGACCGAGGAGGAGCTCCAGCGGAGTGAGCAGCGATACAGACAGCGATGGGACGTCCGCGCCCAAGTGCTTCTACAGCCCCACAATTACGCCGTCGTGGAGCAGCTGAGGGGAGATGAGGTGAGCACTTCGTGCGGGTACGATGAGCGGGAATTCAGCACCTGCCAGGTGCTCACAAGGGAGGAACTGTGTGCGCTGCTAGGAGACCAGCGCCTGGCAGGCCTCTACCGCCGGTTCTTTGCAGACTGGCCGATGGGTGCGGATTGGAAGGAGAGGGAGCCGCAGCTGCACATCCGCTGCGTGGGCGAGTCGGGATGAGGAGCGGCAAGTCACAATGGGTCAGGCTCCTTCGTCCTGTCTCAAGCAATATTTGTCGTCTCTGCCAGAACACTCGATGGGACAGCGAGAGTGCGAGAGATGAGGCGAGACGAACATCCACGAGTTGCGAAGGTCAGCTTAGGATGACTTCCTTCCGCGTCTGCTTCCAACAGAACCAGTAAATAGACAGTATGCGAAGAAGAGATGGAGTGTGTGAAACGACAGTTGTCGCTGGATGTCGCTGGACCAGACCACGACGCGAATCTTCGCCCTCCGCCATTCTTCCCTCTTGCCTTGACTCGACCTCCGTCCAGCAGTCAGACTTGTCGGAACGCTCACTCTCGCACTGGTGCAGCACACCGCGGCACTCGCTTTCTTCCGCACCGACACTTCCGCGCCGCACCAAATCCCACTCTCTTTCGCGCGTTCCTTTGACGAGCTTCCCGACCTACATCAGCCCTTCAGGGCGCGAGCTTACCTTTCCTACAGTCTATCACACTCGGCATGGGGCGCGAAGCTCACGCAGATGCGTGGCTCTCTTTCGGCGTCGACTGCTTCGCAGTTGAGCTTGATGCGGCCATGCGCACCTCCGTCTGCTTCTTCAGATCCCTCCACGCCCTCCGCATGTTGCGCGTCCGCAGGCTGCAGGGCACACTGAGCGGCGGATCCGCCTCGCGCCTCCCCGTCGAGTTGTGGGATCTCCTGATCTCCTCCTGCAGGAGCACGGCGAGGGAATCGTTCCGGGACGAGATGGACGACATTACCGTTCGCACAATGTGTGACGCTTGCAAGTCCAAGACTCAGCCGGACATTCGCCTTCGATGGGGCGACCACCCGAGCGTCCACAAAAACCCGGACTGCGGAGCCTACTACGAACTCGCTGAGCCAGTCGTAGAGCAGATCTACAATGACTGGGTAAGTGAGGGCGTCGAGCTTGACACGGGCGCGCAGCTGACACATGAAGGGCACACAGAGGCCTGTCGATTTCTTCCTCCACGAATATCACCTCGCAGTCAAGTGGCACCGCTGGCCACTGTCCGAATACAACATTGACTATCCTGAGGAAGCAGAAGCTGGAGCCGAAGACCAGGGTTGGTTCTTCAACGTAGCCCAGACCGAGTTCGTGCATCTGCGGTACCGATCCTCGCTCGGTAAGGTCCTCCGCGGTGCCGGCACCGCCACAGGCTACGGCCCGAACAGCGAAACGACCAACTTGCCGTCAACAGAGCAAGTCGCCGCGATCCTCTCGAAGCCCTGCTGGAATGCGACGTTCAGGAGGTTCTTCGGGGACTGGGATTTCTCCGACGTCCAGTCGCGCGCGCCGGCGTTCCCTGACGGAACCGGGAAGCCCGCTCTGCGTCTCGAGTGCCAGGTGAACATGTACGAGTAGGATGAGTGGATCAGAATGTCGGGACCGTCGAGCAGAGGAGCAAGACGGAGGTCGTATCGCGTCGTAGTGGCGTTGCCAATACATCCGTGGTGAAGTCTCGCTCATTCCTGGACCATTAGAGTGAAGACAGACTGGGACTGAGGTTGCGAAAGCCTTCATTCGCACTCCGGATGGCACTTGTACGTCTTGCCGCCAAGCTCGAACGTCCCGTTCCGGTAGATCTCGTCGAGCTTCTCCCCTAAGCCGGGGTTGACGTGCTTGCAACCTGTGCGTGCCTCACAATCAGCTCGGGCGGATCAAGTCTGGAAGAGGAGGGAACGCACTGTCCGTCACCCGTTTTGACCAGACGAAGTACTCCTGCGCACCCGCGAGCCGTTAGCAAGAGGAGCGAGATCGATTGTAAGCGGTTCGGCGCACCTGTATCCGCTGGACCGACCACCCTGCTGGCCGCCCCTTCGCGCTCATCAAGTCCGTCAAGTTCGAGAGCTTGTCGGCGAGCTTGACGTGCTCTGCGGCGGCATGCATACTTGTGAGCATCAAGGCTTGTCTGTAAGGTCAATGAGACGAGAACGCACTCGCTTCGTCCGACTTGTGAGGCGAGTGGTCGATCTGCGCCTGTTTCCGCGCCTCCTTGCTCAGCGACTTGTCGTCCGAGCACTCGAGCACTGCGCAGAACCCTGTCAGCACATCACCTCGCTCGTCAGGACTCGCTTGACGCACCAATATTCGTCACGACATCCCCGAACCGCTCTCTCAGTTCCTGAACCGTCGTCTCCGTATCCTCAATCACATCATGCAACATCGCCGCCTGCAACACCTCGATGGGCGGATTGGGATGCAGACTCGACGCAGGGGAGGCAAGAAGCGCCGCCACGTGGAGGGGATGTTGGACGTAGGCGGGTGAGGAGGGCGATTTGCGACGTTGTTGGGAGTGCGCGACGGCGGCGAAGTGGGCGGTTGAGAGGAGTTGGAAGGTCAGGGAGGGGTCGGTGGCGATTGGTGTGTGGGGGAGGTCGGCGGTGAGCGACATGATGGAGCGGCGAAGAGGGGAGGAGACGAGGCGGAGAAAGGTCGGGCGAGAAAGTGTCGAGGTAGCCCGAATGGCTCGAAGAATGGACGTCGAGGGTCTGAAGTACGCCAGAGCGAAAGAAGGAGGCGTCCGACGCGAACAGTCGAGGGGGAGGAGAGGCTGTGCGAGGTCGAGGAGGCGAGTCTGCGAGACAGGCAAGCGTTGAGCGTGCCGTAACCTTCTCAGCCGTCTTTTGAGCACTGCTTGCGCCTGTCAATAGCCTCGCCAACGCCCTTGCCGCGTTCTCATCGACCTTGCTGCTCCCGAAGTGACGTCGAGCGATGAGAAAAACTCACAAGTCTGAGGGAAGGGCAAGGCTTCCTGGCGTGGCAGAGCAGCGATACAAGTCTGTGAGAGCCGTAGAAACGCTGAACAAAGCCGGGCAAGCGGTGTGAGCGGCGTGTGGTTCGTGGTTGGAAGGAGAGGAGGAGCGAGATTGTCCTCCGCCGCACACCTCGTCTCGCCCGAAGGCTTGCGCGAGGCGCTCGCCTCGCTACTATGGCTTGCAGGTTGATGTCCGGTCTACCCGTGGCGTCCCCACTGTCTGCAGCTGCCCGCTCACCTTCGCACCATCCTGCCTCGAAACACGCCCGCGACACTGCTCACAACGCCTCTCAGATGTTGCGCTCTAGCGCTGACGCTTCTCGGGTTCAGATCAGCGGAGATGTCACGAGCGGGGCCGGTCAAGGAGGAGCCGTTTTTAGTCGCTGCTCCCTCTCCCCCTGCCAGATCCTTTCCTTCGACCGACCATACCCGCTGGGTCGATTTGCTTGACCGTACCACACCAGACAACGACTCTACACTCCGGTAGGGACACTGCGCCTGCTTGCGCACGACTTGTGACGAGGCGAAGGAGGTCGCGCGCGGCTGCTTCCCTTCGCTGCGACGCTGCTCTGCGCGCAAGAGGGGTAGCGATTTGCTCTCGCCGAGCTCACCTGCTTCTCTGCGACGCTCTGTTCGTCGGGCACGGGCGTCTTAGACTCCTACTGCTCCCAGCCGAACACCGTTGCCCTCTCTTCTCTCCCGTCCTCGCGTCCTGCTCCTTTCCTCCGTACGCCGGTCTCGCCTTGATGCGGCATTCGCTCGCCCACTCGTCGTCGAGCCATACTTTGCAACCTTGCACGCGAAAGAGGCAGTCTGTAGTGAGAGAAAAGAGCAGGTCGTGCTGCTCGTTTTGTTGCGATCCCACCTGGCTTGACACGGTGCAGCACGCTCGACAGCTCGAGAGTGACTCGTGCTGGACTGCAAACACGGCTACAGCACGCGCAAACCACCCTACACCGCAGCCCATCCACCCTCGCCTCCCGCGCCGTCATCTTCTCGCCTCGACCTCAGCACGCGACACACCGCTCACCCTCGACCAGCTACAACAGAGCGAGCACACGAGCAAGCCAGTCTGCATGGCAGCACTCGCACAGCCAGACCCGTGGTGCGCGGCATCGACATCGCGCGCCCATCCTCCCGCATCTTCCTCGAGCGCATACACGGCCTCTCTCCCGCCCTCGTACCGCCGGTCTAGCTTCCCCGTCTCGCCCGACACACAATCGACGTCAGACTACCTCCCTCCCGGGCTCGGGCTCGCCCAAAGAGGGTGCGCAGACGACGACGACTTTGAGCGCGCGTCGAGCGTCCCGAGACCCGAGGACGTTCGGCTGCCGTACTCGAACGCGTCTGCGTTGGGCTTGCGAGGGATGGGACGACTGAGGGAGGAAGTGGACGCGGCGAGCAGCAGTGCGGGGTCGTCGAGGAAGGGCTCGGGCAGCTCGTTCGGGTCTGTAACGGGAGGGACGCCGCTCTCGTCGCTCGCCAACTCGCTCGTCTCTGACTACTCGACCAACCCCACCGAAGCGCTGCTGGCTCAACGAAGAGCCGCAGGCGCGCTCGAGTACGGCATGCGGAGCTTGAGCATGAGCAGCGGGCTCGATGACCGGCAGCGGAGGGAGCGGGCGGCCAAGCGCGGCGGGTGGGAAGACCCGGCTCTCGCGGCGGCACGACGAGCGTTGTGGGAAGACGTACCGGAAGACGTCGCGCAGGAGACGCAGGCGAACGACGGAGCTGGAGCTCCCGAGGTCTTTGTCGACTCGGACGAGAACGCCTCGAGCGAGAACGCCGAGGACGTCGACGCGGCTGAAGAGTGGAAGTTGCCCGTCCCGGCGCGCGAACCCTGCCACTTGACCCTCACCCCGCGCGCACCATGCCTGCGCAACTCTCCCCTCTCTCGCGCCTCGCTCTCCCTCTCCTGCTCGACAACTTTCATCTCGACCTCGTCCGTCTCGGAAGACCGCAACGGCCGCCTCTCGCCCTCTGCAGCCTCAACAGCTTCAACTTCCGCTCCGTCCGTCACCTTCGCGCGCGACCCACCCACGACTTGTCCGACCTACTCGAAAGAGGCGTACGAGCGAGGCGGCGACGCACCGGTGGAGAAGTTGTCGATCAAGGAGTGGATCGAGTTGCAGGGTGTGAGGGAGGCGGTGGGCGTTTGGAGTGGAAAGATTGGAAAGTGGCAAGAGTGCGAGGAGGTCAGGAGCGAGGGCGGAGTCGAGTCGCGTAGCGAGCAGCGACGGAGGCGCAGTAGTGCGTGTGAGGCGCTTGCAGGGAAGGACGGAGGGGACGGGTCGTGCGAGATCGCGACGGGCGCGAAGACACCTGCAGAGGGAGGAAACCAGGGAAGGACGCCTTGTCCGCTCGCGGCGGTCGTCGGCGTCGTCCAAGTCGCTCGCAGCGCACCAAACTCGCCTATCGAACAGACTAGCCTATCGCTCTCCTCGCCCTAGTCGTGATTGTATCGATTCCTCTCGCGCATCGTGTATAGATCCGCTCTCTCTCGACCTTGATTTTGTTGACATCATCCCCTCTCGCACTTTCTGCTACGCATCCCCAGCAACAGACACTGCACTTGACCCATTCGCACACCTCTCTCTCGCAGCCGTGGATAGTAGCAAGTCTATTCCAACCCGTCTCCATCCTAGTCCCTGACAGCATACACCGTATTGCTCACCTCATTCCACCTCTCCCTGTCCACTGCCCACCTGCCCGCAAAGTCCCTCTCGAGCGCATGGAACCTCCGTCCGACAATCACGAAACTATGCAGCGGGCCTCCGAACGCCTCTTCGTCCAACTCGCTCAGTTCTGCGAGGGTGCCAGCGACGAATCTCTGAGAGGGGGCGCCGACGCGCGAGGCGGAGATTGCGAGTGTGGTTGAGGGGTCGAGGGAGTCGGCGGAGGCGAGTGAGGGGGAGGAGTCGGAAGAGGCAGAGGGGGAGGAGTCTTCGAGGAGCGAGAGGAGTTGGGAGATGGCGGTTGGGACGGACATGTACCGAGGGGGCTCGTAGATCTTGCGGCCTCTGCGATGGACAAACTCGGTCAGCGCAAGAGCGGGAGAGGGAAGAGCTTCGGAACGCACCGCGCCAAGTTCTCCTCGCTCTGCTCCTTGACTTTGATATCCAGCAAGCACAGCGTGTGCAAGCCAAGCCGCATGTTCTCCCTCACGCGCTCGAGCCAGCTGTCCGGCCGCCACGAGTCGGTAAAGAACGGGATCGAGACGGTCTGGCCGTAATTGTAGAGTGCAAGGCCGAGCGCTCCGACGGCGTTCATGACAGAGGCGTTGTGAATGACGGTGTAGGGGATCGAGAGGGCATCCGCGCGGAGGAGGAGGTCGGCGTGCGTCGTTGCGCTGCGGCAGGCAAGCCGTGAGCTGGGATTCGGGCGCTGTACAGCCGCGCACGCACCCGAAGGGATCACCGACGACTAAGAATGCCACATCGACCTTGTCTGCGTCCCGCAGGATCTCATCCGAGTCCATCTCGACCATATCCCGGTCCGCAACCACGATGTCCTTGCCGTAGAACGCATCCTAAGGACGTCAAGGAGGTCAGCTAGACTCAGACGAAAGTAAATTTATCCAACGCACCAGCCGCTCCTTCCCGACTCCCAGAATCGAGGTGTACGCCTCGAGGTAGACCCGCTCGCTGCCCTTGATGGCCTCCATCCCTCGCACTGTCACATCCTTCTCGTCGTGGAGACCGAGACCGACCAAGTAGAGCATGTCTGTTGTGGATGCGAGTAAGCGAAGCAGGCCAGAGGGTGTCGTCGCGGAGGTTGCGCCGAGGAGTGATGAGGATCAGGAGGGGGAGAGAAAGGTGAAAGGGCGGGTCAGCGGGCCGCTCGGCCAGCCTAGACTGTTGCTCAGACTGTCACGCGAGCCAGCAACGGCGAGACTGACCTTGTTCTGCGGTGTTGCGTCGCGCTCAGGTCCAACCTCCTCCTCGAGCTCACGCTTGACCTCAGCCCGCCACGCCTCGCTGCGACAACTGTTGCGAGCTGGCATGTTTCGAGCTGTCTTCATTCAAATGCCTGCCTTGCCACTCTGCGCTCACCGTAGAGCTCGCAACGTACTTCCCGCCTCGCCTGACCTCCTCAGCATTAACCGACTAGCGCTCGGCAGCCGTCAAGTGTGGGACCCGAGGATGCCCTGGTCGACATTGCAGCGTACGGCAGCGACGCAGGGAGGCGGAAGCTGAGGGCCCGGCGGGGATCTTGGGGGAATTGCTTTCCGACGTTCGCTTGGACGGTTGCTCGCAGACTCGCTGCTCGATGTGCGACAGCGAGGAGAATCAAGGTCAACTGCACGCTCGTCGGCCGAATGAATTGTTCGGCCCTTTCTGCGACGAGGTAGATGCTCTTCCGCGCTCGTGGAGGAGACCAAGAGGTGGTGCCCCTCGATTGTCCCCGCCGTCGAAGCCAGCAGCTTTCTTTCTTTTCTGCTTCTGCAGGACGCTGCTTCGACACATGTCGCTCGCTCAGGTTCTCGACCTCGCCTCAGAGCACCTCGCGCTGTCGCTCGGCCTCACCGTCTTAGCCTCGCTCGCCTCGTGGGCCGTCTACAATGCCTTCTTCTCGCCTCTCGCGGACGTTCCAGGACCGCTCTCCGCACGCCTGGGTCTCGGCAGCTGGATGAGCAATCGAGCACTCTCCTACGACATGGGCTGGAAACTCGCCGAGCAGCACGACAAGCACGGCGCCGCAGTCCGCGTCTCGCGGAACATGGTCTCGCTCGTCGACCCCTCCGTCATCGGCGAGATCTACCGGTACGGCGGCAAGTTCGAGAAGACGTCTTTCTACAGCTACTTCGTGCGTCCCTCCTGCTCCGATAATTCGACATCCCTCGCGCTGACAGCATCCGTGCAGCGCGCCGACAAGCCCTCGCTCATGTCCATTCTAGACAACCACAGCCACGCTTTGATGCGTCGTGCCGAGTCGCCAGCCTACACGATGACCCTGCTCGTCGACCTCGAGGAGCACGTCGACTCATGCCTCGACGACTTGGTCGCAAATTTCGACAAGGCGATTGTCGCCGGCAAGGGAAAGGGTACTGTCGACATGGGCGAGATGATGCAGCTCTTGGCGATGGACGTGATTGGCGAGCTTGCCTTCGGCGGAACTTTCGGGCTTTGCAAGGCGGGCAAGGACACACAGGGCTTCTTACCCATGCTCGAAGCCTTCGTCGACGTTTGTTGCCTCTGCGGCGAGTGCAGCTTCCTGTACTATCCCTCTCAAAGCGCTGACTCGTCTTGCGCAGGCACGCAACCATGGGCCGGTCTCCCGCTCATCGCTTTTTGCAACTGGAAAGTCGGCGCACAAGGTCCTCAAGCTCTTGCGTCCAAGTCGTCGAAGGCAGTCAAGGACCGGCTCGAGCAGATCAAGAAGGCGTACGAGACGGGTGACGAGCCGCGGCGGGACATGCTGAGCAAGCTCGTCATGGCGAAGAATGCGGACGGGTCGCCGTACTCGATTCGCCAGATCGAGGTCGCTGCGAGCAGCATTCTCGGCGCCGGATCCGACACGACCGCCGTTGTGCGTAGACCGCCTCTGCTTTTGTTAGTCTGCCGTACCTCGTTCTGACCGCTTACTACCTTCGCAGACGATGCGCGCCCTCCTCTACTTCATCGTCCGCGACCCCGCCGTGTACGCCAAGGTCATGCGCGAGATCGAAAACGCCTTCGACTCCGGCCTCCTCTCCCTCCCAATCAAGTACAGCGATGGCACCAAGCTCTCCTACTTTCAGTCCTGCCTGAAGGAAACCCTCCGACTTCATCCGGCTGTACCCTGGACCCTCCCCCGTGTCGTACCGAAGGAAGGCGCCGTCCTCGCCGGTCGCTACTATGCGCCCGGTACCCAGGTCGCCATGTCGCCCTTCGTCTTCCATCGCCGCACCGAGGCTTTTGGCCCTGACACCGCCGTCTTCCGCCCTGAGCGATGGCTTGAGGCGACCGAGGAGGAGAAGAAGGTGATGGAGCGGAACTTGATCACGTTCGGTAGCGGTTCGCGCGTCTGTATCGGCAAAGTGCGTCTCTCCTGTCCTGCTTCCGCCTTTCTGGCGACTAACCCGTGACATGAAACAGAACATCTCCCTGATGGAGATCACCAAGGTTCTCCCGACGCTCCTCTGGAAGTACCGTTTCTCCTTCACGCCTCGAAACCAGCCCAACTCGCCTCACAAGCTGCCCGGCCGCGCCGTCGACGGCACTCTCGACGACAAGGAGCCGTGGCACGTCAAGTCGCAGTGGTTCGCGGTGCAGCACGACTATTGGGTCGACGTTGAGGAGCGGGGCGACTCGTGAGGAGGAGAAGCGGTTGCGAGGCTCTCACGTGTGAGCAAGTCGTCCTTGTGGTGCTAGCGGACTCCGTAGATATGCATCGTTGTCGTGTTGTCGAAATCAGGTTCCACGTTTCGAAGGCACGAAGGTTTGGGTTGCCTCGTGTGGAGGATACAAGCGATGCCAATGCTGTACAGTAGTCGAGGGTATAACGAGAGAGAAGACGGCTACATTCAGACTTTGGGAAGCTCGTGCGCATGGACGCCATTGACGCCGTTCGTCACCGCCTTGACCGGTTTGCTCTTGACAACCTCCTCCAGCTTCCTCTCCATCGCCTCGCCCTCAACGCCAGTCGCCCTCGCCTGCGGTTCCTCCAACACAAGCTTGTCGAGAATCGCCTCGACGCCTCTGTTCCCTCCCAGCCGCGCAACCTCATCCCTCGCCTGCTGCGTCAACTTGCGCAACACCTCGCGCGTGTACGCGAAGGAGCCCGTCCGCGTCTCCATGTAGCTGACAGCGTACTCTTTCGGACCGGGAGAAGAGGGCCGCTCGCGGAGGATGTTGAGGATTTGGCGGTTCGAGGTGTCGGAGCGGATCGAGTGGACGATGGGGAAGGAGAATTTGCCTTCGGAGAAGTCTTCGCAGAAGCCCTTGTTGTTTGCGTACTGTAAGAATGATGTATGAGCAACTTTGGGCAGCTCGGAGCGAGCGGAAAACGCACCTCGACCGATTGCAGGTTCACGTAGTCGTCGCGAATCTGGAAGATGATGCCGATCAGGTTGGCGAGCGGGACGTAATCTCTGGGAGCACAATCGTCAGTCCTAATCTATGCGAGCGGAATTAAGCCAGCGCACCGTGGTGCTGCAGGCGAAGCGGCCATCATCAACTTGATCGCGATGCGGAACAGTCCTCCCGTCTCTGCGATCCCGACCGAGTCAGCGCACGCCGTATAGAATAGACTCGCACGACGCACTGTTGTTGACCATGTCGATGTACTCCGGTTCTGTCGGGCAGATCAAGTTCTCGCGCCAGAAGAGGTCCATCCCTTGGCCGCGATGCAGGTTCAGCAGCTCCTCTGCGGGGATCGCGTCAGTCTCCAAGGCTTCGACAAGGTTGAGGCGAACCCACCGGTGACCATCTCTTCGACCTTGATGCCCGGCCGCGGGTGTATCCGCTGGAGTTCTTGAAACGCGAGAAAGTAGACATAGTTGGCCGAGTTGATCGTCTGGGGGATCCCGTAGATCTTGTGTGCGACTGCAGGACGGCGCACGGGATCAGTCACTGCGATGAGAAGCGGCTCGGAGATCGGGGACTGACCAGGCATGCCTCGACGGAGGTGCGAGTCGTCCTCGACGTCGTCCATCCTGCGGGAATCGACGCGGATCGTGAGCACCCGGTATTGCTGGACAGCGAGAGTGTCTCGAGAGCGCACAGCAGGCTGGCCGTGTGCAGCATCCCGACGACTCTCTTGACAATCTCGAGATCGACGTCTGCGACACCCATCCACTGGTTGAACGCCGCGATGAGCGCCGAGCGCACCTCCTTGCCCGGGATCGAGGCGAGGTAGGTGTACGGCTCTGTCAAGACCTGTCCTCGAGCGTGTCAGCGCTGGCTTCGACGACTCGCGAGGATGTGGGGAGGCGACGGCGGTGCCGGGCGGGCGCACCTGCTCCTGCGCGGGCTGCCACGACGGCGTGCCCTGCACCTTGTCGATAAAGTTGTCGTACCAGTCCAGCGACATCCTCGAAGAAGAAGCAGAGAGCGAGAGCAGCGGGAGCGAGTGAGATGGACGAGGGAGAGCATGCGGATCTGGCAGCGACCACCTCGTCGACTGCCGCTGGAAGGGCTGCTGTGCTGCTCAGAGTGCTCTGCATGGCATGATCCGCCTGCTCAGCCAACACCGCTTCCCGCTCGCCATCGTCGGAGCCGCCCTCATCCTCCTCGTTCTCTCGGCGCTCGCTTTGCGCTCGTCGTTCGACTCGCCAGACGCGCACAACGCACTCTGGGCACCGGGGAGTGTCGGACTCGTGTACGGATCGAACGGGCGGACGAACGAGGGCAGAGAGGCGTTTGCGCAGACAAGTTCGAAGGGCTGGGAGGAGGACGTTGCAGATTCGCTCAAGCATGGAGACGTGATCATGCCAAAGCTGGGGAACGCGACGGCAAAGTGCGTAGTCTGGGCTCCCGAGCGCTAGGCGTCAAGCTGACCTTTGTCTCCTGGCAGAGCTGAACTAGGTCGGGCGTCTTGGGTGCGTCAAGCTTCCGACTTTTATTCTTTCTATCAAGCTAACGCTACTTCCGCAGAAACTGCTACACACGATGGCCGCCCGCTTTCCCGAGAAGCCGACGGAGAACGAGCGCGACACGTTCAAGTCGTTTCTCTACCTCTTCTCGCGGCTGTACCCTTGCGGCGAGGTGCGTCACCCTTCCAACACTTCTACAGAAGACCAGAACTGACAACCTTGGCTTCGCAGTGCGCAGCGGAGTTCCAGCAACTCCTGAAGAAGCACCCACCTCAGGTCAGTTTCGCTCGTCCTCGTCTTCTCACTCATCGGTTCTCACATGGGCAGCGAGATGCAAGGGACAGATCAATGACTGACCTGATCCGTATCCGCAGACCTCCTCTCGCGGCTCCGCCTCCCTCTACCTCTGCCACCTACACAACCTCGTCAACCTGCGCCTCGGCAAACCCGAGTTCGACTGTGGCGTCAATCTGCGGGACGTGTATGATTGTGGATGCGCGGATGATGAGGATGAGGAAGGCAGGGTAGGAGGCAAGAGGCGGGAGGAGAAGGAGGAGGGGAGGAACGTAATAGCGGCGACTCCACAAGGTGAGAGGCGGGATCCGGATACAGGATTGGAGCTGGTCGGTGGTTGAGGCAGCCTGTTACGCTCGCTCAGATGAGCCGTTATACCCTCGCTATCGTTTCGCGCACGTCGATACCCCTCGCATCCCTTTCGTTTCTCGCTTCTGCAACTCGCATCGTTCGTCCGGTATCGTGTATGCGAGTCGTCGAGTGCTACAATGTTGCGTGTACGGAAAGAGTGGTACAGCTAAGTACGAGCCAAGGGATACTACAAGTCATGCCTCGAGTGCATTCCAACGCTCCTCAGTCCGCTCATCACCGCTTCTCCACCGCGCCGCCCGCCCCATACTGCACCGCAGTCGACGCGCCCTGCACCCCTCCAGCGTACGAGCCCTCGCCGGCGAATCCGCTCTTCTCCCTCTCCGCCTGCTCCCGCGCCGCAACGTCCTCAATCTGCTTCAACTCTCCTTGCTCGTTTGTCAGATACAGAGTGGAGCCGTCCGCCTGTCATTCACGACGAGTCAGCGGTGACGAGAGAGGGGGAGGAGGAAGGGGAACGGACCATGCGAGCTTTAATAGCTGATTTGCCGACGGCTTGGACGAGGGCTCGACGGCCGATTCCGCGGGCGCTGGAGAACGAGACACCGGTCAGTAGTGAAGTTGCGGGAAGGGAGAGGGACGGCACGCACTCGACGTAAACGAGCGCAACGTCTGCGTCTCGATCAGAACGTCAGCGGTCTGACAAGCGGATGTAGCGAGAGACAACGTACGCTTCACGCTTGAACCGACGTTGTCTACGACTCCCCTCGCTTCAGCGCCATACTTGTGGTGGATAACCTGACTCGCGGACTTTGTGCCCGAGTCGACAAGGGCTTTGCCGCTGTTCGACGAGTAAAGTCAGCGAAATCGGTCTATGGAGGGAGAGATGAAGGAACGCACCCGGTCTCGAGGTGGTCGGCGACGGTGTTGACGGCCACCAGGGTCGACGCGACGGCTTTTTTCCAGCCCGTCGGAGCCTGGCCACCTGGACTGCCTGCGACGGATCGCGGCGTCAGTTTCCGAACTCATGGAATGGACGGATAGAATGCCTTCACACGCACTCTGCACACCCGTGGCCTTTCCAATCCTCTCGCCCAGCTTGCCCGCCATGTTCGCAACTGCGCCCGCCGCCTTGCCGCTATACACCGAAGCCTGCTGCGTCCACCTACTCCCCTTCTCAAATGCACCGCGCGTCGAATCTTTGAAGACAAGCGGGGTCTGCGTCGCAGGCCTCGAAGCGACGTATTTCCCTGCCCCGCGCTCGAACGCGCGAGAGAGCAACTCGGATCCGACGACGATCCCGTGTGAGACGGTGTTGGCTGCGCTGATGATGGACGAGTTCGAGGGGTTCGCCGCGGGGTTGTACGCTGAGACGGGTTTGACCGAGTAGGTGATCGTGCCGCCGTGTCCTTCCGCACTCGCACTTGAACCGGTTGGGACGAGCGAGTCGATCACGACTGCTTCGTGGCCGTCGATGTCGGTTGCTTTCCCACCTGACAGAGGGGTAGACGCATCCTGCATCCGCCCGCTCGCGACCGCCTCGTCCTCCTTCAAGTGTGCCCCACCCTCGAGTTGCCCGATCACCCTCCCCGAGTTCTCATCGACGAGATACAGCTGATTAGGTTGCGGCGAGGCGCTCCTCGACGAGTTGGCCGATCCCTCGCCTCGATAGAGCCCGTAAAGGGCCGCCTCGAACGTCTCCCTCGTCTCTGGCTCGACGCCCGCGCTCGGGAGCGTGAGCTTTATCCACCCGTTCTGCACCTGTTTCTCATCTACCTCTCCGCGCAAGAACGAAGGAGAAGTCGCTGGGCCGAGGACGTCGATTGTGTTTGGGAGGATGTACGACGAGGGGGGCACGGCTTCGATTCGCGCGGACGAGTTGGAGAGCGAGATGGGCATCGAGAAGGAGGGTGATGGGTCCGTCGGAGTCGTGAGAGTCAGGACGAGCCATTCTGTCGGAGTCGAGGTGGAGGGCGAGGATTCGGCGTAAGGAGGAGGAGAGAGTGCGGCTGTCGACTCGCCAAATCGAGGCGGCGGCGGAGGGGGGACCCGTCGGCGTGTTGAAGTCGCCCCGCCAGTCCCGCGAGACGCGAGTGCAAGGTGAACTGTCCCCTCGAAGAGCAATACTCCGTCATCGTCGCGAGTCGAGAGATGCGCGAGCTGGACGCCGTGTGCGCTGACGAGGTGCGTGTGCTGCTGTGCTGCCATTACTCGCTTTGTAATCACCCAAGGCTTAGCAAGTTTGTAGCCTTTGAAGGCGAAGAGAACGGAACGAAGCCAAGCCGCGATCGGACCAAGGACAAGCGGGTGCACCGCCTCGTCGAATTGCAATCCATCCATCTAAACAGCCAACGACGGCCGCTTCCTCCTCTTCCCTGTCCCACCCTGACTATCCGCAACGGCCACGCGCGCAGCCTCGGTCGTAGCCCACTCCAACCGCTCCTTCACTCGCTCAAACGGCGGACCGACGAGTTCGACGTCCGAAGCGAGACAGGCGGTCCACAGGTCTGCGATGGCGCGATCGTCGTGGTCGGAGGAACAAGGCGGGAGGCAGTCCGAATCGGTCGGAGCAGAGGGAGGGTGCAGGGCGAGGTGTCGCAGATGAGGGAGTCGGCTTGACCCGTCGCGAACGAGCGCGATGAGGTGCGCGGGCTTGATGAGCGCGTGTTGCGAGAGTGAGAGAGAGCGGAGGTGCGGCGTTGTCGTCGAAAGCGAGGCGGGTGTGGAGGGGGAGACGAGCGCTGAGCCGGAGAGGGCGAGGTGCGTCAAGTTTGGGAGATGAGGGAGAGCGGCGTCGAGTGCGTATGGGGAATTCGAGAGGTGTAGAGGAGCTAAGCGGATAGGCGAGCGAACTGGAGAGTGAGGCGGAGAGCGGGGAGGACTTGGCGGAGGAGATGGCCGTCGAATCGACGTCGATTCCGGAACGACGACCTCGAGCTTGCGCAGCCGTCTCCCGTGCATCTTGAGCGCCTCGACGAGCCCGTTGCCCGAGTATCCCGAGCACTTGACGACCTTGAGCACCTCGAGCGATCCCTCCGCCATCTTCAACACCTCCCGCAAGTCCTCATCCTCAAGATGCACCTCCTCCAACTCCAACTTGTGCAACCTCGTATCCCTCATGCGAATGCTGGAGCTCGCGGACCCCTCGAAGGTATCGCAAAGAGCAGAAGCAGGCAAAGGCAAGTTTGCGAGTCGGAGACTGCGCAGGCTCGGACAGTTCGCGAGGCAAGCTCGGAGCAGCACGTGCGCTGGGGCAGCAGTAGAGTCCGGTCCCTGGCTCGGCTTGGGAGCGGGCGAGAGGGACCGAGTGCGTGCGAGTGCAGGAGGAGCGGACGGGAGGGTATCACCCCTCGCTCCGTCGCTCGTCCAGGGCAGCAATGCGTGTGCGCGTGCATTTCCAGGACTTGCCTGAGCAGAGTCTAGGACGAGCGAGTCGAGCGAAGCGACTGCTTTTCGCGACTGGGCGAGGAGCGCCACTGTCTCTGAGAGCGACAGAGCGACGCCTGTCAAGCGAAGTGCGTCTAGCTCTTCTACTGCGTCGAGTGCGCGTTCGACGTCGGCGAAGGACCAGGGTGGCGCGGACTTGTCGAGTGTAAGTCGGCGAGTGCGCGCCTTGACGACCCGAGGTGCTTGATCGACGAACGCATCGAGCTGCGCGCGAGTGGCGAGCGTGACGGCGGAGTGTACGACAGGCGCTAGTTGTGCGTAGAGCGCGGGCGATGCCGAGGCGAGGTGGATGAGCGGGCGCGGGTGAGGGAGGTGCTGTGAGACGGCGAGGAGGACTTCGAGGGGCAGTCGTTCGATGGCGCTGAGTGTGGGCGTCTGTGTCGCCATGGCTGGCGGTGGATAGCAGCCTCGAGCGGTGTGAGCGAGTGGGAAGAGTGAGGGAGGTCCGGGTTGACAGGTCGAGGAGGAGGTCCCCCTGTCACAGCACTCCCCTCTCTCTCGCTGAGCCGCATACTCGTACAGAGGAGAGCCTAGCAGTGGCAGACGCACACAGCAACATCTCCAAGTCGAACGAGGACGCTGCCAGCGAGGAATCGCCGCCGACTTCACCGAACAGACGCACTTGGCGACCTCAGCTCGCTCACACGCTCATTACAGCTCCTGTGACTGCAGTGGACGACGGGATGGGCCCTACGGACCACGACGGACACGCGGAACCCGCTCAGTCGCGCCCCATCCGTCCCTTCTCCTCCTCGTTTCCCCCACACCATCCCTCATACCAGCCCATCCCGCGCTCGGACTCGCCCAGCCAACGCACGGCCTACTCCGAGCGCCAAAAGCGTCCCTACGACGACGACCGAGACCCGGAAGGAGAGGTTGGGTACGCGGTCGACGGGCCTGAGCAGTTCGGCGCGAACGCGGGTGGAGGGATGGGTTGGGCTGCATCTGTTGCTGAGTTGAGGAGGGGACGTGGTGGGAGAGGGAGGGTGCTGCTTGGATTGGCGGGACTCACGCTCGTGTACTTGATGTGCGTCCGGTTCTCCTCCTCGACGATGTCGGAGAACGATTCCCTCGTTCGCCGGGCTATTCTCCTTCTCTTGCGCTTGCTGACACGCTCCTTACAGTCACGAAGCCTGGGCGCAACCCTCACAACGACCCTGGCACGCCCCTCCACCCCTCTCCGCCTCCTCCTCGACTCCCGCTCCCGCTCACGCAGGCGGTAACGACCCTCACCGCGGCATCTTCTACGGCGAAGCGCCCGCAACTGCATCCCCTACCTCCTCTCCTCGCACCTCGACGACGACTACTGCTCCCATCGCCCGCCCGACGCTCGACGAAGCCCAACTCCCCATCGTCGACCTCTCGCAATTCATCAAACCTCCTCGACCCGTTCCTCCTTCTGACCCTGACCCCTGGGCACACGTAGCCGACAAGCGCTTCCGCGGCCGTGAATGGTTGAGTCCTGAGCGGTTTGGAGGCGAAGACGAAGGGTGGAAAGAGGTTGCTCCGCCGCCTGAGCGGACGAACCCGCCTGCGCGGTACCTGCTCAAAGCTTTCGAGTACGCGGCGAAAGTTGCGGGTCGCGCGCCGGACGGACGGAAGTGGACGCTTGGAAGGGGAGTGGGATTCGATGAGCGCACTGGTCGGCCGAAGATGGTTGATCGCGGTGTGTTGAAGTTGGGAACTGAGGCGGGGTGGGTCCCGCCTAAGCAGTTCGCGGCTGCCGAGTTGGGTACGGGAAAGGTGGGCGAGAAGAAGATGCGGAGGGTACAGGCGGACGAAGTGGTGGACGAGTCCGGCGCGAGCGAGGAGGAAAGGGTGGTCGAGGAGACGCGTCGGAGGGAGTGGGTCAAGAGGGCGTTCATGCATGCTTGGGAGGGTTACTCGAAGCATGCGTGGGGGCATGACGAGCTCGCGCCCGTCTCGAACCTATGGTCGGACAACTACAACGGTGCGTGTGGCTTTTCTTCTCTTCGACTCGCCGGCTGACCATTGTTCGACGCAGGCTGGGGCGCGACAATCGTCGACAGTCTTGACACGCTTCTCATGATGAACATGTCGCACGAATACAACTTCGCGCGCGAACACGTCTCGCAAATCGACTTTACCTACCTCGTCCCGTCCGGCTCGCGCACGTTCTCGACAGACCTGCCCGACCTCGAGGACATGGATGTTGCGGATCCAGACAAGGCGGACGGGTCGGAGCAGCCGCCTGCGCAAGGGTGGGTGGACTCGCGACTGGGGAAGGAGAAGGACCAGCACAGTCCGACCACGATTCCCTGGTTCGAAACGACAATTCGCTACCTCGGCGGCCTCCTCTCCGCTTTCGAACTCTCCGGCGACCCGCTCATGCTCGACCGCGCGACCGAATTGGGCTATTGGCTCCTCCCTGCTTTCGCGACCGAGTACGGGCTGCCTCTTGCGCGGTATGCGATCGGCACGAATCCGGATGGACAGAGGACGGGACGGTTGACGTTGGCGGAGGTGGGGAGCATGACGCTCGAGATGACGAGGTTGAGCCAGTTGACGGGCGACGAGACGTACTACCGAGCGGTGAGCACGCCTCTGCTGTCACCGTTCGAGCATTGCTGATCTCGACTGCTCGGCAGGCCCAACGAGCAATGGACACGCTCGACAAGCACATGTCGCCTGCTCAGCCTCGACCGACGGACCCGAAGGCAGCGGCAGGACCTCTCTGGCGAGGTCGACTCGGCACTCTCCTTCCCTCGCAATTCGATCCGGCCTACACTTCCAGCCTTCAGGGCGAGTATACGTTTGGCGGGCTCGCAGACTCTTACTACGAGTACCTCGTAAGTCCCGCCTGCCGTCTCGCTGCGAAACAAGCTGACTGCCTCGCTTTGCAGATCAAGCAAGCGCAACTTACGCACTTCTCGCTCGACCAATACCCGCGCATGTACCGCGAGGCGATTGACTCGGCGTACGAGTACCTCGTACGGCCTGTCGAGGTCGTGCCCGGCAGAAACGACATGACCATCATCGGCTCGATGAGCTACGGGAGCTGGAAGCCCGAGTTGCAGCACCTCACTTGCTTCGCTGGCGGAATGTGAGTGCTCCCAAGCCCTCTCACTTCAGGCATGCGCTGATGCTACGTTTTGCAGGCTCGGACTCGGCGCCAAGTTGCTCGACCGCCCGCACGACCTGAGAGCTGGCGTGAATGTGCGTCTTCCCGGTTCTTTCCATATCCTTCTGAGCTGACTCGCGAGGATGTACAGGTCACGAACGCCTGCACGTGGGTGTACGAATCGTCTGCGACAGGCGTCGGCGGCGAATCCACGCTTTTCTATGAGCGGGATGAGCCTTCGCGCTTCGTCGTCATCGACCGGCCTGGTGCGCTCGCCCTCTCTTTCTCCAGCGAACGTTACTGACCAGCTCCTTGCACTCAGACGGCGCTGGCAAGGTGTACGTTCCAAGGTGTATCCTCGTCTCCGCCGTTCGAAGCTGACCTTCCCAAACTCCTTCTTCTCAGCCGTTCTCCTCGCGGCTCTCCCGTCGGCGTCCGCTCGCAAAACAAGCGCCAAATTGGCCGACCCGAGACCATCGAATCCGTCTTCTACATGTGGCGCATCACGGGCAACCGCAAGTGGCAGGACGAGGGATGGAAGATGTTTGTGCATTGGGTACAGCATGCGATCACCGAGTCGGGCTTGTGAGTGGCCGACGTTTCCTTCTGATGCTGGAGAAGGGCTGACGAGCTTGCTTCCACGTCTACAGCGGCACCATCCGGAACACCCAGATGTTACCGTCCTCGCGCGACGACTCGATGGAGAGTTTCGTACTCGGGTGTGTTGCGCGCTCCAGTCTGCTGCAAGCTCCTGTAAACGACACTGACGTCGTTTTTCCCGCAGAGAAACGCTCAAGTACTACTACCTCCTCGTGCGTACCATCTTGCTCCGTCCCTCGTGCTCCGCACGCTCACCCGGCTTGTCTTGCGCAGTTCTCGCCTCGCGACTTCATGTCCCTCGACGACTACGTCTTCAGTACCGAGGCGCACCCATTCTGGATCGCCCGTCCCTCGGCTCCTCGTCCGCCCGAACCGCTCTGGACGGGCCCCGACCGCAACACGCCCGCCTCCTTCACCACGCAGCTAGGCGAGGGGACGTGGGTGCAGAAGTGGGCAAGGGTGCAGCAGGCCGCGGCTCTCGCGCCCGAGACGAGGTGGACGAAGCCCGGTGCGGCTGCCGTGGCGGGAGGAGGCGTCAGGCCAGCGGCAGCAGTCGGCCACCCTGGCGACAAGCCTGTCAAGCGACCGACGGACGAGGAGAATGCTGCGGCCGTCCGGCAGGGGAGGCTGGAGATGGCTGAGGCCGTGCGGAAGATGGAGGACGCGAAGAAGGGGTCCGCCTGAGGGGTGGCGGTCTCTCGCATGGTTCTCTTGCTTACAGTCGGAGTCCTTGTTGTTCTACTATACTCGCTGCATCGCATCGTTCTCTCGCTCGTCTTCATCCTCGATGCCTTTCGCCGCACGTGACCGCAGTCCGCGCTTCCCTCGCCTCCTCTCTTCGTCAAGACCTCGCCCGCTCCTCGCCTCCTCTCCGCTCCGTCTGACGCCTGCTGTACGCGCACAAGGACTGCTACTAGGGCTTGAGCTTGCGCTGTACCGCCCGACGCTCGCCCAGCCGTCTCCCCGGTCTTGTTTGTGCCGCAGAGTCGCCGAACGGCGTCTTCTCACCCTCACTCAGGCCTGGCTGCCTCCAGTGCGTACTTGCGATGGCTTGATTACACTGACCCGAACGTACTGACATGCATTCGTACTCGCAGGGTGCCCACTCCTTTCCACCCCTCCCACATGATGCCGCCCCCCTCATCGCTCTCCAGCAACTCCCTGCCCCGCTCGAGAACCCTCCGTCCAGCCCACTCGTACAGCTCACTCACAGCCGCATCCCTCGCAACCGAATCGCCCGCCTACGTCACCGCAAAGTCGTCCCTTCAGCCAACTCCTGACCGCTCGCTCGAGTCGCTCGTTACGGCTCCTGAGTCGGCGCGTTCGTGGACGGGTGCGAGCGGTAGGGACGTCAGTCGCGAGCGTGACGACTATGGCTTGAGCGCGAAGAGGCCACCGCTGTCGGCGGGACCGTCCTTCTCTTCGTTCGCCTCGACTTCGACAACAAGCGACCTGGTCATCTCTCCGTCCGATCCCTACCCGTCGCCCTTCTACTCAGCACTTACCGCGCCATCCCGTCCGGCGCCATCTACTGCGAACAAAGAGAACGTCCCGCCGACGCAGGAGCGGTCAACTTCGCCTCACCCTCGGCCAACATCTCCGCTTCCGCCTGTCCCGACAGCGCGACAGCCCACTCGTCTTCCCGCTTCTTCTTCGTCTCAATCCGCCTTTCCCGCCCCACTGACGTCGCACAACTCGCTCGCGGCGTTCAAAGCCGCACACGGCGGCTACGCAGCCTCGTCGAGCCAAGGCGGTTGCAGCTCCGACACGCATCGCACAAGCAGCGACGTCGATCTCGACTTCGCCTTTGAGCGCGATTCGCGGCGGAACAGTGGGGCTTTCGCGCAGGCGATGCTGGAGGACGACTTGGTCGAGGAGGGCTTTGAGGAGCACCGGCGGGAGAAGCGGGAGTGGGTCGGGATCGACGTCGCGCCGATCGAGCACGATATCCCAGAGTCGCAGCTTGTGCGGAGCAGCAGCGGCCAGCTTGTCGGCGCTCGGCATGCGAGGGCAACGAGCGCTCTCGACCTTCGCGCGCAGTTCAAGGCTGCGGAACAAGCTCTGCACGGCGCTCAGTCCAGCGAGGTCGCCATTACGATGGAGGCGGATGCGCTCGAGGAGGATGAGGCGGAGCAGCGGAGGAAGCAGGAGGTGCGGGAGGGGAAGCGACCGATCGAGGGACCTCGAGCAGGTCCTTCGACAGCTCCTCTCCCCGCCACTGGACGCTTCGCCGACCGGTCCAGCAAGCGCTTGTCGGTCGGTCGAGGCTTCGCCTATCATACGACCGGCGCCGTCCACCCACCGCCGCACTCCGCCCCAGCCGTCTACCGCGCCACATTCGCTTCCCAGCAGCAACGTCCTGCCGAAGCGGCGCAGCACAAGGGCTTCCCGATGCCCCTCCGACTTCTACAGCGGACGAAGCGCTCGGCGGAAGCTCTGTTCTCGCCCGCAATGAGCGCAGCTTCCGCCTGGACACACAGAACCGGGCGACACGACCCCGGTGCAGACTCAGAACTCGAGTCAGTCGGTCCTTCGCCCTTGTTCGACTCGGATGTCGAGGGCACGAACCGGACGGCGCCGTCGACACCGAACGATACGCCCGTCCTGCAGGAGTGCTTCGAGCCAGACGACCTCGCTCCTCCCGTCCCACATCGCCTCGGCAACTCGTACAACCCCAATGCACCCTTAACTGGACTTGGGTTCGACTTTGGCGACGACGAGATTGCGAACGAGCGGTCGACGGTCGTGCCCTGGCGACAATCACGCCGCGTCTCGCTGCCGCCCACCATCGCCCGGCGTCGTTCGATCCGCCACAACGCCATCCCTTCGCTGTCCATCTCTCCGCCGCGCGAACGCCCGAGCGAGGACAGCTCGATCACTCTGTCGACCATCGCCTCGCAAGATTCGGCGCTCGACCCGACTGTCTCGCCGTCTCGTCGACTCTCGCGCCGGCTGTCCAGCTCCGACGCTGTGCAGCCAAAGAAGACGGTGTCCGTCCACTTCGACCGCCTGCCGCACTCGGCTACGGCGTCAACAGCGCTGCGAGAACCTCAAGCAGGCCCCTCTGTACAGACACCGACACACCTGCTCGTCACGCCCACGCCCAAGTCGACAGCTCCAGCGCGATCACCGTCCTTCTCCTTCAGTCCTGCGCCCCTTCGGCTCGTCAAGATCCAGCTTCTTCGCGCCGCAGGTTACACCGTCTCCGACGAAGAACCCGCTCCTGCGCCTACTGAGCCGCCTACGGATGGCAAGCCTGAAGCGACGACGCTCGATGTCGACGTCGCGCAAGCCGAAGCACGAAGACCGACCGTCTGGGAGGAGATGACCGACCTGTTCTCGACCTCCCCGGCAACATGGCTCGACGAGGTCGTGCCCGCCAAGCTCGCCTTCGTGGTGAGTGTTTCCCAAATCCTTGTTCTTATTACATGCTGACCCCAGTGTGTGACAGGCGGGCTTCCTGATGCCCTGGCTGTGGATTCTCGGCGGCTGGTACCTCAGGCCGCTCGATGGCGAGCTTCCCTTCACCCGCGGCCGACGCTGTCGCGAACCCGACTGTCGCTGCGGGCGCATCGTACGCGGCAGCGCAGTGCAGTACCACCCTTCGGGCGTCAAGAAGCGGGCATCGACGTCGGGCCAAGCGGACGAGGAGATGTACGCTGGGCTGGACCGGTGGATCTTCCTCAACCGCGTTGCGGCGAGCGGCGGAGGCGTCGTCGTTTCGGTCCTGGTCGCGGTCGCTATCTGGGCGGCGTGCACGGCTTGAGCAGGGGCGGGCATGGGGCAGGATTGACCCTTCTCGCGAGATTTACTTTCTCGCTCGATTCCGCTTACTTGTCTATGTCCCGTATCACCTATTGCAACGCATGCTGTTGTTTGCCTTCACACAAGTCCCTTTCCGAGAGTTGCGGTCATTCACTCGAAAGCAGCCTTGCGCTGGTTGACCTCCTGCACCTCGCTCGCTCTCGCTCAACTCGCTTGCTACAGCTCTGTGAACTCGTCCAGCATGCCTCAGTGGACCAGGGAACAGGTCGATGTGCGTCCCATTCTCGCTCGTGGGCTCGTCGGCGTCACCGCCTCCCACACCTCCTCTCGACTGTCGCCCGCACTCACACTCGCCGCTCGCGTCAAGGGACCGGGCCATGGGGCTGGAGGGCTCTGGAGGTGCTGAATATGGTTCTGCGGGAGGGCATCGTGTCAAAGGATCGCGAAGAGAGTCTGCGCGGCGGTCGGGGTACTGATCCTCCCCCTTCGCCCGCTCAACAGGCTCAGATCGACAAGGCGCTCAAGACTCGCTTGGAGGGGAACGAGGCGTTCAAGACGGGCGACATGACGTTGGCGCTGAGGAAGTACCACGAGGTGTTGTTCTCGCTCAAGGGTCTCGACGGGCAGCTCACGAGCGTCTATGGGCCGAGTCAGGCGCCTGCGCCGAGTGCGTGCCCTTTCGCGTGACTTGCGAGGTGTCCTGCTGACCGTTGCTGTGGGTTCTCCAGTCACGGAGGTGACGGACGAGGAGGTTGAGGCGATTGCGAGCACGAAGCCGGTCGACGATCCCGACTCGAAGCAAGCTGCCGTCAAGAGCGCGCTCCTCAACACCTACCTCAACAGCGCGGCGTGAGTGTCGCCCCCCATCCGCTTCCGAACCTCGCACTGACTCGAGGGACGACCGCAGCGTCTACATTAAGCAAGAGCGTTGGCAGCGCGCGCTCGATGCCGCTACCGCCGCGAAGAAGTACGACGAGGACAACGCGAAAGCCCTCTTCCGCGAAGGCCAGGCGCGCATCGGTCTCGGCGAGATCAACACGGGCAAGCGTATCCTCGAGGACCTCCAGGTCAAGAACGGCCCGGACGCGGCGATCACGGCTGCGTTGCAGAAGCTTGCGGCGGACGAGAAGAAGCGCGAGGAGGCTAAGAACGCGCAGTTCCGCGGGATGTTCAACCGCAAGAACGGGTCGGAGCAGTCGTCGAAGGAGAAGCCCGCCGAGGGAAAGGCGGCGACCGCCGAGGCTTCCGGTCCCGCTGCTGGCGAGACAGCGACGTTGGAGGAGGAGGAGGAGGAGGAGGGAGACGATGTCAAGGACGACTCGTCAAGGGAGGGAGCCGCGACGGAGTCGTCGAAGGTGGAGGAGCCGTCGACGGTCGCCTGATCCCTTCGCCTGCCGCTTCTCCCGCTCGCTTGATCCCTCTCTCTCCGTTCATACCCGCCCCAGCATACCCGCACAGCACATCCTCGTTTCCTCGTTCGCACCGCATGATACCGTTCGCACGTCGCTTGCAACTCGTTTCTCGTTCCTCTCGCCTCTGTCTCTCGCGCACGCTGAGGTACCGAAAAGGAGTGGGATGGCACTACAGAGAGGGAGAGGGTATCTATATCACGTAGAGAAGGCTCCGCAAAGCGAGCACAGCACAGATTAGAGCGGACGAAGGAGAGTGTCCGTCCGAGAGGAGAACCACACAAAGCGTATCAAGCGATTTCCTGTCCGTTTCCCTTCCATCAACAAGCAAGTCGGAATGCGATTAGTGCTTCGACTTCTTCGACTTGTGCTTGTCGCCGCCCTTCTGCTTCTTGGGCGGGGGAGTCGCCTCCGACTCGCTCGACTCCTCCGAGTCGTCGTCGTCCGAGTCCGAGTCTTCGTCGTCGCCAGACTCGCTCTGCGGGCGGGAAGAAGTCGTGAGCATGCCGCCTTCGCAGAGGACGCAAAAATCTCGCCGCTCAACGAGCGAAACTCGCGGACGAAAGGACAACGCTCACCTCCGACTCGACCTTCTTGGCGGGCGAAGCAGCCTGTAGAGCGTGACAGCAAGCCAGTCAGTGACTGGGCCTGCGAGGAAAAGAAAGTTCACGCTGGCGCACCTTCTTCTTCTTGTTCGAGACGTCCTCGACGGGGATGTCCTCGGGCTCGGCAGCGGCAGCCTTGGTCTTGCGCTTCTTGGGCTCCTTCTTGTCGGCGGCAGGCGTGGCGGGCGCGGGACCTTCGCCGGTCGACTCGTACAGCTCCTTGGCCTTCATGTACTGCGACTTCTTCTGCTCCGTGATGTCTTGCCAGCTCTGCGACGAGCACAACCGGTGTCAGTGACCGCGTCGTCGGAAGGACAGTCGACGCGACCGCGGAAGCAGCCAGGGTCGACGGGTAAAGGCCCGCGGAAACGAACCTTTTTCTCGGCGTCGGTCATGCTCTGCCACATCGAGCCGATCTTCTTGAGGACCTCGGAGTAGGGCAAATCGCTGTACTGCTTGCGGAAGTCCTCGCGGACCGAGTTCTGGTACTCGATGTAAGCCGAGGGAGGACGCTTGGGCGCGTTCGGGTCCTTCTCCTTCTTCTCCTTGGCGGGCGCGCGCTTGCGCTTCGTGCCGGCGGCATCGCCTTCGGCCTTGACCTGCGAGAGAGAAGCGAGCGAGAGAAGTCAGTTGCGAAGGTCAGAGAGAGAGTCGACCCGCGGAAAGTTGAGTGACTGTTTCGCAGGACGGGACGACGACGAGACGGGCAGACTCACGGCCTTGCCCTTCTTGTCGGCGACGCCAGCGCCCTCGAAGACGTCGGGGAAGGTGGCGAGGAGGGCGAGCGGGTCGTCTGCGTGGTCGAGCGACTGGGCGTAGGCCTGGATAGCGTCGTTGGCGCTGCGGTGAGCCTTTGCGAGCTCCTTGTGGAGGTGGCCAACCTGCTGGAGCGCAGCGATGACCTGTGAGGACGCGATAGTAGATATCAGCATACACTCGCTTAATGTTTTGACACCGCACAACAACATCCTCAAACGTCGACCGTCGAGCACGGGAAGGGGAGGGGCGGGAGTGTTGGGCGGGTGTGACTCACGTGGTGCTTTGCGTCGGACATGACGAGCTGGGGGTCGAGCTGGATGTTGAGGTGAGCCAGGGTGGGCAGACTTGATAAGGGCTCGAGTGTAACCGTGCAAGGTGAACAGGTTAGGCGAGGGAGAAGAGGGTAACGAAGGGTAAGAGTCAAGCTCGAGCTAACCCACCAGTTGCCTATTCCGGCATTACCCGCTGCCTATTCCAACCCAACCAACTCTATTGCTCCATTACCCAAAACTGAATACAATGCGAAACAATAGCCGTGCGAAGAGGGTCTATTCCGTCGCATCCCTTTGCTATGTACAACAAGTGTCGCACCTGCTCTACTCAGCTACTCCCTCTACTCAGGCTACCGCACACCCTCCCAGTACGCATCGTGCAGGTCCGTCGAGGCAAACGCTGTCGTCGGGCGAGGCGAGGGAGGAATCGCAATGGGTCAACATCCCGCTCCATCTCCGCTTCAACAGCTTCGGGACGAAACACGCACCTGAGAACGTCGAGTGCTCCGTCCCGACCGTGATCCTCCCGCGCGCAGCGACGACCGCTTCGAGGAACGGGCGGAACAGCCTGCCCAGCCCAACTCCGTCGAGGTCGTTCACGAGCCTGCTCATCCGCTTGACGCTCGCAACCGCGACGCCGTCGTTCCGAGCGACGTCGGGCGTGTCAAAGTCTGACAGGACGAACGTGCAGGGGAACGAGGCGAAGAAGGGCGCGAGGTTAGGGTCGGAATCGGGCGTGCGAGAGTCGGTCGCGAGGTACAGCGGCGTATTGAAGGCGGAGAAGCGGGCGTCGGTGTGGTGCGGTCGGCGGCAGGTGAGATTGCGAAGTTCGAGGGCCGGCTGGGTCGAGTCGAGGTAGGGAATGTGCGAGAGGAGGTCGTCGACTATGCTTCGCTTGACGCGCTTCGCCCGGCTCGTCTGTCGCTCCAGCTCGGCGTCGTACTCGTCCACGCTGGCCCAGCTTGACGCTGCTCCAACCGACGCCGACGAGACCGCATGCTGCGCCCGCTTGACCCGATGACCGTCGCTCCTCTTCCTGACCGCCTCCTCGCGCTCCTCACGCTCCTTACTCACCGATGCCCACATCTCCTCCCTCACGTCCCCGTCCACCCCCAACCGCTCAACCAACTCCCTCCAAGCCCGCTCCATATTCCCCCTCGCATGCCTCGAAAATTCCCCGTCCCCTACCCGCGCATGCACGCCTACGAACCCGTTCCTCGCGCGCATCCCGCCCAGTCGCTCGACGATCGCGTCTGCAGGCCGGAGGAGCCACGGCGTCTTGAACGCCATCGCTCGCGCAAATGTCTGCTCCGCACGTTCTTGCGAGGCGTCGGACGTCCAGATTCGGTTTGTGCCGAAGAGCGAGCCGACGAGGAGGACGCGGTGTGGCAGCTCAGAGAGGAGAGGGAGCGAGACGAGGCGGTTCCAGCGCGAAGGGGAGGTGTTGTTGGAGATGAGCGGGTCGGTCAAGTTGAGCGCGTCGGTGAACTGGAAGTCGTACACTTGGCGGTCTTCGATGATGTACTGCCGCATGGTAAGGAGGGTGAGTCGCGCATTCACCTCAGTCGGGTCGGAGGAAGGGGCTGCGAAACTCACGACATCGTCCTGCTTGACCTCCAGCAGATCCATCACCGCCCGCTCCCTCATATCCCAGCGATCGACCAACCTCACTCCCTCCTCCCTCGCCTTCTCGAGATCGACCAACCAATCCCACGCCAAGAACGTATCCTTGTACGTGAAGCGACACTCGGGACTATAACTCTTGCAGTCCTTCTCGCCCAAACCGGGGACGATGGGGAACCCGTCTGGACGGACTTCGTAGCCCTTTTCGCGCCATTTCGCGAGCTTGCGCTCGTTTGCGGCGGAGACGAGCGCAAGGTGCGTCGCGTTGTCAGCGACGCAGGTCGGGCAGGGGAAGGAGGTGAGGGTCGAGGGAAACGAGGCGGGCTCGTTGAGCGGTGACGAGGAGGTGAGGGTCGAGATGTTGAAGGAGGAAGGGGTCGACAGCATGATGTTGAGCCAGGATTGGCGCTGCGAGCGGCCAGGAGTAGGTTCAGCGACAGCGAGGGGCGACGGTGGAGGAGGACACGCACAAGGTCGGCGTAGTACTGCGTTGGCGTCGGCCAGCCTATCCAGATGGGCGGGACTAGCCTGCGGAAGTTCAGGCGTGTCAGTTCTTCTCCGCTTCGAGGAGCCCAGCAACAACTCACACAGTCCTGTTCAGCAGCTTGCCCAGCAACAATGCGTTCTGCAGCGCGATACGCTGGTTGTGGTACCCCGAGTGCGGGAGGAACCCGAGATACCGCTCCTCACGATCCTCCAAGTTCGGCAGTCGCGGACGAGGCAGAGGCTTGATGCGGATCTCGCTCACGGCGTCGTCGTCGACGAACTCGTCTTTGGACGTTGAGAGTGCCGACCCGATGACCGCCGTTCTCGCACCTTCCTCGTCGTCTGCCGCCGCGCCGCTTGCTGACCCGGTTCGACCGCTGGTCAAACTCCCCGCCCAGTCCTTTAGCTTCGACAACTCGTCATGCACGGCCAGCACCACGCCCTGCGGCTTCTCGGGACCGGCGTCGTCGGAGCGGACATGAAGCGAGAAAGCGAGGAGGAGGAGGAAGCAGGTCGTCGCGCCCGCGACGATCCAGGTCTTCCCCCTCGCTCGCTTGGCCGTAGGCGGGATAGGCAAGTTGTCGAAGAATCCCGTCTGTGGGCGACCATCGGCGCGGAGGGAAGGCGAGAGTGGCGTCCCAGGCTGGCTGTACGGACTGCCTGGCGTACGAGGCGACGAAGGATGGAGGAAGCGCGGCGAGAGGGGTGCGGTGCGTGGAGTGGTCGGCGAGAGGAAGGGATCGGTTTCGTCGAAGTTGTAGATGGATGAGGGTGAGAGGGTGAGCGAAGGAGGGCGGTTGGCGCGCGAGGAGGAGCGGGAGGAAGTCATGCGGTGGAGAGGGAGTGGCATGGTTGCAGAGCAGTGCGTTTCGAGTCCTCCTGCGCTCTAGGACGGCCGTTAACCCGCTTGTCTGGCTCGCACCCTTGCGATCAGAACGAGGGAACGAGCGGAGGTCGTCCTTGAACAGCGAGAACGAGCGAGGCGCAGTGCGAGTCCTGGCGCGAGTAGCAGCGTCTCAAGCAGCGTCGAACGAGCTGAAGGAGTGGCAAGAGCACGAGCAAGCGCAAGGACGATGCTGGCGAGGTGCGAGGTCGACGAGGACTGAGCGCCCCACTCTTACTCGGCGAGTGCGCGGACAAAGGAGGCAGCGTGGGCCTCGCCGTGTCTATTCTGAGACGCATACGCCGGCGTTGCGGGTGGAAGTACGAGCAGGACGAGGAGGAGGAGGAGGACAGCGTCGCCTTGGGAAGGTCGACCGCTCCGCGACAACAACGACTGGCGAGGACTGGCTTACTGGGATGCTCTGCAGGACTTGCAGGAAAGCCGACGGCGCGCGAGCCCACCCGCACAGACCCTCGACGTCTCGCTCGACCCGACCTCGCTTCCTCCCTTCTCTCGCTCTTTCGCTCACGACTTGCGACTCTTGCTCGACTGGCCAGACTGCTAAACTCGTCCTGTTCTAGTCTACACGCCTGCTACTCGCCCGACTCGCCCAGCTTCTTCCCGCGTCTCTCCCTGCTCTCGCTCCTTCCCTCGCCTCGACAATGGCCGACTCGCCCTCCGCCTCGCCTGCGCCGTCTACCGTTTTCTCCACTCCGACTCTCTCCAGCACTTTCACAACCCCGTCTACAGCCTTTACGACTCCCGACCTCGCGAAGTCGCCCTTCAGCGGATCGAGCGAGGGAGGATGGAAGTTGGTTCAGCAGGGCGGGGGCGTCCCGCCGAATGGGTTCACGCACCTCGACACGGCGTTTGCGAAGGAACAGGAAGAGGCGGGTCGAGCGAGAAGCTTGTGAGTCGTCGTAGCCGTCCGATTCGTACTCCTTTCTTGGCTTAATTCCGTTCGTCCCGTTTGCAGCGAGTGGGAGATCTACCAGCAAATCGGTGTTAAAGATTCGCAGCCTCGCCTGCGCTACAAGCGCCGCCTTGGACCGACAGAGGTCTCCTACTACCTTGGCTCGCGCGGCGAAGGCATCGAGGGCGGCGTCAACGACATGTGCGCTCCTCCTCCACTCGCGCTCGCCCAACGATACTGACTGAGTGACCCGCTGCAGGTACCTCCATATTGGCTTCAAGGCCCGCTCGAGCTTGTTGCAGCCGGACCGCCTGCTCGAAATCTGGACGGAATTGCTCAGGCGTCATACGCTGCTTGCTTCGTCCGTCGAGTTCGAGGACTACTACAATATTCGCTTCTGGTGCGTGGTCATCAGCTGTCGTGCGTTCGGGGGGTAGATGCACACGACTGACGCCGTCCGCCCGTACTTTCGCTTCAAGCTACGACCGGCCTGCGACGCCTATCGAAGCACGCGAGAAGGCGAGGTCACTGATGGAGATCCGAGTTGGAGAGTATGCGCAAGGTGAGCGGTTTCCTACAGCTACGGCAGACTAGTCGGTCGAAGCTGACTTTGCGCCTGCCTCTCGTGACCATTCGCGTTCAGGCCAGATCTCGACCCACCTTAACGGTTCTCGCACCCTCTCCGATCAGCGTCTCGCCTACCTCGTCATCTCGACCCCCGAGTCGACCTTCACCTCTCCCGACCCTTCCGCCGAACAGGAATACGACTTCTTCCTCTTCAGCACCCACTTCCTGGGCGATGGGATGGCGCTCCATGCGACGGCGAACGAGTTCTTCACGCTGCTTGCGGAGGGGTCGGCTGTGGGAACGGGCGTGAATGTCGACGCTGTGGAAACGGGCGTGAACGTCGACCGTGCTGAGGCGAAGGAGGAGCTTGATGCTTCGAAACTTGCGCCGGCGATGGAGAGTAAGCTTGTGACGAAGGAAAAGTGGGGGAGAATGGGTTGGTCGGCTGCGAAGGTCGAGTATGCGAATGAGCAGGCGAAACTTGTCGTACGTCCCGCCGTCTCTCCCGTTCCTACGAGTCTCCTCAAACTAATCCGCGAAACTCGCAGGGCGGCCACGCCTTCCCTCGCGCCCGTCTCGGTACCCGCCACACCCTCGTTCCGACCGTCTCCTATCCGGCGGAGCAAACGAAGCGGATCCTCGCCGTCTGCAAGTCGCACGCCTCGACCATCGCGCACGCCATGTTCGCCCTCTCCAACATTGCCTACCTTCGCTCGGCTGGGAAGGAGAAGGACGAGGGAAAGTTGCCGGTCATGCTCTACTCGGCTTTGAACGTCCGGCCGTTCCTCAAGAAGGAGACGAACCCGGTTGATTGGTATCACATCGCGATCGGGTACTACAAGTGCGTACTGGAGCTGCTTCTCGTGACTTCGGAGGCGAAGAAGCTGACTTTGTCCCGCCCGCAGCGTAATCCTCCCCTCCTTCCTCCCCTTCTCCGTCCCTCCCGCTTCAACGTTCTGGCACCGCTGCGTCATCGTCAAGTCCCAAACAAACCGCGCAGTCAAGACCCCCTTCCTCGCTTCGCGGGCGATGCTGATGGCGCTAGAGCGGGAGGGGAGGTCGATTGGCTGGGAGAGGGAGGACGATGAGCGAAGGGCGAGGGAGGCGAGTAAGATGGTGGAAGGGTTGGGGATTAGTGGAGTCGAGCTGGGCCAGGCGAAGGAGGAGATGGAGGAGATGAAGGAGGTCAGGGTCGAGAAGGTCGAGGAGAAGGACATCAACGTTCGTCCGAAGGCGCCGAGTACGGCCTTGATGGGTCTCTCGATGCTCGGCAGTACGCCTAGCGCTCTCTCGGAATGTCACCTGCTAGATCGCTCGAGACTCACGCTTGCGCACACGCAGACCTCGACGGAATTTATCAGCACAAGGATTATCACGGCATCCAGCTGCACAGTCTGACGACCGGCTCCCGCCAGCGACCTGGCGCAATCTTGCTCTTTGCCTACACGTTCGCCGTAAGTCGCTTGTCCGGCTTTCCACTCGTCGCAAGCATTCTGCTGACCGCTTCAATCCCCTCGCGGCCCAGGGCAAGCTGTGGATCTCGCTCGGCTACGACTCGAACGGTTTCGAGAAGGGCGCTGTGGAGAGCTGGTGGAACGAGCTGCTCAAGGGTGTCGACGAGTTCTTGCTCGAGAAGGAGGAGTGAGGGTAGACTTGGCGGCCCGAGACGCACGCACATTCGTATCACTTCTTGTCGTGCATTACATACAGCTTCTTCGTGACTCCTCGCCTCTCAATGCAAGCGCAAACTCCAAGCATCGTCTCCATGTCCCACCAATCCCGCCCTCTCCGCGTTCTCGCCCACAACCTCCCTCGCCTCCCTCAACAACCTCTCCTCGTCGATCTCCCTCATCCGTTCCTCCTCCGCCCAATCAGCAGCCGCTTCGAGCTGGGCTTCTTCGTGTGCGAGCGCGGCGGCGGTTGAGGACGCGGGCAACGCGCCGGCGAGGACTAGGTCACGAGGAGGGAGGGTGAAGCCCCAGCGTTGGAGGGGGAGGCCGATGAGGATTGCGAGGGCGAGGAAGGGGAAGAGCGAGAAGGAGAGGTAGGAGAACGTCTGTTGCGGAGAGCGATGTCAGCGGCAAGCTCCTTCGCCCAGTTTTCGCGCTTCTTGGCGAGCTCGTTGGGGGCTTTGAGGACCACAGCTTACTTGAGAGCAGACCAGCGGCGAGGAGTCAGCCGTGACGGCGGCGATACAGAAGAGGTCTGCGGGAGTAGGCGGGTTAGCGACGCTTCCTTTTCCGCCTCGCACGGGAGAGATGAGGCTCACAGAAGGCTGGTACAAAGAGGAACCATGCTGCAAGGGTCAGAAGCCCTAGCTCGAAGCCGGGAAGTTCGGGCGCAACGAGTTTAGCGAGCGGGAGGAGGAGGGCGTAGAGGATGGTAACGATGAGGTCGAACGAGGCGCTGGCTATCCGCAGCTGGCTGTACTGTCGAGGAGGTACAGCAGAGGCCGCCGTTTGAGCGCGCGCGAGAGAGGCGTAGAAGAGGATTGTTGCGATTGTGAGGAGGACGAGGGCGATGTAGAGCAGCGTGTTGGGCCAATGTACCAGGGATGCCCTGTTGAGGAAGACGCGGGTGAAGAGGACGTGGCCGATCAGGAAGAGGAGAAATGCGGTATAGAAAAAGGCGTCGCTGGTCGAGGATGCGGAGATTGGGCGGTTCGAGGGAGAAGTGTTGGCGAGCCCGGCGTGGATAGCGAAGGCGAGGGCTAAGACTGTACGCACGTAAATTTACGTCAGTACGAGTGGTAGGCAGCGCTGGGAACGGACACTCACAGACGAGAGCTGCGACAAAGACGAAGAGGTAGTTCACTCGCACCTCCCTATACCGCCAGCCGACGCCGGCGAGCGCGAGGAAAGAGACCAGGCACAATACTGCGGAGCTGGCAGCCGTCCAGTCAGCCGTACAGTGCGGACTCGGGAGAACGTAAGAACGAACGGAGCAACATCTGTCTTGTCCAGCCAGTTCCCTCCGATCAGGTGTGCGTGGATCCCTCGATACCCCGTGTCTGCGCATCGACCGGAAGCCCCGCCGCTCCACCTTGTATAGCTCATCTGCCGAAAGTTGCCAGCGTTGTTGAGTGAAGGCGAAACGGGGGAGGATGAGGGCGAGGAGGGCAGGGAGGAGGACTGGGAAGCGAGACTTGGGAATTCGAGCAGCAAAGCTCGTCGCATACAGCGTTGTACGACTTCTGAAGGCGTCTGAATGTGCGACTGACCTCGAAGTCCTCCATCTCCTGGAAGAGGCCTGAGCCACCCGGGTCCGAGGAGAGCAGCGGAGTCGCAGAGGTGCGGGGTCCTGCTGTCGCCCACCCCGACGGTCTCGAGAGCTGTACGTTCCTTTAGCATGCGACGCACTTCCCTCAAGAAGAGCGCGAAGTCGCGTGAGTCGGGAGCGATGAGATTGCGAGAATCGGGACAACGGCGTGCGGCGGGTCGGAAGCAGTCGCAATCGGCTCATACAGAGCGTGGTAGTCCGTTATCATAGCGCTTGCCCCAGCCTGGCCAGCGCGACGAGCTGTGCGGTCGCCCTCGGGATGTGAACTTGCGAGAGGAGGTCCCGCCCTCACCAACCACCCCTCAACCCGCCAGACTCGCTCGTACGCCCGCAGAAGACCGTCAAGACACTCTCACACAGCCTGCGAGGGTCGCATATCCCGCCCGTCGCGCTCCCACGCCAGCAGACCCCCTCGACGCCCCTCCCGTTGCGCCCCACCAGACTTCATCTTCTTTTCGCTATCTCGCCTGCTACGCCGCATTATGAGCGTCGACATGCAGCAGGGGGACTCGTACTTGGTCTTGGTTGACGATGGCGGGGCGGTTGTCAAGCAGTTCGCGCGGTCGCAGGGGCGAATCACCTTGGGACGGGCGTCGAAGAACGATCCGGGCACAAAGGACCCGTCGCAGGGCAAGTTCCGCTCGGACAACACCAAGGTCATGTCGAGCAGGCATGCACAGATCAGCTGGGACGGCGACTACGCCCACATCACCGACCTCGGCTCGACCAACGGCGTCGTGATCACGCGCGCAGACCAGAAGGTCTCCCTCAAGCCCAACGTCACGTACCGCGTGCGTTCTGTCCAGTGCACCCTCGTTTGACGGCTGAAGCTGACTCCGGACGATCTCGCCCGCACAGATCTTCGAGCACGACCAGATCACATTCGGCAAGCAGGTCTCGGAGCGTTCGACTGGCGAGAGTGCGCTTGTCGTCCCCTTCCTTGAATAACCGCTCACTGACGATACTCACACGCTCCCAGTCATCTGCCGCCCGATGACGTTGACGGCCAGCATCCGTTCGTCCGCCTCGATCCCGCTCAACTCGACGGCACCTCGCTCGACCGCTCCGTCCGTCCCGCTTGTCCGCGGCCGCACTCTCACCGGCGAACGCTACAACAAAGAGTTCGCCGACTGCAGCTCGGATGAGGAGGACATCGGCGCTACGCAAGCCGTCGAGGACAAGGTCGCCGACTCTCTCAAGTCGACCTCGTTCTTCCCGACCAAGCGCGGCTTCGGGCTCTCGGACGACGATGTCCTCATCAGTCCCGACGAGGAGGACAGCAGTCTCGAGCGTCTCCAGAGCGTCAACCTCAGCGACGTCGAGGTCGTCAACAACGACAGCGCTTCTCGCGCGCTCAAGCCGGCGCCGTCCGTCGTCGAATCGATCGCTGCCGCCTCGCATGTTGCCGTCTCGGGTTCGCCTGCACCAGACGCCTCGGACGTCGAGATGGTCGACGCCTCGTCCCGCCCCGCCTCGCGCGCCGACAGCCGCGACGCTCGCTCGCCTCGTCCGGTCTCGCGCCGCCTGATCGTAGACAAGGATGGAGACTACACGGAAGCTATCGATCGCTCCACGCAGTCGTTCGACCGTCCACCATCGCCAGTCAGCCCCGAGACGCTTAAGACCTCGAGCAGCCGCCTTCAACAGGACGAGGAAGCTCTCCCTTCAGAGGCCTACGAGAGTCTCAACAAGCGTCGTCACGAGCGTCTGCAACGCATGGCCGAGCTCGAGGCCAAGCTCGATTGCTTTAGGGGACCCGCTCCGCCCGCGTCGTTGCCCGACGTCGATGGTGACTCGCTGTCCGACCAGTTCGACTTCAGGAAGGTCGAATCCGACGCTCCATTTGATGGCGTCAGCGTCGCGAGCCACCTCCCGTCGCCGGTCATCTCCGAGGCGGGCGATTGGAACGAGGAGCAGGACGCCTGGCGCTCTTCGTTCTCGCCCGAGCAAGACATGACAGTCGAAGTTTCTGCGGATGTCGAGGTCGAGGAGGTCGAGGCACTTCCGTCAGGGGAAGAAGTCGCCGCGATGGTCGAGCAGGCCGAGAAGGAAGAGTTCGCCAAGACGCGCCAGATGCAGAGCCAGCTCGAATGGGTCGACTCGGACGACGAGATCCTCGAGCCGCGTCCGCGTCAAGCTAGCCCGGGCGCACTTATTGACGGTCGCCCACTCTGGTGCCCGGACGACGAGCAGAAGGTCGAGCCGCCCGTCGTCGACTACGTCGAGCCACCGAAGCCTGCTGGCGAGGCTGGGATGCCCTCTGAGCTCCAGATCGAGGCGTCGACCTTCGACTACCATGCCGACCTGCCGCCGTACGAGCAGTCGGCGGACCAGGACATCGACGACGAGGAGCCGGAGCCTGCTGCCGTCGAGCCCGCCGCTCTCAAGCACGACCTCGGCCTCGCTCGCGAAGTCCTCGTCGACTTGATGACCTTCAAGGCAGCTTCGCAGGGTCTCGAGTCGGAGTCCGAATCCGAGGACCAGCACGAGTCGGCGAGCGAGGACGAGTCGAGCAGCGAAGTCTCGGCTATCGACTATGATGACGAGGAAGAAGACGAGATGGACGACGAGGAGGAGGTTGACGAGGAGGAAGAGGAGAGCGACGGAATGAGCGAGTGGAGCGGTCTTCACGAGGTTGACGAGGAGGAGGAGCTCGACGTTGAGTTCGACCCGGAGCTCAGCGGGCGCGTCGCCATGGAGCTCGAGGAGGCGCATCAGGAGAAGGAGGCTCCGATCGAATTCGAGGAGGATGTCGAGGTCAACGCCGAGGTCGAGGAGGACGAAGCGCCCACTCCGCTCACGCGCGACGGTCGCCCCGACACCGCGGACGTGGCAGTCGTCCCTCTCACGGCCCTGGATCGCTTCAGGAATGCGCTCGAGAAGAAACTTGCAAACAAGCAACCGGACATGCAGCTGATGGAGGCTCACATCCTCGCCGAAGCGGCCCTCGTGGACGATGAGGGGATGCCGCCCTTGGTCGAGCATGGTGGCGTCGTCGATGCGGATGTCGGGGCAGTCGTCACGGAGGAAGGACAGTCGGACGAGGAAGACTTCTCGAACCAGATTGAGAAGGTCAACGCGGCGGCCGTTGCTTCCTCTCAGCTCGACGACGGTGCGTACACCCGCTTGCTCTGCGGCCTATGCTTGCGCTGACCTCGCATCCTGCCAGCAGAGACCGGCATCGGCTCGCCCCCGCCGAGCTCATCCCGCAAGCGCCGCTTCGACGACACCGGCCTCGATGATTGCGACGGAGACGAGCTGGTCGCTCTCCACGAAGACGTGCGCGACAATAACGCACAGCTTCAAACTTTGAACACGCAGGCCCTCGCGACGCTTGGCGTCGAGACGCAGCCTCTCGCGCCCGCTCAAGTCCCGGTCGTTGCCGCCGCCGCCGACAGCGCGCCGCAGGTCCCGCAAGTCAAGCGCCGCCGCCTCAACATCCCCTTCAAGTCTTTCGCGCTTGGTCTCGTCACAGGGGTTATCGGTACCGTCGCAGGCCTCGCCGCGCTCCCGACTTCCGACTGTTAAGGTCGCTCTGCAGCCGCACCGCTCCGCTTGTTCCCTTTCTGGTCATGTCCGCTTCGCCTATCGTCTGTGTCGTCTTTCATCCCTCCTACGCATCTCGCCGCCTGTCCTGTCTCCACCCAGTCTCGCTTGTTCGCCTCTCGCCTGTTTTGTCTCCCGCGTCCACCCACTGCTTGTCGTTTCTCTTTCCTGTCAATCGATGCCGCATACAGTCTTTACAGCAGCGCATCGCGCCAACGACTCTGTTCGGTCGAGGAAGGAATGAGAGAAGTGGCTCGCAACTTCGCCTCTAGTTAGCGCTGAGTCAAGGCTCTTTGGCTTGCATCGCGTGGATTCGCGAGCTGCTTGCTGAAGCCGATGACCCACCCGCTCACGAGGACGGCCGTCGAGGACGAGCGCAACTTGACGATTTTCGTTCGCTTTCCACCGCGAACAGCTCGTCTTCCTCCTTCCTCGCTCACCTCGACTCGCCAGCGTAGCTGCTTCCTCGACAAACACACACACACTGTCCACCACTCTCGAGCGCCCGCTCCTTCGCCCGACCTGGCATCGTCGCGAGCTCTCCTTCTCTCCGCCCCCACCACTTGCAACCCGAGCGACCATGCTTCCTCCGCCGCCCTCCGCAACGAAAGGCCGTGACCCGTGGCCATGGAGAGGCGCACCGCTGTTCCCACTCACCCCGGTGACCGAGAGGTGCGTCCAACTCACTCGAGTCGAGGAGAACGAACGGGGACTGACTTCCTCTTGGCCCGGACAGCCCGCCCGCTTCGAGCGCCAGCACCCCCTCACTAGAGCAATCTTCGAGCTTCGAGACCCTAAACGAGCCAAATGCCGGCGGACTGCCAGGAGAAGCCAACTTTTCGTGGGCGAAAGTCGGTTCGAAGTCGTGCGTTTCTTCTCTGTCGCTCACCTTGCCCTTCGAAGCTGACCTTCTTTGGAGCTACAGGAGCTGAGTCGTCCCGTAGGCTATCCTGTCTCATCCCGCCCTCACCGCTCAACCAGCTTCCGGTCCCTGCGACCTTGTCCTCCCGCTTCCTCCGCCCTTCGCTCCTCTCCCTTTCGTTGTACGCACTTCCGCATTATCTTCGCATCACCCATGTCATACGCGTCCCAGTAGACCGCATCTGTAGGACTAGACCACCTCGCGAGCATTGTTGTTACCCGTTCTCTCCCCCGACCAACTGCGGGCACGACCAGCTTCCGCAGGCTCAGGACTCGCAGAAACACGCTGAGAGAACAATGCAAATCATGCGATGCAAATGCGCGAGAGTCTGATGCGAGCGGGCTGTCGATAGCTACAGGTGGTCGACGAGAACATCGAGTTTTCCGGCGGAGAAGCCGCCCGCGGCTTCGCGGGCTTGGTCGAGAGCGCCTGGGAGATGGCCTAGCGTCAGTGTAGATCCGAGGTGAGGAGGAGGCGGGAGGTACGCACACTGCCAGTCTTCCTCGTCTTGCAACGAGATGAGTGCGCCGTCCGAGTCGCGGAATCTGGGAGTCATGAGCATAATGGGTTAGCTCTCGCTACTGGCGATAGAAACGAACCATGGCATTGTCTCTCACCGGATTGGCAGGTCGTACTCGCTCTTCAGCTTGAAGCGGACTCGCTCGACGAAAGAAGCCAGCGTCAAGTCGATCGGGATGCTCTGCAACGAGGCAGCGGTGAGCGCCGGGTTTGAAGGGAGCTCGACGAAAAGATGGAGGACGCACCATCGCCCTCGTCTCCTGCCGGTACTGCAACCTGACCCGAACCTTGCCCGGACCCTTCGACGATCCGCCCGCCTCGCTGCCCATCCAGTCCTGGCCGATGACGTCGTACATTGTCGTACTAGGCGGCTTCTGGTTCGCGCCTTGCGAAGCGAACGCGGGCGGCTCACGCGACGCACTTCCCTGCCTTCCCAGCTGCGGAACATTCAGGCGCGCGCTCGATTCGCCCTTCGTCGACGAGTCCTTGCGGTACTGCAGCATGCTCTGCATCCAGCCGGGGTCGGTCTCATCGTCGGGGTAGGGCGTAGGCGAGCGCGGCTCGGCGGACGAGACGGAGTTGCTGCGGCGAGAGCGCGGGAGGGGGGACTGGGCGAAGGTCGGCGCGTAGGGCGAGGCGGGCGATGAGATGGCGCGAGAGCGGGCACGAGCGGTAGGTGAGAGCGCAAGGGTTGTCGCGCTGCGAGTGAGCTGGGTGGGCGAGGTCTGGCCGACGGGATAGAAGGCGTCGTTGAGTCGCAGGTCGGGCTTCTGGCGCTGCGGGAGGCCTGCTACCGTCGCAGAGCGCGCGAGCAGGAGGTTTGGAGGCGGGCGGAAGTCGTCGTCTGGCGGGCGAGGGAGGCCTGAGGCGGGCGAGACGGGGAATTCCTGCGCCGGTGATAGCATCGCAGCTCGTGTAGCAGACTTGGAAGAGACGTCGGTATTGAGCGGCGCGAGAATAGGGCGCGAAGGAGGGGACCTGGGTGCGACGGAAGGCTTCGCCGTCTTCGACCTTCCCAAGTCGCTGCGACTCGGCGACATGGGTCCGCTGATATCGCTGCGCGGACTGGTGGCGGTCTGAAGCCGCCCTGCACTTGTGTTGCTGCGAGCCGGAAGCTTGGTGCGGCGTGTGCTGGCGGCAGGCGTAAGTGGGCGAGTGTTCGGTGGCGGAGCGAGGCCGGCGGTCGCGGGCATCTTCACTGAGCCGTCCGGCGCGACGACGAGGTCACTCGAGCTTGCGGCAGCGATGACGGTCGCTTTCCCGAGGTAGTCGCGCCGTTCGAGGTTCTGCAACTTGGTCTCGGATGGACGGAAGACGATGCCGACGGGGATGCTGAAGACGGTGTATCCCTGCGCTCGTGACCTCGTAAGCGACGCAGAATATACTCAAAGACCATCGAGCGCACCGCGGCCTGATCCGTGCAAGCCTCGTCGATCACGTCGTGCCAGTCCGTCTGCTTGTCCTCCTTGGCCGCCAGCAAGTCCTGCATGCCGAGCTCGCCTTGTCCCTGCGCGAGGCGGATCGTCACCGAGAAGCGTAGAGTAGTGAACGAGTCGTACGAACCATCCTGATCAGCGTCAGCCCGCGGTTGAAGCGGACCTCGCACGAGTACAACTTGAAGTCGAGGCCGAGTCTGAGAGGGGAAGCTGCCTCAGCTTCGGTCGGTATGCAGAGCATGGGGGACCCACTGGGTATAGTCGATGGTATGGTTGTCGTGAAAGAGCTGCATGCGAAAGTCACGGCGAAGTCAGCGCATCAGCTTCATCGAGGCAAAGGTCCACCCAGACCCCCACTCACAGCCAGCGCCTCGTCAAAGTCTCGTCGCGCCACATCAAAACGCCCGAGAAGGAAGCTGGACACGCCGGCTTGGAAGAGGGTGACGGCGAAGAACGGGTCGAGCGAGAGGGCCTGGTCGAAGCGGGCGAGGGCTCGGTCGTGCTCGCCGAGGGTCGCGTGAATCACGCCCATGTTGAAGAGGATCTTGGACGTGTCGGCGATAGCCTGCGCGAGGAGCGAGACGGCGGGTCAGCTTCATTGCTCGCTCGGAAGACTCGAGTGGCCGACGCACCTCGAATTGCTGCAGCGCGCCCGCATAGTCCTGCTTGTCGAACGCCTTCAAGGCGCTGTCCCATATCTGCAACTCCTGCTTGAGCGACATTGGCGCGGTAGAGAGCGGTTTGGGCGAGCGAGATGAGGGTGGGACGAGCGGGCGAGGCGGCCAGTCGTGCGCGATGCGAGCGGCCGGAGGGACTTGTAGCGTAGTGTGAATCTATACAGAGCGTGTGCGAGCCAGCGTGAGGGGTCTGCGAGGTGCGGAAGAGAGGAAGAGCGTGAAGAGGAGGAGGGGAAGGGGAGAGGGGAGGGTCGAGGTCCGAGCTACACAAGGATCGCAGGCGAACACACAACGAGACGCTATGCAAACTAGAATGTATGCTATACAAATCGTCGCCGAAAGCCGACAGGTCAGAGTTGACGAAAAATGGGCGAGAGAGGTTGGCCGGGAGGAAGCCCTCATCCTGAGTGTGCCTTCGGAGACGGAAAGAAGAACGAGCTTGTCAAGAGAGTCGTACAGTGCGCGCAACGAACGGAGCAGGCGGAGAACGGGCCGAAAGGCGAAGAAGAGAGGAAGAAGCCGAGGCCGACGGCGACTGGGCGGTCCGCGCTGCGCCGCGTGCTGTAGAAGCAAGAGCTGCAACCACGTCTGCGCATCGGCGACCCACGAAGCTGGCGAGAAGCGAGAGAGCGAGCCTCGTTTGAGCTGCGTCCTTCGACGAGCGGATCAATCATTGTACGCGGAGGTGGACGTGGGATTCACGCACCGTCCCGAGACCTGTCCAACTCGGCACAGTCCAACCTCGTGCTCAGCGCCCCGCCGTTCCGTCCTCCTCCTGCCCTCACAATGTTGGCCCCATCAACGTGAGCAAATCGCCGTGGTAATGAGTAGGTCGTGCGCCGCTCAACAGTCTGCTAGACGAGCAAGGCGGTACCGGCCGTCATGAAGCATGCGTTATGGATGTAGCAGAGAAGAGAAGGTCGAGACCAGTGTGTCTAGCTGCGCGAGCATAGTGAAGGCGAAGGAGGGTGAGGTCGAAGAAGAAAAGCGTTCGCCACGCGCACACGCTGGTTCCCGACGTCACTTTCGCCATCCTTCAAGCCTGAACAGCCTTCTCAGTAGTCTTGAGCGCATCTACCGGTCTCCCGTCGTCCTGGTCCGCATCTTTCCCTGCGCAAGCCCAACAGAGGCGGACCGTCCCTTGCCAAACCGTGGTCCGCCAAGTCCTTCTACGCCTCTCTCCACTGCGTATCATGTGGAGATCACAAGTCGGAGGCGGAACCAATGGTCGGGTGGCCAGGAAGCATTGGTAGGGAGGCCTGGAGGCGGTCAGGCGGTCGAAGCAAGGGGCCTAAGGCCAGCTGACCTCGCGCAAGGACTCGACTTGTTGCTATAGCGTTCGCGGGATCTGTGCGAAGCGTCTTGAGCCCCGCAACGCGGTGCTGGGGGAGATCGAGGTCGCGAAGGTCGATGAGCGATGAGAAACCGAGAAGCAGGCGACGGCGACTGGGCGGTTCGCGTCCGAGCCCATGCCTCAGAGTGTAGCCTGCGAGCACGTGTACGCAACGAGAACCCCTCAAGGCAGCGGGAAGCGAGAGAGCGAGGCTTGTTTGAGCTGTGGTCGCGCTCGACCTGGCGCGCTCGCCGCCGACACCTCTTGTACCCGACCATGTGCGGTACCCTCGTCGTACGTCGAGAACCCTTGCTCCTGAGGCTCGACAGCTTCACTGACGATCCTTTCGAGCAGGTACATACCGTGTTGCAGGTCCTCGACGCACACTCTCACCGACTTGCGAAGCGAGCTGCGTCCTTCGACGAGCATAGCAGCCCTCGGCCCCCGCCCGGGTCGACAGCGGCAGGACATCTCAGCGCCCACATGCTTCGCTTCCGTGCACACTCTCCCGCGACCTCGCAAGGGTCCGGCGACGAGGGGGAGCGGAGAGGGACGGCAGTCCTGACATTCTTAGCACAGGAGGATCGAGTTGGACGGTGTTGGACTATGCAGGGTGGACCAGCGCGAGGACGGAGGGTGGCAGGGCTGGTAGACGACGAGTTTTGCAAGGGTCGTCGAGGCAACTTTTCTGTCTTCGCCTCACGAGAGACAGGTCCTTCAGGCTTCTGCAGGCTCTACTCTCGGAAGCACAAGCGGTGTGCGACGAGCGGCACTGCTGCTTGCCCGCTGTCCAGGGTCGAATTGCTTTCTCCCCTTCCCTTCGCTCTTTCTCTCGCTTCGGGTCATGTTTGACTGCGAGACCTGATGCCGCGCTGATGCACAGCACCTTGCGTTGCAAGAAGAGCGACGAGTCCAGCTCGCACCTCAAGAAAGCCGTCCGGCCGCTCACAAGCCCGCGAGGCGAACCATGAGAGTGGCTGTCGAGAACAACGATGTCAGCCAAGCGCACTCGAACAGAAGCAAGTGGACGCACTGTTCTCGTCGCGCAGAGTCGCGATCTCCTTGTTGAGCTCCGAGTTGGTCTTGCGCAGGTGCTCGACGAGGAGGCGGACTTGGCCCGTGATCGCCATGGGTGCGCCCGCAAGAGACGGCGCTGCCGACATGAGCGGCGCGGCGACTGAAGGCGCGGCTGACATGGCGGGCGATGCGGGGAAGGCAGAGGCGGCGGGGGGCGTCGGAGAGGAAGAGTCGGCAACGCCGGCAGAGGCGAGACGTTGCTGAAGATGCGAGATGGCCGCGTTGGACTGCGCCCTGTCGCGCTCCGTGCTGCCGACCACCGTCGCCAACTCTTCGCGCAGCCTCGTCCGCTCGCGCTCGAGGTTCGAGACGGCGCGAGCCATGTTGGCCAGCTCGTCGCGCTGCCTCTCCAACTCCCTCGCCCGCTCCAACGCCAGCTGCGCCTGCGCACCGAGTTCGACCTCGAGGCGATGCTTCTCCGACTCGACCTCGCCCGATGCGGCGGCCTTCGAAATCTGCAACTGCGTCAGCTCCTCGCGCATCTTGCCCGCCTCGACGAGCGCATCCTGCGCGATCTGCGTCTGCCGCGAGAGCTCCGACTCGAGGCGCGCGCGTTCCTTCTCGAGACCCTCGACGACGTTGAGCTTTTGCTGCTGTAGCCAGGCGAGCTCCTCCGTCTCGGAGCGAGTCCTGGCGGGACCGTTCGGCTTGTCCTCCTCCGCCTGCTGCTTGATCGTGCGCTTCTCGGCGACAGGACTGCCGGGGGCGGGTGAGCCCCTGCGAGACGTGCCGCGCGACGCCGGCCGCGGGACGCGCGCCTCGGACTTGTGCAGAGCTGCCCTGGCAGCAACGAGCTCTTCGCGGTAGCGGTCGCGATCCTTCTCGAGCTCCTCGAGCTCGGCAATCTTGCTCTCGACCTGCTTCTCAAGCTCCTCCGTCCGCATGCGAGCCTGACCGATCGTGTCCTCGAAGCGACGGCGAAGGACGGCGATGTCGTTGTCCTGCTTCGAGTTGTTGCGGGCGTTGTCGGGCGTGCGCGAACCCGCCTCGAGTGTCGAGATGCGCGCAAGGAGCTGCGAAGTGGTCGTCTCGTACTCGGTCTTGGCCTTGTCGAAGCGGTCGGCGATGCGTGCAAGACTGGCCTCCGCCTCCTCGCGCTCCTGGTCGAGCTTGGCGAACTGTCTCGAGTTTTCCGAGACGATGCGCTGCAGAGACGCGAGGTCAGCGCGACGACGTACGGAGGAGAACGTGTCGACTCACCTTGTTCTCGTCGATAGCTTCGTCCGCCCTCCGCTTCTGCTTCTGCGCCTCGGCCTGCAGCTTCGTCTTCTCTTTCTCCGCATCTTGGACTTCCTTCTGCAGCTTGGCCTGCAGCTGCTCGAGCTCTTCCTCCTTCTCCTTTGCCTCCTGAGCCGCCATCTTTGCCGCGTGCTTCTGCTTCGCGATCTCATCGTGAAGAGCCTGTCGCTCGGCCTTGAGTTCGTCAACCTCGTCCGACTTGACCTTGAGCGCCTGCTCGAGCTGCTTGAGCTTGTTCTGGTGCTTGGACTCGATGGTCTTGAGCTGCTCCTCGAGCTTGGTGACCTTCTTCCGGAGGTCCGTATTCTGCTTCAACAGCTCAGCATCCGGCTTGACCCCGTTGACGGCCTTGGTGGCGGCAGGTGATGCCGCTGGAGAAGCGGAAGCGGCCGAAGATGGAGCGGATGCGGCGCGAGCGACGAGGTCGAGGACGTTGACGAGCTTGCCGTCCTCCGTCTTCTCAACAGGCCACTTGACGCCATCCTTGAGGATTATGGAGACCTCGTCGTCTGACAGGCGGAGTCGCTGGATGAGATCGTGGTATCGAGTTGCGATTTTGCTGCGGGGAAAAAGGTGAGCACGCTGGGGAGCGTCGAATGGAGGCAAACGCACTTGGCGACTTCGAGCTTGGCCTCCAGTCCACTCTCCTCGAGCGTATGAACGCGCTTCTGTAGAGTCGTGCACTGCTTCTCGAGCTCCATCGCGCGCTGGACGAACCTGGACGAAGGAAGGGGTGAGCTTTAGGTCACGCTGCGCTACAAGCTGGACCCAGACGCACTTGTTCTGCCCGTTGGCGGTGAACCCTCCTCGTTCAGCAGCCTCCCAGACAGATAGAAGCTCATCTCGAGCCCGCTCCGCTCGTTCCTCGGCGTGCTTGAGTTGGCGAGCTCGACGCTGACTTTCGCGAGCCTTTAGCTCTTCGACTTGAGCGAGCTGCAGCTTGGTCGAGCTGAGCTGTTCAGCCAGTCGAGAGCGTTCCTGCGCGAGGCAGAAGGTCAGATTGAAAGAGGCGAAAGCGAGCAGACGGCGGATGCACCTGCTCCGCTAGATCCGCCTTCTTCTTCAGCTCGCCGTCGGCTTCTGCTGGCGTGGCAGCCGCCTTGTTAACAGCGTCCTCGTGTGCAGCCGCCGCCGCCTCTTCAGCTTCGTCCGCCCGCTTCTCAGCCTCCGCGAGTTGCTCCTCGAACTCGGTCTGTTTCTGCTCGTACTCCTCCTTGGGACTTGCGAGTTGAGCTTGAAGCTTCTCGCTCTCTTCTGCCGATAGTCCTGGAACGTATTCGCCCTTGCGCGCGGCGTCCCTTTCCGCTATAGCGACGTCGACCTGAGCCTGCGATTCGGCCAACTGAAGGCGGCGGCGACGTCAGCGGTTCGTTCTGGTGGTTCAGAACGGCGTCTTAAAGCTCACTTCAGCACGTCATTCAGCAATCTGCTTCTGCAGCTCCTTGATGGCGCCTCCACCACCTTTCGAGAGCGTTGCCTCCTTCTGGGCTTCCTCGAGCTGGCTCCGAAGGGTCGCAATCTCTGCGTTGGCCTCCTCCACCTCTCGTGCAACCCTTCTGTCCATAAGACGACCGCTATTCAAGAGAGCTGCCTTATCCTGTCGTCGTCGCGGACGAATTTTG